CACGATCTGCTCGGCTCTCAAGTCCACGGCGGCAATGGCATCTCGACCAATTGGAGGAACGTCGTCAAGGCCAAGGACATCCCCTGGATGGAGGGCCACAAGCTCGACACCACCACTGTCTTCCCGGCCGCTGGCTACCTCGCCATGGCGGTTGAAGCCATGTGCCAGGTCGCCGACGTGACCAAGGAGCAAGAGCCTGCGCTCAGCCTGCGCAACGTCAACATCACCAAGGCCCTGACTCTCGGCAGCGAAGAGACCGACGCCGGTGTCGAGCTGTTCACCACGCTCTACCCCGCCCAGCTCCCCGGCGGCGCCACCGACGCAGGCTGGTACCAGTTCAACATCAGCTCCTACACTAACGGCACAGCCACCACGCACGCCAACGGCCTCGTCAAGATCGACTCCGCGCCAGCTCCGCTGAAAATTAACCTGCCCATCGTGCCATCCACCATGGAGCCCCAGGCGCCGCGCACGTGGTACGGCAAGTTCGCCAAGGGCGGGCTCAACTTCCAGGGCCAGTTCCAATCCCTTACCGAGATTCAGAACCCCCGCAAGAAGGAGAACCCGCACACGCTGGCCAAGACGGAGCTCCGCCAGGGCGGTGGCAGCGGCCCTTCGACCGAGTCGGAGTACCTCATCCACCCGATCACGATCGATGCCCTCTTCCAGGCGGGTATCATTGCTAGCACCTCTGGCGTTGTCCGCGAGTTGCGCGCTAAGGTGCCTGTTCACATCGAGGAAATGCACCTCCGCGCTCCGGTTGGTGGGCAAAAGGAGCTCAAGGTCAATGCCACCTCTGAGGCGGTCGGTTTTGGTACCATCCGTGTTGATGGCGAGCTGTTCGATGACGAGGGACGGGTCTTCCTCCAAATCAACCGGTGCCGACAGGTTTCCTACCAGAGCGGTATCCAGCAGGAGGCGGGTGATGAGCGTCACCCCATGCTTCGCGTTGTCTGGAAACCGGATGTGACTAGGCTTGGAGCTGATGATGCGGAGGAGTTCTCGCAGTACATTGAGCAGTATGCTGCCAAGTCTGAGAGCAAGGTTGATGATGCTACTGTTCGCTTGGGAGCTGCTCTTGATCTGTTGATCCACAAGCACCCCAGACTTCGCATCTTAAACCTCGATGTCAACTTAAACGAGTTCCTGGTTGACACCCTCCGTCTCGAGACTGACTTCAAGAAGTGCAAGACTCTGGTCAGCGGCTCTTACTCCGAGGATGGCACCCTCACCTTTGAGGACCTTACCAACGAAGGCAAGACCTCCACCGCCACTCAAGTCTTTGACGTCGTTATCCTCGGCTCCAAGGCCCAGGACCTCGAAGCCGCTAAGGAGCTCGTTGACGAGAACGGTTCCATCATCGTTAACGGTTCCCCTGCCAATGCTGACAAGCTCCAAACTCTCGGCTTCACCACCCTCCAAGCCCCCTCCGGCACGATCCTCGCCCAAACCCCCCAGGAGATCACCGCCAAGCAGCAAAAGACTCTCTCCAAGCAGGTCCTCATCGTCGAGCGCAATGCCGACCACGTCCTCAACAGCGCCATCGCCGCCCAGGCTAAGAAGATCACCGGTCTCGAGGCCAAGCGGATCCCGCTTGAGAGCGTCACCGCCGACATCATCGCAGCACACACCCGCGTCATTTCCACCATCGAGCTCGAGAACCCCGTTCTCTCGCGTGTCACGGAGGACGAGATGAAGCACATCAAGACTTTGACTGACAACTGCACCAACCTTGTCTGGGTCACCGGCGGCCGTCTCTTCCAGTCTGCTTCGCCCGAGCATGCCGTTGTTTATGGTCTCTCCCGTGCGCTGATGCTTGAGCAGCCATCGCTCCGCTTCTTTGTGGTTGATGTTGACCATGAGGGTACCCCTGTTGAGAGGTCGGCTAAGCACGTTGTTGAGGTTCTTCAGCAGGCTCTTATCGAGGCGGATCCTGACTACGAGTTTGTCCAGAACGCTGGGCTGCTCCATGTCAGCCGCTTTGTCCCTGAGGAGACTCTCAACAGGGTGTTCCGTGAGAAGCAGGGCGCTGAGAAGCTTGCTTTGCCGCTTAAGGATGCCAGACCCTTCCGCCTTGGTACCGACATGGTCGGCCAGATTGACTCCATCTTTTTCCGCCGTGAGGAAGCCAAGGATGTCCAGCTGGCTGATGGCTACGTTGAGGTCTCCGTCAAGGCTGTGGGCTTGAACACCAAGGATCTCCAAGCCATCAACGGCGACGGCGACAACACCAGCGGCTCCTTCTGTACTTCGCAGTACACCGCTGTTGTTAACAATGTCGGCGCCGGTGTTGAGAACCTCGCTGTCGGTGATCGTGTCGTCGTCATGGCACCCGGTTACTTTGCCACTACCGAAAGTGTCCCAGCCTGGGCTTGCCAGAAGCTGGCCGACAACGAGGACTTCACGACCCTGTCTAGCGTTCCTCTCCAGCTCAGCACCGCCATCTATGCCGTCAACAACCGTGCTCACGTCCAAGTCGGCGAGGCCGTTCTCGTCATCACTGGAAGCGACATCGCCGCTGATCAGGCCGCCATCCGCGTCGCTCAACTCGCCGGTGCCGAAGTGTTCGCCGTTGGTGAGAGCACCAACCTGCCCTCCGAGCGCGTCTTCACCAAGGGCGACAAGGCTCTCGTTTCCAAGCTGCTCAAGGCCACTGAAGGCCGCGGTGTCGATGTCGTCCTCAACTTTGCCAACGATGCTGCCCCTATCTCCAGCATTGGCAGCATCTTCGCCGACTGTGGACGTCTTGTACATGTTGGCAAGTCTAGCCTCGCTGAAGCCATTGCTACCGAATCGACCCTCTTCCGCAAGAGCGTCACAGTCACGACCTTTGACATTGCCAACATCCTGTCTCTCAAGACCGCTGCTGGACAGAAGATCCGGTCCCAGCTCTTGGCTGACAGCATCGCGCTCTACCGCCAGGGCGAGCTCAACCTTGCCTCCTCTCCCAAGGTCTTTGACGTCTCCGAGGTCCGCGACGCCTTCCGTGCGCTGGCGGCCAAGGGCCACTCTGGCTCAGTCGTGGTCTCCCTCGAGAACGAGGCCTCACTTGTCCCCACTCTTCCGCTCAAGTATGACACCGTCCTCAGCCCGGAGAAGAGCTACCTCCTTGTTGGCTGCCTCGGTGGTCTCGGTCGGTCCATGTCCAAGTGGATGCTTGCTCGTGGTGCTCGCAAGTTTGTGTTCATGGGCCGTAGCGGTACGGACAGGGCTCCTGCTCGTCGCTTGGTCGAGGATCTTGAGCTTGCTGGAGCGCAGGTGACGGTGGTTCGTGGTGATGTTATCAACATGGAGGATGTTGAGTTGGCTGTCAATGGTATCGATGGGCCGATTGGCGGTGTTATTCAGGCTGCTATGGGTCTTGATGTGAGTTTCACTTTTCCTTTTCCGATGATGATGATGAAGCAAATACTGACCGATAACTCCCCCTAAACAGGAAGCTCTCTTCACCACCATGCCCCGCGACTACTGGCTCACCGGCCTCAAGCCCAAGATCGTCGGCTCGTGGAACCTGCACAACGCCATCCGCGGCCGCGACTCTGAGCTCGACTTCTTCCTCATGACTTCTTCCATCTCTGGCAGCGTCGGCACCGCCACCGAGTCCAACTACTGCTCGGCCAACTACTTCCTCGACGTCTTCGCCCGCCACCGCCACTCCCTCGGTTTGCCTGCTACGTCCATCGGTCTGGGCATGATTTCCGAAGTCGGCTACCTGCACGAGAACCCCGAGATCGAAGCCATGCTCCTCCGCAAGGGTATCCAAGCCATCAACGAAGACGAAATGCTGCAAATCATCGACGCCTCCCTGGCCACCCCCACCGCTGTCCCCGGTAGCTACGACGAGCTCGCCCGCGCCCACGTCCTCACCGGTCTCGAGCCTCTTGGCCTCAAGGAGCTGCGCGCCAAGGGCTTCGAGGGCACCTCCCCCGTGCTCGGTGACCCGCGCGCTTCTCTCCTGTCTGCCGCGCTCGACGAGTCCACGGATGCGGCCAGCAGCAACGCAGCGAGCGGTATGCCCGCCGAGGTCGCCGAGGCCATTGCCACGGGCGCCTCAGTCGAGGACGCCGTCCTCAAGATGATCTCCAAGAAGTTCTCCAACTTGGTGCTGATTCCCGAGGACAAGCTGAACCTGACCAAGCCGATCAGCGAGGTGGGTGTGGACAGCATGTTGGCTGCCGAGTTTAGGGCGTGGATCTTCCAGGCTTTCAAAGTGGATGTGCCCTACTTGACACTGTTGTCGGCGGCGGCTACGCTGACCTTGTTGTCGGAGCTGATTACGAAGAAGATGATGGAGGCTCAGGATGCTTGAGGGGTGGTCGCGTGATTGAATATATGGTTGGGAGTTGGATGGTTCAGATTGCTACATTTTCCCGTTTTTTATTCTTTTTTGTTCTCCATTCCTTTTGTATGGCGTTCAAAGATCATGGTTTGACACTTGGGAGGAGTGATGAATGTTGGTGGTCATAGTCATGATGATTTGTCTCTTTTCCTTTCTAGACCGCGATGCTTTTGGTCGCTGTTGGTTTCGATGTGCGCTTTCGTCTCTCGTACTCTGTGTTCAGCGTTGCATTTGTATAGATCTAGATCGATTGTCATCAAGTTCGTTGTCTTCAATGGAAAGATATTTGAAATAACCAGTGCCAACAATCTTGTTGGTTTGACGTTTAAATTGCAGGGTGATGTCAAGGAGCAAAATAGGTAAAGAGCAAACGAAGGGCAACCGAGACTGAGCGTGTGCCGATTGGCAGTTGCGGCGATTTGTAGACCCACTGTGCGGCTGGCACACCCAACAGCTTTTGCTTCGCCAGCTGTGATCAGCTGTCACCTTGAGCTTTGGTCTTGTCTTGGCCAACTGCTGCCACCAAAAAGACGCTCAAGACAGGAGGAGTTCATCCCAAAAACTGAGATGTTTCATGTTTCGAGTCCAGACAGCGGGGACAAGAACAGGAACTTCAAGTCAGGACACCACTTCAGAAGCTGGCCTCGGATCAACACCCCCAATGCCCGACTTTGACAAGCAGAGCTACTGGCACCAACGTTTCGAGTCGGAGACGGCCTTTGAATGGCTGATCCCGTCGTCTACGTTTATGCCCCTTCTTGAGGCTTTCCTCAACAAGTTGCCCGGTTCTGATGCCAGAATCCTGCATCTGGGTTTTGGCACGAGTGACTTGCAAGTCCAGCTCCGGACGCGTGGTTTTGTTAACATTACCAATGTGGACTATGAGCCTTTGGCGATAGAAAGAGGCCGGCACCTCGAGATGACGGCGTTTGGCGATGTGACGATGCAATACATCACTGCTGATGCTACAAATCTCGCTTCTGTTCCCGAGATATCTTCCCAGAGATACCACCTTGTCGTCGACAAGAGCACAGCTGATGCTATCTCTTGCGCAGGCGACGATGCGGTTTTGGCTATGGCCCAAGGAATTCACCAGAGTCTGGCCGATGACGGTGTCTGGATCTCGGTGAGCTACTCGGCCTTCCGGTATGACAATCCGCAGCTGCCGTTTGATGTCGAGGTCATCGCCAACATTCCAACCGCCAAGGCGAGGGCGACTGATCCAGATATCTATCACTATTGCTACCTCCTACGTCCGAAACCCAACGTGTAGATGGAGATGGCATCGGCAGTAGTATATTGAATTTGGCTACATGCACCACCGACCTGTCACAGGGTAGCACAGCAATCTCGGCCGATGCGCTCGGTCTTCCCGGAGCCGCCCACGAGGTTTGGGTTCGTGCATGCCCCCTTTCACCTTGATTATAGACCCGAAAAAGGAAATCTCGGAAGACCGTTGGCAGAACTCCGATCTGCCAAGAGTTCCGATCCGGGCTAGAAGGGATGCGAGACTGGGGATTCGGAAAGTCGGAAAGCGGACCGATCGTATTCTAGCATCTAGCGAGATTTCGCAGGACCACGCTGGGGTCTTGAAACAATGGCTTGGCTTCAAGTTAGGCTGGAAAATCCGGGGAAGAGCGCTAGGTACCATGAGGGAGACATCCTTTCCAGCTTTATGCGCAACCAACGACACGATGGCATCCCACGTTCATGGACTGGAATTTCGCATCGCGTTCGAGAAGTTTCAAAAACCAGGATGGCCTAGGAGCTCAGCCAATCATACAGGGAGGCGGTACTGCCATCCGAGATATCAAGGAAAAAGGGGCGACAGTATACCGAAGGCCTAGAATCTCAAAGACGTCGAGGACGGCGGATGGTAGACGAGTATAAGTGCTGCCAATTCCCGTCACCTTCTCGAATTTTCATTCCATTGTGACACCAACCAACCAGCACAACGCCCTACCTTAGTCACTCCTTAACAACGCCCTACCCATAGTCACTCTTTAACAACAGTCCAACATGAAGACCGGAAGCATCCTCGCGGCCCTCGTGGCCTCGGCCAGCGCCCACACCATCTTCCAGAAGGTGTCCGTCAACGGTGCCGATCAGGGCCAGCTCAAGGGCATCCGTGCTCCTGCCAACAACAACCCCGTCACCGATGTTATGTCCTCTGACATTATCTGCAACGCTGTTACGATGAAAGATAGCAACGTCCTTACTGTTCCGGCTGGTGCCAAGGTTGGACACTGGTGGGGACACGAGATTGGCGGTGCTGCTGGCCCCAACGACGCTGACAACCCGATTGCTGCTTCTCACAAGGGTAAGCTTCCACCTATATCTTTTTCTGCATATGGCTTTTGACGGTCCGCTAACGTGTTTTTCTTCCAGGTCCCATCATCGTCTACCTCGCTAAGGTCGACAACGCCGCCACCACCGGCACCTCCGGGCTCAAGTGGTTCAAGGTCGCCGAAGCCGGCCTCAGCAATGGCAAGTGGGCCGTCGATGACCTGATCGCCAACGACGGCTGGTCCTACTTCAACATGCCGACCTGTATCGCTCCGGGCCAGTACCTCATGCGTGCCGAGCTCATTGCGCTGCACAACGCCGGCTCGCAAGCCGGCGCGCAGTTCTACATTGGCTGCGCCCAGATCAACGTCACCGGCGGCGGCAATGCCTCGCCTTCCAACACCGTCAGCTTCCCCGGTGCCTACTCGGCCTCCGACCCGGGTATCCTCATCAACATCTACGGCGGCAGCGGCAAGACCGACAACGGCGGCAAGCCGTACCAGATCCCCGGCCCCGCGCTGTTCACTTGCCCCGCTGGTGGCTCTGGTGGTTCCAGCCCTGCTCCTGCTACCACGGCTAGCACCCCCAAGCCTACCTCGGCTAGCGCCCCTAAGCCTACCAACGGCAGTGGCTCGGGTACCGGCGCTGCTCATAGTACAAAGTGCGGTGGTTCCAAGCCTGCTTCCACTACCAAGGCTAGCACCCCCCAGCCTACCAACGGCGGTAACTCGGCTGTTCGTGCTGCTGCCCTTTATGGACAGTGCGGTGGTAAGGGCTGGACTGGCCCTACCACTTGCGCTTCGGGCACTTGCAAGTTCTCGAACGATTGGTACAGCCAGTGCCTCCCTTAAATGGGTGAAGTTGGTCTGAGGTTCTGCGGTTGAAGAAAGAATGGTGGTGGTGGTGGTGACAGCGAAGTGCCAAGTGTGGTCACTTCAGCCTGAGTTGTCGGGATGAAAAAGGGTCCTGATAATTCGGATAAAACAGATGGGAATTATTTGGCATTTTTGGGGGGGTGAATTAGCGCTTGCACATACTTTGACGACATACTTCTACTGTATATATCTTAGCAAGTATATAAACACCACTATTGAACATATGGCATACGTACCGAGTCCCCGAGCTGCTGTTTCGACGTTTTGGTTGTTTAATTCGCTGTTTGTTTGGATTGAATGCCACCTTTGTGAATCCGGTCAAGAGTGTTTCCCAGACCTTGACTGGCCTTAACAGAAATGTATGCTGTATGCAACATCTCCTGTTAGTGAAGCATAGCAAATATCCCTCCGCCCGGGAACCGTTCAAGCCATTTCAAGAACAATATAAAAACGATGTTCGGCCGAAACTCAAAACAATCATTGCCTTTTCAATTATGTCTTAGCTCCCTTCGTCATCGTTTTTCTCTTCAGGCCTCCAACCAGCTCAGAGATTGATCACCAAACGCAACCAACCGCGAAGATGTGACAACTTGAACATGAAACTCACTCAAGAATCCTTTGATTCCTAGACAATCTTTATCAATTCGAGAGCTCATCTTTCAACAATCCGATCACTCCTCACTCATAGCGTCCTTCATCAAAGAGATAAGACGGTGGTCAGACGTCCATGGTCCCCTTGTTTGTTTCACGCTATCGAATTGCTTGCAGGGTGCAGACCGGTACATATTGGGAGCCGCACGGGCCACGTTTTGTTTCCCGGCCCATCACTTCTTCTCTTGTCTCGTCTTCTCGGCGCCACGTTTCTCAGCACGGCAACATGGCTTGTTGGGAGCGGCAGGGGAGGTAGTGTATGGGGACACGGGCGGCAGAGAATGCAACGCTGAAAGGACAAACGAATGTCTGTGAGTTTGTTCAAAGTCTGGATCATCACATTTGACAATGATTGATCACGCTCAGCTGGGTCCAAGCACTCCAACTCCAATAACCTCTGACTGTTCTGCCCAACCAGCTGAATATCGAAAGCGGTTTGTGTGGTTGAGCGGCGCATTCGGCTCGGTCGGTACCTAACCAGTCGTATATCTATGTACCACCACCGAACATACAGTGCTTATGGATGGGTGGCTGGCTGGCTTGGGAGATGGTCGATGGTTGCCGGATATGTATGTATGTATCGAGCGAGAGATGTTGCCCTCGCTCAAATGGTTCTGAGACCTGCCGAGCGCACATGTTTAATGAACGTGGTTTAGATATGTATCGATCTTCGACAACTTCGAGAGACACTGTTGACTCAGACATGACCGACGACAGCGAAACGGAAAGATCGCCGCCGGTCCTCGGCAGTCTCCTCCGGGGGAAACGCTGTCGAAGTCCCGGAAACTTGGAGAATTTGCCCCACAATTTCACTTTTACGGAAGTTGCACTGACTGACACCTCTTTGCTTTTTCAAGATATGTGTCTAGGCCAAATGTGCTTTGCAACCCAGATTGTAGTATTTCACCCCTCCCAAAAAGCCCCGTTTTGGGCCAACAGACTTCCGAAAGGAGATTCCCTGCAATATGTAGTTGAGTAACTTCAATGATATGAAAGTTTTGTCGACTTTCCTGGTGAAGGGTGCGGAAAATCAGAGGCATTGCTGACTGCTGGGTTTCTGGAAGATATACCGAACTGACTGTTTAGGATGGGAAATTTGAGACCTGCATGGACTCTCTTCATCTTCTTCTTCTTCTTCTTCTTCTTTGCAGCGAGTGACTGGGCCGAGCCGTGTCTTGTCTTGGAAATCGGGCCGGCCTTGTGGTGCGTGGTGGACGAGGTCCGGGTGCCGGGCTCGTGGACACCTCTTCTCCCCCGCACGACCATGTGTGGATCCTTCGTTTCTTTTTACATTACATACTTACCTCTAGCGTATGTACTGCGTACCGGTACAGCACAGTGGAACTGTTGACGAAACCCCCCGGCCCCCGCGGACCCCCCACCACACCACACCGGTGATTTTCATTCCCACTGTATCGCTTTCCATTCCACAGCAGCGGACTTGACAGGCAGGAGGGACGGACAAAAGAATGGAGAAAGTGCCGACGAGAGTCCACTGCAGTCTCACAAAATGGAAGTCACAATGTACGACTGCACACACCCTCACGACCACAACCGGGCACCCACCCAGGAACAGAAAGTGCCTGAACTCAAAGGTGATCGGTGGGCCGAATAGACCGGCCGGCCAATGGCAGGCTGAGGGGAAGAGGTTGCCTTTAACCACAAGCGGAAAGTGGATGGAGGACAGGTATCGCGATCTTCTATCTTATTGTGGGCTCAATGGGACTTGCGGCGGACGCAAAGCAGTCTCGCTTCAGGGGATAAAGAAGAAAAAGCCCGCAAGATATGGTTTGTTTGAAAGCGAACTGAAGTAGTAACTTGAGAAAACTTGGACATGGCTTTTCTTTTCTTTTTTTTCTTTTTTTTTTCCAGGCCTTCGCTGAGAATGACAGAAAAAATATGATTCTGACGATGGAGGAAATAAGCGAGTGCGACAGGTCCTAGGTGTATCATTTGGCTGTCGGTTTTGTGTAGCCGTGACAAGTCGTTTACATTCCATCCTCATTCCTCATCTTCCAGCAACGCCAGGACGTCCCCAAGAAGACGCCATCGACGCCGGTGGTTAATCAGTCCACGGGTGCAGAAAGCATTGCAGGGAAGACGGGAGTTTGGCCGCCGCCAATCATCACGCCAATCCATCCCATCTACGGTACGCCATGCCACCTTCCCGATGGATTTTGGGGACATGCGGAACAAGGGTCCCGGCTCGGCTGTCACACACCACCCAATGGCACTTGACGATCAATATACCATGTAAGGTAAGCAATACAAAGCAACCGTGGGCATCAGTCAGATAGATACTACAGCTACGCTAGAGATCAGATTACACTAATACTCCAGTCCTCCCCCAGCCGGTCTCGACCTCGTGTCTGCCTTTTCCTTCTGTCTTGTCCGGTTCCTCATCTGCCTTGTTGAACTGTCGGTGATACTCCATAGTACCCGGTACAACCGTAAATCGGTGTAGACAAGACCACCGGAGAGCAGTATTCCCCATGGCGACGACGACGCTTCACCAAACCGCCGCCGACCATATGGCTGGTGGGCTCGGGTCGGGCAACATGGAGCAGTACATGTAAGTAATCGCGTGTCCCCCAAAAAAAAAACACCAAACGAACAGTTAGAGAAAGACGGAGAGTCTCGTCCAAAGCGACACCATGGCTAACCCTGTCTTGTTACCACTGTCTCCAGCGCCATCAACGCCGGGTGCTCCGCAATTATCGCCGCTATCGCAAAGACCGTCACCGCCATCCACGGCCTCATGCGCGAGGTCCGTGAATCGCGCGCCGACCTCGATCCCGTGTCCAGCGAACTCCATTCCCTCAACGGCATTCTCGAGATCCTCAAGGACGATGTCCCATCCTTTCCTGATCAGTTGGCGCAACGAACTCCCGAAGTACTCAGCTACTGCCTCACCATCATCAACGAACTGCAGGGATGCATCTCCATTCTAGACCGCGTGGGTCTCTCCAGGCAGGACAAGAAGTCGCGATGGATGGCCAGTAGGGGGCATATTGCCAAGTTGCGATGGACGTTGGAGGTGTACAAGGCCAGCTTGGGACTGGCGGTGGATCTAGTTGCGTTGTAAGTGCGCTTCCGACGGTACGAAGCTTCGAACGTGACGTTGAGCAGGGTTACTAAGTACCTGTGCAAAACAAAGAACTTCTAGCAAACAACAAAGCGAACAGCAAAGTCCGGTTAGGGGAACTTTCATGGAGGTTGCCTGTGTGGTATCTGATGGCAAGGACGAGTTAGCCGACGCACTAGCCCAGATCAGCCGTGTTGCTGCTCGACTCGAAGACGAAGCCCGCCACAACGGCGCTGTTGCAAAGCTCCAACATTATCTCGATGCGCTATACGGAAATGCTCTCGCCGCTGTTGACCGCGAGATGGACCATTTCGAAGGCCAAAGAAACAGTGCCCATTCGGCCTCGACCGACAAGGCCCCTGATAGCGCTATCGATTTGGACGATGACGCCCACGCCTTTGCCCATGCCAAAACATCGGATATCCCGATACCACAAACCTATATCAACATGACACAGGACGAATTTGACGAGATGCTGGATGAACTCAGAGAGATGCCGGTTCGACCTCCGACACCACCGCTAAGGTCACCGAGACGATCTTCGTCGTCGGGTGCTTCCGTCACTCGTAGCGAATACAATTCTAGCACATCCGACTCTGGTACCAGCAACCCGTATATTGATGGCACATTTCTGGATGTCGAAACCCGAAGCCAAAACCCGCATCTTCGAACCCAAAGCGAATCGGCGGCCATCTCACCTCGTACAGTTCCGGTCAGTCACTTCCCGCAAATGAGCGGCGGTCTTTCACCAGTCCGTACGTACGGCCAGAACCGCGATTCCCTCTTCGAGAACCCTCGCCCAGTGGTACCTGTTCCTCGACCGACCACATCCACTTCGAACCTCACGAACTCCCCAAAACCCACCATGCTACGAAGAAGCAGCTCCCGAATTTCCTCAGCTTTGAAAGGCCTCAGCTTCAGCCGCCAACGCTCCCACTCGACGGCCAGCACCAGCTCCGCCAAATCGTCCACCCCATCCTTGTCGCTAGCCTTCGGCTTAAGTAGCACCCCCTTTGCTACGCCTTTCACCATGGCCATGCCTCCCACCCCTCCCACCCCCACTTCCAAATCCCCAGCTCCCCAACCAGTCTCCATAAAACCTCCCTCCGGCGCCGTCTTCGGCGTCTCCCTCGCCGACTCCATGTCTGTAGCCAAGGGTCTCGCCGGCACCCGCCACGACAGCGGCGGCTCCTCCACGCGCGACTACCCCCTCTGCATCCTTCGCTGCGTCTACTTCATCCAAGACCACGGGCTGCGCGCCCCGCATATTTTTGCGCAAGAAGGCGACCCCCATCGCCTTCAGCGGCTCAAAACCATCTTTAGCTCACCCGAGAACGGATATGGCAAGTTTATGGATTGGAACCAATTCACTGTTTACGAAGCCGCCGACTTGATTCTCTTGTTCCTCTCGGAGCTTCCCCAACCTTTAGTCCCGGAATCGGTGGCAAAGCGGTGGATCTCCATGTCGCGGCAAGCAACCATGTCTGGGTCTTCGGCGACCCGGTTGGATAAGGGCATTGATTTCTGGGAGGAGGCATTGCAGGGCACTAAGGGGCCACACAGGAGCTTGTTCAAGCTGCTGCTGAATTTGTGGGGTGATGTGGCGGGTAACGTGAACTGGAACGAGATGACGGCTGAGAGGTTGGCAGAGAAGATAATGCGTCCGCTGATGCATCTACCTCAGAAGAGGTATAGTACAGATTACACACTTGGATTGGCGTTTGTGATGAGGAAGAGAAGCGAGTATAATGCGGGGTTCAAGGGGGAGAGAAGTCCGGCTGCTTTTTGAAGTTGAATGGGACCAGGTATCAACTGGGTAGGACTTGATGGAAGTTGGAGGTGATGCCCGCTTTTTCTTGGTCAGGAAATTTTTCTCATATGTTTTCTTTTTGATTTTTTGCATGTTTTCGTCCTGTCGCTCGTTTGGAGCTGAAATGATACCCCGGAGAGAATGTACCACGTATGAAATATCAACGAACACTTATTGAAAAGACCAAACTTGGGATTATGATGTCTAGATGTCTAACTATCGGCTAACAGAACTGATTGCGTGATAAGATTCTGAGGTATCCCTTCCCCCTCTGACCTGCAACCTTCTTTGACGCCAGCTTGGTCACCACCGACCAGAAACTGGAACCAGTACTGTCTTTTGAAGCTCTTCAAGGTTTATTCATGTCTTGAAAATGGCAGCTACGTAGTTGGCGGGCTTCTACAGCAATTGCCTGTTTCGCTGAATAAACGCCACCCACTCCTTTCTGATTGCCCACAAATGTGCAGATTAGTACCGGAAGGCGTATCAACCAGATCACTTATCAACCGGAGATTAACGTGCAGTGCAGCGTAGCATGTACAGAAAACAGGGTGGTGTACTTGATTCTGGCTCTATACTGTGGGTTTATAAGTAATGTACAGACTTGGAAACCCTTGGAAAAGCACCTCTCTTGAGTCCCTCTCCGGACCTCCGGTTGTTCCGCTATCTGCCTTCTGGTTGCACTTTCCTGATCCCTCCGCATAGGAGTGTTGATTGATATAAAGGAGCGGACTGCGACCACCTGCCCGGGCATGTACAGATTTTTTTTGTCTTACATTGTCCGAGCTTCCATGCTGCACCATCCTATCTTTCCCAGATGCCATCACCAATCCACCACAAGATTACTGCTGAACTGGCGACGCAATGCTTCAAAAACCGGCCATTTCTACCCACTACCAACCCCTCGACTTTGCCAAGAGAGAATTGCATATTTTGAGCAAGCTACGGCAATGTTGCTACTTGTGATGGCTTGTTTTTGTTGGCGGAATTTCGCCTGTGGCGGGAAGGATGTCCAAGTTGTCAGTTGAATGAGTGTCAGCGCAGCGCAGCGGACCTCATCAGAAATGCTGCTGCTCGCATGTCCGACGAAATTAACTATTCAATTTTTCTTCGAAGGACGGGCGTTGACCTTGTTGGTGAGCTGTGGCCAGAAAGGCACCAGGTCTGCTTTTGGTTTTCTTTTGGCGACTTCAAAAAGCCTGAGCTCCCCCGTCCTTTGAGTTACTTTCCAACTCCTCGAGAACCACAAGCAGACTGAAGTTGGCCAACCTCCTAGAAGCGTTCACTCCCTCAGCCCGCAACTATCAACAGCCATCGCGGGAAGACTTACCAGCTCCAGCAAGCTCCCTGACAAATCGACATCATGAGCGAAAAAAGCCCATCAAGAAGGCCCGGACAAGGTTCCTTGGAGCGCTTCTCATCTACAGTCACCGAAAACAATTCCAAGGACTACATGAGCGTAAGTCTTGCGAAAACTCATACCCTCGCTTGAATTGAGATTATGGTTCTCCTGGCGAGCAAGGCTAACAAATTCTGTTCTTGATATAGGGTTCACCCACCATGGAAAACCGCCAGATATCGGGAGTTAGCGTCACCTTCGGTCCTGGCATGGAGGTCTACGAGGTCAAGCCAGAGATGGCTCACCTCCCTTACTACAAAGCAGAGTCCAAGAGGGTCAATGTGTACTGGGGCAGACAATTCCTTAAGTACACCATCAAGATGAACCAGGATCCGTCAAGTCTCCTCACTATCCATACTCTGTTTCTGTCTGGAGAGATCAAGGTCCGCGGCAAGCTGGTCACCACCCAGTATTTTTCTTCCGGTCCTGGTTCCGGGACACTCGAACTCTTGGAGCTTCCACCAAGTGTACTGTTGGCAGAGATCACGAGCGAAATTCCTCCGGAGCTCTTGAGGGGTGCGCAGTGGACTACGAAACAGCCAAAGTTCATAGACAGCTGTGCTCTGAGAGCTGTACTTTTGCTATTTACGAAGCTTGGTCCTCTCAAAGAGCAAGAAGTTGAGACTTTGCCGACCATGATGAGAGTGTCGGCCTTGTTTCAGAACGAGAATGACGCCAGGAGAGCTGTCGAGGTTCTCAATCAGTCACCACTGCCGTTAGACCCGCAGCAAATGCTAATGGCTAGACTGGAGTATGAAATGGTGTTCAAGGGTCCAGAAAAATGGGTTCAGAACATTCTTGAACAGCTTCTGAGTAAGGCCTCCTTTGCCAGAAACACTCACCAGATGAAGCTTGTCCAATCACTCGACGATGAACCACACTTCAGCCTCAGCGGAGAGAGCCGTGAAGTTCTGGTCGAGGCAATGGAGTGGGTACGCCAGTTCCCCGTCTACGACCAAATTCACGAGGACAGGTTAAGCCCCGGGGGCTTTATCACAGCAGACGAGTGCTGTGTGATATGTGGTGATACGGCAGAGTCACCCGTAATCACTCAGTGCAAACATGTCTACTGTGGTAATTGCTTCCACAACCTCTGCTCGAGCACCTTTTCGATAGGGAGCTGGCGCAATCGGGTCGTCTGTCAGGCGCCCAAACCATCGAGTACCTCCACAGTACTCGACAATTCCATTTGTGGCCGCACTCTTGGCCTTCCAGAGATCCAGACAATGGTCAAAACCAATTCCTTTGAACGTCTCCTCACTGCCTCGTTCAAATCGTACGTCCAGGGCCGTCCACACAGATTGCAGAATTGTCCCACCACCGACTGCGACTACGTCTACGTCGTCCCTGAACCCAACGACAATCTCGTCACAGCACCGCACATCACCTGTCCCCATTGCCTCGTCGACATCTGCACACGCTGCCAGAAAGGCCACGCAGCCAGAGGAATGACCTGTCTCGAGTTCCAAGATCATCTAGCGCATGGGGAACACTCGATGGCCCTCGCCAAAGCAGAACAGGGCATTCAAGACTGTCCGAAATGCACGATCCCCCTTGTTAAAGTCCAAGGGTGTAACCACGTCACTTGTCCGGTATGCCACACCCACTTGTGCTGGTTATGCTTAGAGATGTTTGAAGGGGAAGATGCCGCAGAGCGCGTGTATCGCCATTTGGTTGTGATGCATGAAAGGATCTTTGATGAGGGTGATGAGGATGAATATGATGAATATGAGGATGATCTCGATGATGATGATTTTGATGAGGACCTCGGTGATGATGATGATGATGATGATGAGGATCTCGATGATGATCATGATGATGATGATGGCGACGACGGCGGCGACGATGACGACAACATCGACTGGGAGCAAGAATATGGGTTTGGAGGTCCAGAAGCTGCACCCGTGCTGGTTCATCTCGTACAACGTCTTCTTCGTTTGTATCGACAAGCTTTCGGACAGCTTCGGCGTGAGCAGAGGCAAGCTGAAGAGCAGCGCAGAAACATGGGGAACGCTGCTGATCCGAATTTGATCGAGGAGGGCCAGGGCGAACAAGCGGATACCGGACAAGAGAACGACAGGGACAATAGCGAGGATGCGGATGCGAACGGAAACAACGCCGCTAGCCAAGAGGACATTGAGGTCGAAGACGAAAAAGTTGCTCTTCCGCTCCAGGGAGCTCCAGAAGCAATAGATCAAGAAGTATGGTTAGAGAGAGTTGCTGCTCTGGAAAATATTAGGTTGTTCCGACGGATGGTTTGGCTAGAACGTGAGCTATTTGAGGAACAACGAGTGCAACCTCATCAACAGGAGAGGAGGAATTGGGAAGAGGTAGTGCAACCTCCACGATTGTGGAGGGATTGGGAAGAGATAGTGCAACCACCACCACAACAGAGGATGGATTGGGAAGAGATCGATGTCATTGTCCCTGACATTGTCTACGACTTTGACTTTTTCGTTTGGCTTTGCTTCTTTATAGTCGGATTCTTGTGCAAGTCTATACAGCAATTGGCCTTGTTTGCTTTATACGTGTATTTATCAGTCATTTTGGCAATCTTTTCTCTTGCTGAGATGGCGGCCGCTGGGCTCGTTGCTTTTTTGTTGCGCGTGGTTTTTGCGGTCTTTGTGGTGTTGCCCTTGGTGGCTTTGGGCGCGATCCCTATAGGGATATCTACAGTGCAACTTGAAGAACTAGATCTAGAAGTAGGGTAGGTAGGATAAATTTTATAGTCTTCCGAACCTTTGTTCCATAGTCTACCGGTTTGCGAGAGGATAACAAGCCAACTCAGTCTGATCGATAATATGCACATTATAAATGCATGCAAAAAGCCAAGTAACCAACCAAGCCCGATTAGCTCAGCTGGTTAGAGCGTCGTACTAATATCTGGTTCTTCCTGATATCAAGTCCATGCGAAGGTCAACAGTTCAATCCTGTTATTGGGCATTTCTCTTTTTTTTCCTTCTCATTTTTTTTTTCCCCCTCTTCTTATCTTCCGTGAGGCATAATAACCCGCTGGTGTCCTTTCTCTATGTTTCTTCAGTGCTAGTACAAACCTGGGTTTTTTTTCCTCGTCTCCTCTATTATAGTTAAGAACCGAAGTGTTCATTTTGGTTGGTTGATTGGTGCATGCCCGCCGCCGAACTTGTAAATAAATGGGTTCTGTGCTCTGAAGCCCGTAGCGCCCGGACGCCCAGGGGGATTTTACAGTGGAGGGTCTCCACTTATGTTCGGTGTAAGTTGTGGCTGGAGTGTTTTCGAGATGTTTGGGTCGCTGGACACTCGATTTTTGTGTGATGGACGATGGAAGTGATCCAACCAAATGTTCATTTGAACGAGAAAGAACATCAAGATTTAATTATATGTACTGCTGATAAAGTAGGTAGGAGATGAACTTCTAAAATGTTATCGGAAAAGGCGCGAACGTGTGAGGGAAGGATGCCCGGATTGATAGTGGTTGCTAACCGCCTAACCGCTTAAGCGCCGCTAACGGCCAGGCCTGTTTGCGCTGTAAACGACATCACGGAACATCGACCTCTCTTGTCGTTTTCGTACTCCCTTCTTTGTTTTCCTGCCTTGTTTCATGTTTCATGATATCTTGATTGCCCCTTTCTTATCTTCCTGATTCCCTCCGCTGTTTCCTGTCTTTCTTCGATTCCAGATGATCAAAGCAGAGATCTCAGGTGCTGCACTTCCGGTTAGCACACCAGCAAATCACAGGGGACGGCGTTCTGTACGAAACTCACCTGAAGAGATCCCACATCCTCCTCCTCCCCCTCGCCTTGGCCATGAGGTGCTAGCAGTACCGTGGCCAGTTTCCTTTTCTTTTCTTGCACTTCCATTACCCTCTTTGTAGTTGGTGTTGATTTTGTTAGTTGGATAGCTGGATCGTGTATTTTGAATGGTGTGGGTATATGCAAAAGACTCACCTCTTCGAAGGAGTCCCTGATGTAAAACCGAACGGTGGTGACTTCCCGTGTCTGACCCATTCTGTGAATTCGCGCCAAGGCTTGATCTTCAAGAGTTGGATTCCTGATATTTCACGGTCAGCTCGGGGTCTTTCGTACCTGTCAATTGGTAAAGGTCAATCAAAGATTGGGTACTTACCAGTGTGGTTCCATGAGGAAGGCATACGAGGCGACAGTTAGTGTAAGTCTGATGGCGAATGGGTTAACAATGAGAAAAAGCTTTTCAAGAAAGCATATTTGATGTTTTGATCTTACCCAACGGCTCCGCAAGAAAGTGTCAGCAGCAGGACTCTACAGGATGGATCATGTCGGAACTTGTTGATGACATTTTGTCGCTCTTTCTGGGGAACTTTGCCGTCAAAGCGGAGACACGGTATAGCTTCCGTCTTGAGTCCGGCTTCGATAACATCGAGAGTGGTCCTCCAGGTTGAGAATACGACGCTAATAGTGCGGTTAGTCTCATCGTTATATAAGAATCAGCGGCTTACTGGTATACCTTTTGGTGTCATGGGGTAGATTTTTGAGCTGCAAAATCAGCGACTTGACCTTTGAGGGCATCTCATTCGGCGACATCAAGTTCCCCCCTTCAAGTACTGTAGCGGCAGGCTCCGGCGCTTCTTTGGCGGTGATGGCACTGAAGGATACTGGGGCGAACGGGCATACTGGAGTGTGATCGCAAATGGGCGGTGCGCCTCCACGTCTGGAAACACATTCCGGACACACAAACTTCATACATTGCGACAAGAGCGCATGTTACAATCCCTGTGCCTCTGGGGTGTTGCCTAGAAGAATGAAGGCTGCGTCGAGTGACGCTTTGCAATCCTTACAACGCACTGGGTTCATTTCCAGCTGAAGGTTGACTGCTCGTTGGGCTATCGCACTGTTCCACGCGGTGTCGGCAGATGGATCCTGGGCTGCGAAGTCGTGGCGTGAGCGGTAGCATAATCCAAGATTGCAGACCATTCGCATCTCCTCAATCTGCTGGAGAACATTGACGTACGAGGGTGGCCGTACGGTGTCAGCATTGTCTGCGTACAAGAACTCATCGAGGCGCTCAATGGCTCTGGTGCGGATGTCTTGATACAGCTCTCGCTCAGCCGGAGAAAATTCCAGTGGGCACTGAAGATCGCGCCTTTCCGGTAGCTGGATGGTGGTGCTAGGTCGCCTTAAAATCAAGCAACCCGCTAAGCGCTTCAGGCGCTTTAGTGCCTCATTGGCTTGCCCGTTCTTCCAAAGATTCGTGAAATCAGCGTCAAAGCACCTCTTGTCACTGTATGGATAAATCCTCAAGAACTTTAGCAGAGTCGCTAGATCAGAGAGCTTGTTCTGAATGGGCGTTCCCGTGACGGCCCAACGAGAATCCCCATCGAGTGAACAAATAGCATGTGCCATTTGAGAATTGTGGTTTCGGATGATATGAGCTTGAGGCATAATATCTTAGTGAATTCTTGCTCAAGCTGACCTTCCACAAATAACATGGCTCACTAAACATACCTTCGTCCAAGATGATTCTTCGCCAACGCCTGGAGAAGATGCCAGAACGAGCATATTCACCCGCATTCTTCCACTCGGCTGAAACGGTATGATATGTTGTAAGAACAATGGTGGGTTGATGAGCGTCGTTCGTTGTGATAAGCCTGTCGTTTCCGTGATGTCGGCACCATGAGAAAGCTCCGGGTTCAACGTGCCTATTGGGCGTGTCTGAGTGAGCTGGGATTACCTGATGTCGTCATGATAAGGAGTAAACTCACTCTGTCAACTGCTCTTCCCATGTACCTAACACTATTGGGTGGTTGATTAGCACTCCATTCACAGCTGCTCCTCTTTTGGTAAACATACGTGGTGGTGGAACAATAACTAGTGTCTGGCCGACCGACGTGAATTCTTTGTTTTCTTGGGGAGCATGTGAGACCCATATCAGATCACTCGCCGCCAGAGCAATCATTGTTAGCGTTTTCCCCAGACCCATCGGATCAGCAATGATGCCGCCCTGGAAGTTCTCTGGCTGTTCTTTTTGATGCGAATCGGATATTCGATTCACGAAGCTTCTATAAATGCACTCGGTTCAGATACTGATTTTCTGTTCAGCAAAGATGCAATAGGTACTCACCCATCTCCCACTCGATGCTCCACATACTCCCAGACATCTGGATGTTCGCCGTTGAATGCCCATCCCTCTTCTCTTCTTTGCATAAATGTCAAAGCCTGTCTCTGATGCCTGCAACCAACGGGTGTCAGAAGGTTTAGTTTCAGAACATTAACGAGATGTTGACTTTACCTTGCCAAAGATGTTCGAATTGCCCGAGGTTGGTCTGCTTCCGGAAGGTCCTGGGCAGATGTTATGGCGTCCAAGAGCTCCGGGTTTGGTACAGTACTAGTGAGCTCAACTAGTTGCGTCGTTGGTTTTCCCAGATCCGATGTCCAGATGCATTTTTCCAGGTCTGTTGACGAGAGGCGATGGGGATTGCAGTAGCGGGCATGTCTATCACAGTGCAGTGGATCCTGCAGATAGACGTCGTGCTCTTGAAAGAAGCTCCCAATCTCCTCAAACAACTCAAGAGGACCATAAATAGTGATGGACATTGTGCAGTTGAGTGCTTTCTCGAATTGCTTAAAAGCCTTGTTTCGCGCAGCTGGAGAGGGGTGATATGGGTCTTTGGAACAGATCACACTAAGCTCAATGCCGGATTCCTCGAGCAAAGCATCCGTTAACACTGTCCAGTCGTGGGTGTTGTTCTTGGTAGTGCCTTGAACAATTGTCCCGGAAAAATCCTGGGCACCGGCCTTCCCGGAAAATCGGAATGATGAATCGAGACTGACTCGAAGGTACGAGGATGGCGTGACATTGCTCCAATGTGAGATATGGTCAAGTCTTGCGGGTATGCCAGAAAGCTTTCAAGTTGTTGTCAGTATCGGAGTCATCGGTGGATTGGTTTGCGGAGAGACCGACCTCGCCGAAACAAACCACCTCTTGTGGGCCATGGACTGGCTTGACCGGGTCATGGTGCCAAGCCTTGGAGACTTGAGGAGATTCGCTAGTAGAGCTTTCACAAAGGACCTTCGACAAGAATGATGATGTGGATAACGGGCGTGAGGCTGGTAAAGCCGCTGAGACTGGGAGATAAGTTGTCGTCGATGTGGCGGTTGCCGTGAACTGCGAATATAGCGATGAATCCACCAAAGGGAAGGAAGTCAGAGCAGCCGACGGACTGAAAAACGAGTTTTCGATGTCTCTGGGTGTAGGAACTGCCATGGGGGCAGTTGGCCTTGCGTAATGTGGCCAACCCTCGCTGTATGGATGAGCATATCCAACGCTGGCACTCTCCCCAGATTCACTACTTTCCAGTCGCCTGCGCTTCGGGTTGCTTCGGCCTGACGGTAGCATTGTCAGGTAGAAAATCGAAGGGTCGTTGGAGTGGAGCTATGGAATGTTGACGACAATTTATGCTGAACCAAAGAAATCAATTAGAACACTAAAAGATATACCTAAACAACTTCACGTCAGCGAAAGGAGAAGTCGTGAAAAAAATCGGACAATCTGACGAACACGAAAAAGTCCAGGCGGCCAAATGACAGCAAGGAGAACAGGTAACCATTGATGGCGCAAGATGAAGGCGGTGTGACTGAGGTCGCGTATACTGTGGAAAGTAGCTCATCATCTGAGGGGGAAGGAGGGACGAAAGTTGTCGTGGATTAAGGCGAGCATACCTCTACGCTACACCGTCATCTCCTTCCTGTCTGGGTCGTTTCGTGTGGCAGCTCTACCTAGTAGACTCGTGAGACTCATTAACTACTAAGATATTGTTGTTGCGGGGCTCGTGCCCAACCAGACCTACAGAGCCCCCTTTCCCCCACCCGCTCTTGAATGCACTTGCCTCGCCGAGTTTCCCGCTCAGCGTTCCATTTTCCACACTCCTCTTTCATTTGGCCAAACAACGAATTTCCTTATCATTTCCATTTCCCGCTCAAGAATCCTCTGGCAGCTATGCAATCATCTTCATCAGTGCTTTTGTGACAAGCCTACCTCTATTGGTTGACGAAGCTGGCTTATCAGGTCCCCGCCGTGGCTTATACCCCGGCTGCATGTACACAGCCCCGACTAATCAGAGCTCTTCAGGCCAGTTACATGTCGACATCTCAAAGTCAGCCCAGCCGGCGCTGTCAAGGCGTTTTGACGAGGCTCGAAAATTTCTTGCCCTGAACACATGCTCCGCGAGCTTGCAGAGTTGTTATGGCTCACCGTCTCAATCACATGGATGCTGTCTCCTCCTCAGATCTCGTTTGGAAGAAACATTTGGGTCAAATATCCTTTCATTTACTTGTGCTACATGAATTTCTACTCCTCCCAAATCTCCAACGGCTCAGCAATAACAGGCACTAGGACCACGACATCATGCCACTGGCGGTGCGAAGCTCTCTTGAAGCCAGACGTGTTATTCGCGAAGCATTTGAAGGCCTCGAAAAGGTCATATCCCCGAGCGAAGCGAAGGACTTTCACAACACTACACTACAGAACGTTCAAGATGCCGCACTTGAAATTGAAAGTATCCTTGCTGCAAGACAGTCTCTGAGAAATATGCGGCGTCTGTCGCCTCTGTTTGAAGGACTGAAATGCTACGCTGAAACCATAGAGGTCCTATGCAATGGAACTCCCTACCTACCATGGATTTGGGCTCCCATTAAGCTTATTCTCAAGGCGAGCATTGTGAAGACCACCATACCAAAGCTCCGCAGGATACTAACTGGTGCTAGGTTTCCTCAGATTATACAGATGCGTTCGAGAGAATCATCAAAGCCTACTCAGAGATTGCCGAATCACTGCCTAGGTTTCATATAATATCAGATGCACTTAGAAACAGTAAAGAGATGCAGCAAGTTCTGGCAGTATTCTACGCCGACATCTTGACATTTCACAAGGAAGCGTACATCTTCGTTCGACGAAGCGGTGAGACAACAGCAGCAACTATATTCTTCGCATTCGGCTCAAGTTCTGATAGTTCAACAGGTTGGCGAATATTGTTCCTCACGTCATGGGGCCGATTCCAACGCCGATTTGATTCCACCCTTGAAGACTTGCAGAAACATAAGAAACTCATCGACGATACTGCGAGCGCGATAAACCTGAGCGAGACTGTCAAGATGAGTGGGAATCTGCAAGCATGGCGTCAGGAAAAACTTGACAAGCTAAAGTCCCTAGAGGACGAGCAAACTGCCAAGCAGTATCAATCAATAATCGGATGTCTGAAGATCGACGAGACCGAGCAACTCGCTATTCTCGATGCCATTTCCTCCGAAGGAAACAAGTACGATGGAACTTGTGACTGGGTCTCTAGACACATCCATATACGTGAGTGGCTCAAAGAGACGCCCACAACAGATTTCGTCTGGTTGCATGGGATTCCTGGAACCGGAAAAAGTGTTATAGCAACACAAATCGTCAAATTCCTCCAGAGCAGCGGGAAGGCCATAGTTATTCAGCATTTCTGCACCTACACCCACTTGTCTTCCATCCAATATGAGACCATACTCAGGTCATTACTGGTTCAGCTCATGCGAACCAATTCCGATCTTATCGCTCACGCGTATGCCGAGTTTGTTATCGGGAAAAAGCTACCTACTAGCCAATCCTTGGAGCAGTTATTGTTGGCATTTGGTGGTGCTGTCTCCCCCATACCCTCAAAATTCAGATCAATTCACCTGGTCATTGATGGCTTGGACGAGTGCGAACCGGATCAACAGGGACGAATTGCAAATTTGCTCGAGAAGCTTCGCGGTCTTCGATCTTCAGCCTCATCTGTGTTCAAGATCCTACTGTGTAGCAGACGCACACAGCCGCTGGAGAAACGACTACGAAAACGGACCATTCAAGTTGTGTCCATGACGAACGAGAAGGGAAGCATTGAGCTTGCAATACGGACATATGCTAACCAAAGGCTCAGAGCGATCCGTTATCGTCTCTTTCAGATGGGTCTGACAGATTCGGATTTACGAGATATCAGTATCAATATTGCGCGAAAGGCAGATGGTATGTAAAACTCTTCAAGGATACAGGACTCTGATATTCAACGCCCTTTACTTCAGATGGAGCCTCTCCTCAGTCAATTTGTACAAACAAACCATGTAAAATGATACTGATATAAACTGATTACCAGGTATGTTTTTGTGGGCACGTCTGGTCCTTGACTACCTGTCAACAAATATATTGAGCTCCCGGGATGAGGTGCGAGGAGCAGTGGATATGTTACCGGCCAAGCTGGGCGAATTGCATGTTGAACCCCATCTACCTTCAGAAGGTAACTACTACATATGCTGACTCTCACTTCAATATAGCTACGCTCGCATTCTTGCTCAGCTTACTTCACGCTTCGACCAAAGGTCGGTTGAAAGGTTAAGATCCATCCTCGGATGGATAGCATTCGCCAAACGACCATTGACCAGGGCTGAGATGAGATCTGCCTTGGCTTTTAGCTGGGGGGATCACATGGTGGAAGAAGCCGTACCCCGGCACATATTCGAATTTGGGGCACCATTGCTAGAGGAGCACCCTGATACCACCTTTTCATTCGTGCACATTTCACTTAAGGAGTATGTGTCCATCGTTCGGGCAAGACCGTACAAAGACAGATCATCAACAGATATATTAACATGTAGAAATAGGTACCTTCAGACCCCCGGGTGCATCCTTTTCCTTGACCGATCGGCCGCAACCCATGAGCACGCAACTGCCACCATTACGTGCCTTGTGTCTGGCTTCTGGATATTTTCAGGACAGTTGGCAGACGATAACCGTATTCTTCGCATAGTGAAGGGAATCCACGGCCTGCATATCTATTCCAACCAGTTCTGGCTGGATTGTTTCCTGGATACTGTATCTACAGCCCGCGGGCTTGTCCACGGCTCACCTTTACACCAGGTCGCACAGGCGCTCGCAAACTTCTTACGCCATCAACCTGCTATGCTAACAAGCTCAACCTCTGAGAATTCTGAAAACACGGCTGGTGCGGATAGTCGTCTTCAGTATCTCAAGGAACACAACGTCATATATGAGATGGCCCGAAGAGAACTTGGGGAACGAGTCGCCCGTGCGAAATTGCTGATGACCGAGAATGGAGGTTCGTGTAATTGTTTCACTCAGTTACCACCGAATAATCCTTCGTTACGCATACTAACAAAGAGCAGGTACACGCACAGCCCCAGTGCGCTGCCCACCAAATGATCTTCAAAGCTTGCTTCTCGCTATACAATCCAGTATCAAGAATATCTTGGCTCTCACCAGCATCTCGGGGATATCCCCAGAAGATCTCGATCGCTTCAAAAAGGAGTTTCGCACATCGGCTTTCACATGTCGCTTTCCAAATTGCCCAAGGGCAGCCCTAGGATTCCCCGACGAGAAGGCGAAGTCTGAACACGAAACCAGGCACACACAGCGTATTAACTGTGCCGTTGTGGGTTGTCAATACCCGCCATTTGTTTCGGCTCGTGCTTTAAGAGATCATATCTCAAAATGCCATCAACCTCAAAACACGATTCGCAAGAGGATCAGGCGCGCATCAGGAGGAAACCTTTCTCTCGGAGTAGAGATGGAAAAGCGTACTGCTCCGCCTGACCCATTGGAAGATGCGCTTGCCTTGGAAGAATTCCACTTTGGTTTTGAAAATGTCTTTTCGGACCGTCGGGAAAGTCTTCATACACCGTCGCCCAAAATGTCTTTCTTTGCGGACAACGAAACAATCATCCACTCCAGGGCCACGCCAATAACATACACATTCTCTTTCCCTCCCGACCGCCCCTTTTGTCCGCCGTAGAGTGAGGCTGATTGCAATAGGGGATAGGTAGTAGTAGATACCTCTACTCACATGGGGGTACTTCTACTACCGAACAGCAACAGCTTCCCGTTGTGCCAAGAAGCCCGTACTGCGCAGCTTGGGCAGTCCTGGCAGTCGACAACAAGACCGGTACCGCAGAACCCCATCATGAGAAGACACCGGTCCGCCCCTCTCTTTGCTAACAGTATTTGGAGGGATACAAGGAGAAAACAAAGAGGGCTCGATGCTGGAGTTTTCTCGTGGAAGAGGGAATCCGTACTTCTACCAGGGAGCCTAGATATACCCGGAAGGGTGTGTCAGTGAATAGGCAAGGCTAATGAAGGGCTGCCCAGGGCATGGACTTTCAACAGACAGCCCTTCAAATTCAGTGCCGGCGTGGTTTCGGATGGCAACAAGATTGGAACGACGGGGTCATATTCCGCCTTACCTTCTGGTTTTTCCTGACACCGTACGGGCCGGGGTTTCTGGTATCAGTAGGGGCGTTATTTCGTTGTGGACACATGCATTGAAGCTCATTTTGTACTCGATACTTTTGAGTATTGTTGAAAGTGTGGTGACAGGTGAAATTCAATGCTAAGATCTTGTTCAGTTCAAAGACCTTCCAGTCCACTTATGTGGGTTCTAGCATTCTGGTAGGATTTCCGTCTAAAATAGCATCGGTCAGTCAGTAGATACCTGTTGGTGTTTTGCACAGGAGGGGGAAATACCGACCAATTTACCCCGATGACTATCGCGTTCTGAAGAATAATGGTGAGCGTCGTCTGCTCTCCGGTTATGTCAGAGACTACCCATCAGGAAATGTCATATTGCGTAAATATGCACCACGCCCGCATTATCTTGAGATTGTCTGCAGACTTGGTGCATTGGCACTGCCAAGTTACCCAAGGGGATAGTCGGCTCAAACCCCCAACAAGGTTCCCGCACCCAAGGTCCAATTTTTATCCTGCAGTCTCACACTGCTGTCCTGAGCCTTTCGATCATCAACAATCGGCGAGACTCGAAACCCAAGTACCCAACAACGTGACAAGAACAGAACGTACGAAAACAGCACAAGCCATGCCGCCGGTACCGGAGCCCAAGTCCAAAGCCGCCGTCCCCCAGGGTAAGCGCGACGTCGGCCGGAGACCACCTGAACAAGTCAAGACCGCCACTCCTGCCCTTTCCCTCTTGCCCATGAAGGTAAGCCCATACAGATTTTCCCATCCGGCACAAAGACATCACATGATCAAGCTTTCTAACCATTTTCTTTTATACACAGGAGCAACTACAGAAGAGCGTGCTGTTGCAGAAACCCAAGAAGGGAGACAGCAAAAGCGAACCTCATTGCAAAGATGACTTGGCAGCAGCAGCAGCAGCAGCTGATGACGATTGGGTTTTGGAAGACCTGGTAGAAAAGGAGGAGGAAGATGAGGACAACGACGATGAAGATTGGTTCTTTGAAGTTCCGCTGATGGAGGAAGAAGATTGGGTTACTGTCACGCCTGATTCCCGGGACGGAAAATGGGCTTGAGTGGTGGTGGTGGTGGTGGTGGTGGTGGTGCTGCTACTGCTGTAGAAGGTTGGACCTGATTGAGGTTGGGTAAATTTAAGGCACAAGAAGGAGGGAGAGGATGGTCGTTGGGGATGTGGTGCTGAAGTAGGTAGCACGATTTGGTATCTACTAGTTTAGGTAATTGACGGGTTCTGGATACTTTGTGTCTTGTTCGTATGTACCAGGTGTGGGGAGGGGTGATGACTACAGTAAAGATCTCTGAAGACACCTCTAAGTCTAGGCAGTAGGTCCCATGGTATTGTATCTTGTCCGTGAATCCGATGGAACATAACGGCTATAGTCGATACTTGCCCCTGGGTGAAGACGCGAAGGATTGGGTGCAGTTCGATTGATCGGCCGATGCCCTGTAACTGTCGACTACCTTACATTGCCTTGTGGTGAATGGCCGACTCACCGGGTAGGCTTGTATAAAAAGAGGCTGTGTCGGGCAGCGCTATTCGAGGTTCCCTTGCGATTGTGAACCTGGAGGGTGTTTGCCGAGTTTCAGCGTTCACTGCCAGGATTGAATGGCCATCGGGGGCGTCTCTATCCTCTTCTCTCTCTTTCTCTCTCTCTCTTTTATTAACATATAATCGGTCAGATTGTTGAGAGTAAGTGATTGAAGGATGATATTTGGCGATTTGGAAATTGGCGTTGTCGCAGCGTACAAGTCTGATGGTGATGGACGACCTAGAATAGGGTTGACGATGCCCCTGGGGAAGGGCGACGTTGGGAAGTATTGTGGAGCCTGCGCTTTCAGGGCCTACACTAGTCTAGACCGGGAATAGGTCCTGGGGCTGTGTGGGGCACTGGAAAGACCCCTGTTCCCATCAAGATCTGTCTCAGATCCGTTCTCCTTGGCGCTGGCTTGGTATCCGGGGTAATAATTTGTTGAAAATGATACGACACTTGAAACTTGGAGAGACAATCACTGCTCTTTTTCCCCCTTTAACCCTTTCAACTTGAATACTTTGAGCAATTGGTCGAAAACACAGAAAGGAGAACGTCAGTTCAACCCCCAGCCTTGCGCCATTAAGGTAACCCCTGAATGCGCTAAGCTAAAAGGGGCGCTAATGCAAGGGCAGCCTTCTGCCCAGTGGGGCTGTCTCTCTTTGCTCTTCCTGCTTTCTTTTTTATCGGACAACAACAACAACAACGACAACACTTTTCTCGACTTTGTGACTCCTGTCTGTCATGAGCTCTGCGAATTATCATAACATGATGTTCTAGACTCTGGCGATCACGGCTACAGTTCTTGACAATCCATCAACTACCGGCGCTAGCTGCAACGCTATCCCCCTCAACCTCCGTACTTCTGGAAACCAATCAGCACCCGCGTGTACCTGAAAATTCAGCACGGACATCCTCCCATCCGGCTTCCTCTCCTCCACATCCCAAACAATGGCCAGACAGGGGAAACTCATTCGGGGAAATCGAACAAGTCGAGATCGCGAACATCTTGGTATTCCCCTGTTTCGCATTGAAGATCAACATGGGCGAGACAACATCGGTACCACCGGCCTTTAGCAGGAGCTGCAACCTGGAATCCACAGAAACCCCGGATTTCGTATCTTTCTCGGCGCCATCCAGTCTCAGCCTTGTGAATCCTGCCCTTTTTCGACTTTGCCCTTCTCCTCTGGTGTTTCCGGCTTGGTATGCGCTTCAACCGTTCGTCCGACCGTCCCTCGCCCATCACCATGCCCTTGTTTCTCGTGTGTTCGATACGTCGCTGTTTTGTCAACAGTCGATTTGACTTCTGGTATAAGAGACTGGTTGCCCTCTTCTCTTGGTGATTTTCTTGGCCTTTGAGATAGCAGCAGCAAAAAAAAACACCAGCAGGATCTGGTCTCTTTCTTTTCCCTTCACGCCCTCCAGAATCCGGTACTTCTTTGAGCAACAACTCTCCCCATTCCTGCTGGTCAGCACTGCTTTTCTATAGTCCACATCAGTGCTTTATTTTCTCGAACCACCAGACAACAATGGTTCGGTTCACTACCATTTTCAGCACGCTTGCTGGTAAGTGCTCCCACAAGATCCCGTTCTTGTAAGATATTCTTGAGCTGACAAAACACCTCCTACAGTGACTACCGCATCCGTGCAAGCCTTCCCCGGCGCCTGGCTTCTCCAAGCACGACAGAACATCCCCGATCCGGCAGGCGACAAGAACGTCGGCAACGGCAAAGGCCTCCAGTTCATCGGCGGACAATGCCTCAGCGAAGCCGACTGCGGGTCCCAATGCTGTGCAACTCTTGCCCGCGGTGGTGATGTCATCGGCGTTTGCTCCGGCTTGGGCGCTCAATTCCAAGCTGGCAAGCAGGGCTGTGGCTTTGGCAGTACTGCTGCGGGCAACAGCACCGGTACCGTAGGCAACGTGAACCTTGTTGGAAACAAACAAGCTACGAATGGCACGACTCCAGCCACCGGTGGTGGAAAGAAGGGTGGCAAGGGCAAGAAGAAAGGAAAAGGTCACGGCAAGAAGGGCGGTGCTGTCGGCAACGGCAACGCTAATAACGGGACCGACACTTCCAATGCTGGCAACAACGCCAACGGCAAAGGCAACATCGATGTTGGCAATCAACTGGCTGTGAATGGCACGGCACCAGCGAAGGGCCATAAGGGGAAGGGGAAGGGCAAAGGCCACGGCAAGAAAAAGGGCGGTAATGTCGGCAACGGCAACGCTAACAACGGGACCGATACCACTACCACTGCCCCTGGCAACAACGTCAATGGCAACGGCAACGCAAAAGACGCCGCCAGTCCCTTGGGCAACATCAATGCTGTCAATGGCACGGCCCCAGCTACCGGTGGAGGGAAGGGAAAGGGAAAGGGCAAGGGGAAAGGCCACGGCAAGAATAAGGGCGGCGATGCTGGAAATGCTGGCACGGGCAACATCAGCGCTGGTAATGGGACCGACACCTCCGGCGCTGGCGGTGCTGGCGGTGCTGCTGGCAATGCTGGAAAGGGCAAGGGCGGCAAAGGTGGTAAAGGTGGCCACGCCGGAAATGCTGGGAATGCTGGAGGTGCTGCCGGTGATGCCAGTGCTACTGGCGGTGCTACTGGCGGTAACGTTGGAGGTGCCACTGGCGACGCTGGAACTGCTGGCGGTGCTGCTGGCGGTGCTGGCAAAGGTGGTAAAGCTGGTAAAGGTGGCAACGCTGGAGGTGCTGCCGGCGATGCTGGAAGTACTACTGGCAATGCTGGCACCACAGGGAACGCCAGCAATACGGGCAATACCGGAGGCGCAACGGGCGCTTCCGCCGAGGATGCCCAGGGGCAGGATGATTAGTCTGGTCAGGCACGCGAGAGCGAGGGTTTTGTGGGATCAGTGCCGGGTGGGTTTTTCATAACCGCCTGGTAACTTGAGCAACATTGACGATGCTTCCGGATGCTGTTCAGCCATTAAGCAATGAGCGGGATCCCATGTTTGCAATGTGGTCCAACTATGACTATTACTTGCCTAGAAGAATATAAAGAGGTGCAAGACCACTGTAAAAGGAGGAATCCAGGTTTCCCCGCGTAAGCGACGGGCTTTGTTCCTATCTCTGTCTTTTCCTTCTCCTGTAACTATTCTAGATCCTAGCTAGAGACACAAATTCGCATACCAAACTACACCTCTTAACTTCGCGCTTGGTGGCATCCAAACCTTCCTCCATTCCTCGTGTATGTCATGTTCCTTGTCCAATGACCTAGACTAGTTATACCAACTGCCCCTAAAAGGAACCTAAAGAACCATCACAAACCCCAACACAACAGCCAACAACACCCTCTCCCGCAAATTCCCCATCTCCCTAGCCCCGGTGCCATTCTTCTCCGTCGCACCCGAACTAGTAGACGTGGGCGTACTAGCATCTGCATGATCCAGCTCATTCGTCTTGCTAGCACCAGCAGAAGCAGTATTACCCAACTCACTAACTTTAGGAGCCACATACGCAGTAACCGTCTTTAATCCTCCTCCTTCTCCTGTTTCCACATCATTAGACGACACAGCACCATCACCGTTAGTGGTGGGAGTAGCGACGAAGGTGTTGTCGTTGTTACCGCCGTTGGGGATGGCGCCGTCGTCCGAGTTCGTGTTCGAGTTCGAGTTTGGGTTCGAGGTTGTCGAGTCAGAGGAATTCGAGACATCGTCGTTGTTCGCGGGGGAACCAGAGCCGGAGTCGGAATTGGAATTGACTTCGGGCGCGGGGGCGATAATCGCAGGCGAAGCGCCAGGTTGCAGGAGCGGGTCCAGGCAGGGACAGTCAGGGGATTTGTATTTTGCTGAATTTTTTGCAGGGGAAGGAAGGTTAGTTCAGTTGATGTGTATGATCATGGAAGATACAAGATGGAAGATAAAAATTAGGATAGGGACTGGGATTAAGGCGGTAAAGAAAACAAAATACACCACCTACGATCCGTGCAATATATCGCAGCGAGACTAACAGTGTTTTCAGCGTCCGGGGTATTGCAGGTCGCAAAAGCACAGTCGTGGATGCCGTTGAGGAAGTTGGCGTCTTTGCAAAGGCATTCAACATTCGGCCGGCCGTCGGGATACGGGGGGCAGTTCATGTTGTATGCCTGTTCAAACATGCTCTTGATGCATATTTGCTGTGGGTTTTGTATCCCATCAGCAAAGTTGTTGCTTGAGGGGCGCCCATATTTTATGCCCCTGGTGATGATCGTGGTGCCGACGACGACGACGGCGACGACGGCGACGATGGTTCGGACAGGATAGGAGGTTACTTACACCGCAGGGAGCGAGGTCGGCGTATTCGAGGGCCATTGCAGAGGCCGCAAGGCTCCCGACAATAAAGCTGATGATATACATAGTTTTTCTTCTTCGTTTTGGCGGTATTGATGACGATTTTACTTTTGGCGAGCAAAGGAGTGCCCAAGAAGAAAAGAAAATAAAAGAGAAAAACAAGAAACAGGCAGGCTGTGGAGAGCACAGGAAAGTGATCTGGTCTTGTGCTCTGCAGATAGGGCAGTCAAAGACCGGGCTGTGAAATGGTCATAGGTATAGCTCTGGGGAGGTGCAAGAAACTGGTGTTTCCATGCATACTTTGTAGGTATAAATTTCCGTCGAGTGATGCCTTATTGTGCAGCTGGGAACCATAGTCTCCGGCACCGCCTCCGCAAGACCGCAGCGGCATTATAAGATCATCTTGATTCCGTGAGATATTTGCCCGTTCGAAAACTACGCCAGATCAGATTCCTCCGTCGATTGCAAACACCATGTCCGCTAGAATTACATAATACATGTCTCCCTAAATCCAACAGAATCCCAGATGACCACCCACCAAAGCCACAAACATCCATATCATCAATCCCCATGACGCCCTCACCATCCCCGACGCCTTCCCATCCGCCGCAATCCTCTGAACCAACTGATCCCCTAACCCTTCAATGCTCCTCTCAAACTCGTCAAAACTGCCCGCATCCCACTTCGCCCCCATCTTGCCCGGCACCGCCTCCGACCCCACAAACGCCAAATACAAGACATCCTCCTCATCAATCCCATTACTCCCACTCATCGCTCTCCCTCCACACGCCGTCGCGAGCGCCAGACTCGCCTCCCCCACCATGCTCTTATCCCCATCATCCCCATTCGTATCGCCCCACACTCCATACACCAGCTTGCTGCCCCCATCGCACACCACCGCCATCACGCTGAGCGGTTCAACGAGATACGCCCTCGGATCAAAGACATTCCCCCTCGAATCCTTGTTGTTGTCGTTCTCAACTTCATTCCCAAATACCACGTACGGATGCACGTACGTGTTCAGATCCTTGACCCCCGAAACGTTATACGCCGCCACCATGTCCTGAAAGGCCGTAGTTGACTGGTAATCCGCGCTCACACCGATGGAACATCTTCCGTCGTCACTAGCCCCTCCTTGGATGCCGTCGCAGTCCACGTCCATGTTGGCTAGTCGGCCACGGCCACGGCCGCGGATGTAGAGGATCTGGAAATCGGAGAGGTGGTCGCCGCAGTAAGAGTAGGTATTGGGGCCGTCTGCGGTGCTGTAGAAGCCCGAGGCTAGAGGGTGCTTGCATTTCTTTTGCTTGAGTAGTTTGGTGTAGAGGTTTTGTAAGTTGGAGGGGACGTCGCGGGCGGAGGCCAAGCAGGCCAGGAGACTGATGGTTAGGATAAGGAAACGTAATGAGAGTAGCATGACGATTCAGTTCGAGATGGCAGATTGGTGAACAGGTATTGTTGTTGATGCACAACGACGGAACTGTCGTTACCGCGCAGTCTGGGGAATCTGGGACGGTGGGGTCAAGTTACGGAGGACGAGGCGTTGAGGTTCTCACGGGTCTGGGGATGGTCCAAGGGTTCAAACGCAATGTCGATCGTACACAGGGGGTGACACTTGTTACTTGACTTGGCAATTGAAGCTGGTGAAATCTCAGAGTTGAGAACTGGAAAGTTCAGATGATGATGACAGACAAAACGCGATGGGAGAACGAGAAGTGTTTTTGGCAGGAGTGTGAAAGTCGAGCTGCGCCGCAATTTCTCAGCCGGGTGAGAAAGTGATACCAACCTCCATCGGGATAACTGAGCCATCATGCGACTCGTTGCTGACAAGGGATGTTGGGGCAAGCTGAATTTTGGGTGCGGCCCGACGGCGATGAGGTTGGACTGTTGCCGTTGTTTGTTTCCCGCGAGTGCATTAACAGCAGTCTTAGCATCACTAACAGAATATGCATGCGTCATTGAGTGACTCAGATAGTGTCTTCGTAGCGAACGATATCGAGCCAAATCCTCCTGGACCCCACTCCGCTCTCCTCATCCCGTCCCGCGCCTCAACTCCAGGCGCCGACAATTAACCCGGGCAGAGAACAAAATTAAATTATATGATTAATCATTAATTAGCAGTCACAGGATACCGTTATCTAAAATACAAACTTCGAATTGAATGGTACATGGTGACCTTCATCACCTCTCGAAAATAGACACCTCCTGAATTGTCACCAAACAACGACATTTATGGAAAAAAAGCCAGTAGGCTGTTCACTTCGCCGAGTTGTCATCCTTTAAGATGCGGCTGAATCTATAGCAGGCATACTCGGAATAAAGCTGTCTTCTGCTGCCGACAAAGTCCTCCCAAACCATGTCACAATTTCCGTGACAAGAGCCGTCACAGTGACAGTCGGCAACCTCTTGGAAGCCTCCTCATCACTTGCCTCTAGCGGGGCATCAAGCAAAGATCCCAATGACGTAAAAGGAGTAATGGCAGCCTTGATCAAGTGCTCCTCTACTGATATCAACGTCGACGCCAGATCTGGAATATCTGGAATCTCCGAGAACGAAGTCTCCGTGACGTTGGGGAAGCTCGTCTCTGTCGGTACTACTTGCCTCGGCGGTTCCTTCGTGATTCTTTTTGTATGGGACTCGAACACCTCGGTGATTGTTGCTACCGGCGGCGAGTGGTAGTTCCCAATGGTGTGCAAGCTTGGTAATCCCGGGTCTGACAAGATAAGATCGTATTCGTCGAGGGCATGGAGTATTTCACACAGTTCACCCCCACCGACATCAGCAGCGTGCAGTACGGCGTTGTGGGCATTGTTGAGCCAAGCTAGGCCGTGTTGAAGCGGTTCGCTGATGCCGGGGAAGAGATTCGCAATATTGTTTTCGACGCGGTTGATGAGACGGGGAACGAAGTTGAAGAGGGCGTTTCCGGTCTGGTCGAGGCCAGTTCCTGAGGGAGAAGGCGAGTCGGGCTTGAACCAGGAGTGGAACTTCTCCTCGCAGCTTTTCTCGCTGCTGTTGGCGCCAGGATATTGGCATGTCCAGGAGTGTATGTCCCATTCTGTGATGTTCTGGATGTTGACAAAAGTGCAGGGCGAGTCACCAAAGGCTACTTGGGGGTCGCGGAGGAAGAGGTCAATGGCAGCTGCTACCTGGACTGCGACGGTGAAGTTAGTCTCGGTAAGGTCTCTCTTTCTGACTCTTCTGCCTCTCTGGTCAGTACCGGCTGATGATGGTGCATCTGGCAATCCTGCGAGTTGGGCCAAGAAATTGGAGATGGTAATGGAAGTTGTAGTGTTACAACCTGCACCATAGTAGTGCATGCCAGTCTCGTCAAAGATGATGGACTCCCCGTTGGACAGATACGCAGCAAGACGGCCGGCCGCTAAGGTCTCTGGTGACAAATCAAGGAGACAACGGAACCCGCCTACCAGCGTACCAACGTAGTATGGGGGTGTAGCGTTGTTACTCGTATAGAAGTAGATAGGGTCTACATCGGTGGAATTCGGTTCGAAGGCGATCAGTTTAAGGGAAGACGATGGTGTAGGTAAGACGCAGCATGCAGTTGGCGAGCTAGCCGGCTGTATCGTCACTCCTGTCAAGACGGCGTCGGGAAGTACGATACCTGTCGTGAGTGGGCATGGCGCTTCTTCGTAGACCTGTGTTCCCAGCATGGTAAGTAACGCACTTGTTTTCTGGTGCGCCTTTGAGACCTTACCGTAGTTGTCTCTAGAACACCACAAGCAGTTAACAACGTTTCCGTTATCCAGCTTGTGGCCAGACAGTATGTGCCATTATCCCCTTGAGCCCAGGTAAAGATGAAGTTGAGCAGGAAAACGATCAGAACCTGCATCATCTCCGCAACAGACAGGATGGTGAAGTAACTCGAGTGTACACGGTATCGCAAATGATAGCAGTAGACGCAAGTATGAACCGGCACGAGGTCTTCACGGTTTCTCGAATGGAGATGTTGTTTGACGATTATGTCATGCTCCATCGCGGCTACCAAGTTAGTGCCACAACGCCCAGCGCATCCAGTGTGCTTGCCTTGAGATGCCTCACGACCACGTTAACTGGGAAGGTTCAATTTTGATCATGTCCATAAGTTCAGTACCTCTAGTAGCTTTTGTTATTTCATGGTGCTGAATTGAGTGTTCATCATTTCCGCTCGCAATCGAAGAACAACATCGAGCGATTATACGGTATCAAGGCCATGCTGGAGCGTTAGGAATGCTGCACTGCTGTCAAATCGTCGGCGACTTAGAGCACCGGCTTCGTGAGCGGGCATAAGATATGCACCCAAGCCCCTCAAGGCCGGCATAATGCCCATCCAGGATTGAAAATTCAGGCTTGGGAGAGAAAGATATCCCTTCTACATGACCCGTGTGATTTCGTCAAATTACGGCTCAATGAATCCAGAATGTCCAGGGAAGTTGGTACACATCGAATTGAAAAGAGAACCCATCTTCATTCACAGAGATCCTTTCTGTTATGCTCATACGGCCGACAAGACATCGCATTTTACCAGAATGCTTCAGCCGCTTTCTAACCCCTTGACTGGCTTGAGCCTACTCATCTCCATGAATAGCTGATCGCAGCACAGAGATCGGGATGTTGATCGAGAGCTTCGATTGGATGAAGGTGGGAGGAAATCCGGCATGGGTGCACAAGCGGCTCTGTACTGATGTGACCGCAGGACAGTGAGTATACAGGTATGCTTCGTGAAGTTGTTCTCAGTATAATGGCGGGCGAGTGACATTGGGGATTTGGGGAACCTTGCCATGGACGGGAGTGCGTTTTGGTTTGTTGACGATGTGAAGTTGATGTTGATTGAAGAGCGTTTCCACTTCCAATGCTTGGCATGTGCACAGAGCAACGCCAGCTGGCTTGCGGCTGCCACACCGCTCTGTGGAGACCCACAGTTTCCGCCGAAGCGACTGTGTGCGTTCCCGAAAATCAAATTGCTTCAAAAATTTTGGATGCTGCAACATTTGGGTCTGCGTTTTGTTCCCCTCCAAAAACAAATGTGATGGCGGCAGCACCACGAATAGCCAGCGAGGTGCTATCGCCACCATTGATGCACTCGTATTCATCAAGTCTGAATACCGGACTGGTATATGGCATCCGTATCACGATGCAATTCCGCATGTGCAACTGCACCTTTATTACGCGGCAAAAACGGTAGGTGATCATTTTCCTTTTTGCCTCTGCTTTCGCAAACCCAGTTTCGCAACAACCATTCTCCAACTGCTCTGGCCATTTGGCTGTCCTCATGGGGCTCCTTCGGGAGACCTTCTCTTCTGCGGCACGTCTTGTGTTGCAACTCGGAAGGGGTTGGAGATGGGGGCAACAGGGAGGGGGGTCTTTGGACCTTTTTCTCTGCTGTTTGAAATGTTGCAAGAGTAATCTTTACCATATGAACCATCATAGTCCGCGTCGTTGTCCGTCTCTTCTCTTCTTCGGAGGGGAGGAAACGGGGGTTCACAACTTCGAGGCTCCAAGATGTCCAACATTTTGATATCCTGCTTGTGAACGGTATTGTGAGATGCATCGGTCTTGATGTGCTGTGATGGTCTGTGCGCCTTTTATGCACACTATTTATGAGTGGCAGCGACTGAAGTTGGGAAGTTCACCGTCTCACCGTCAAGCTCACCCCACTTGCCGTCCACGGTGATGGGTGTCACCTACGTCATAGGTAAATATCAGGAAGTCGTTCCTCAACACACATCTTGAACATGTTGTTCGTTCTGGCCGTTACTAGTTCAAAGCGTGGGAAAGCAAACCGTCTATCTGCGGTGAATAACCTTCTCAATGTTCAGCGCCCAGTCTTTGATTTCGCGCATTCCAAAGCGTGCTTTGGTCACTCGTTTTCCCGTCCATTCAAGCCATTTCCGTGGCTGCACTGCAGTGCCACAACGCCAAGCTCATCAGTTTCGCAACATGTCTCACTCCCAGAACCCCCAAGATGAACAAGCCCAAAAAGGGTCAAAATTCTCCCACCTCCCCCTAAGCACAAGCGGCCCCTTAGAATGCGCTCTGAAAGGCACCGTGCTGCTCAACCACCCTTACTTCAACAAGGGATCCGCCTTCACAAAGGAAGAGCGTCGCGACTTTGCCCTTCATGGCTTGCTACCGCCACGGATCCAGTCCCTGGAACAGCAGGTCCAAAGGGCATATGAGCAGTATTGCAGTCAACCCAATGATCTGGCCAAGAATACATTCATGACTTCGATGAAGGAGCAGAATGAGGTGTTGTTCTATAGGGTAAGATTGTATTTTCGTTCTGTATTATGAATTATTGCTATGGGTTTAGGGTGTTTGTTGTTCTGACTTGTGCGGTTGTTCAGCTTTTGCATGATCATCTTGATGAGATGTTTAGTGTAGTCTACACACCGACAGAGGGAGAAGCCATTCAGAACTACTCCAGATTATTCAGGAGACCCGAAGGAGTGTTCCTCAACATCAATGATATGGACTCCGTAAAGCGTGATTTGGCACAGTGGGGAAAGCCTGAAGATATCGACTACATCGTGGTAACAGGTAAGAAGCAATATTTTTGAATCAAAATAATTCCATCGGTGAGGATGATGGCTGACAAAGGGTAGACGGCGAGGAGATTCTGGGCATCGGTGACCAAGGGTGTGGTGGCATCCTTATCTCCATCGCCAAGTTGGTACTGATGACCATTTGCGGTGGCATTCATCCAAACCGTGTGCTCCCGGTCGTCTTGGACTGCGGCACCAATAACGAGGAGCTCTTGAAGGACGATCTTTACCTTGGCCTCCGGCAGAAGCGTGTCCGCGGTGAAAAGTACGACGAGTTTGTTGAGACCTTCATCAAGGCTGCGCGTGAACTCTACCCCAGAGCGTACATCCATTTTGAAGACTTTGGCCTTGACAATGGTATGTTGTGGCAAAGGCTTCACTCGCCTGCATGGTTACTGACATAATCGCTAGCACGTCGTCTTCTGGAGAGATATCGGCCGCAGATCCCCTGTTTCAATGACGATGTTCAAGGAACGGGGTGTGTGACTTTGGCTGCCATCATGGCAGGTTTACACATCTCAAAGCAGAAGCTAAGCGACATCCGGATGGTGGTCTTTGGTGCTGGTACGGCAGGTGTTGGTATCGCGGACCATGTTCGCGATGCTATTGCCGCAGATGCAGACATCAGTCCCGAGGAGGCTGGCAACCAAATTTGGTATGCGACGCATTCCAGACCTACGGCAGGTCTCTTCACGTAACACAACACTGACGCTACGCAGGCTCATCGATAAACCCGGACTACTCACCACCAAGTCAGAATCACTGTCAGATGCTCAGAAAAAGTATGCCAAGTCGCACGACGACTGGGCCGACAAGAAGACCGACCTCCTAGCTGTGATCAAGGAGGTCAAGCCGCATATTCTAGTCGGCACATCCACAAAACCGAAATCGTTCACGGAAGAGGTCGTCCGTGAGATGGCAAAGCATGTTGAGCGCCCCATTATCCTACCCTTGTCAAATCCAACCAAGCTCCACGAGGCCGTGCCTGAGGGCCTCCTCAACTGGACAGACGGCAAGGCTCTCGTCGCTACAGGCAGTCCGTTCGACCCAGTCAAGGGCCCCTGGGGTAAGGATGGCAAGGAGATTGAGATCGATGTGGCTGAGTGCAACAACAGCGTCGTGTTCCCGGGTATCGGTCTCGGCTCTGTGCTGTCGCGGGCCAACCGTGTAACTGACAAGATGTTGATGGCGGCATCGAAGGGCGTGGCTGAGATGGGCCCAGCGCTGAAAGATGATACAGCGCCGCTGCTTCCCGGTGTCGATGTCGTGCGCGATGTAAGTGTGCGCGTGGCTCGGAAAGTCATATTGGCGGCCGTGGAGGAGGGTGTAATCGAGGAGAAAGATGTGCCAACCAAGGAGGAGGACCTTGATGAATGGATCAGGGAGCAGATGTGGGATCCGGTGTATAGGCCGCTGAAGTATGTTGAGGGCAACAAGGCTAGTCGAGGAGCAAAGGGCGACTTGCGCGTGCTGGGTAACCCGAATGATGTCGAGTGAGGATTGACATTGGAGTGTTCGTGGTACCTCTACGGCCGTCGGAATGTCTTGGCGTGGTTATAGCTGGACGTCATGGCGCGCGGTTGACATTGATTGGTGCGCGACTTGGCGATTTTTGACTCGATTGGCGCACAGTTTTGCTGTATGATACCATCACGTAGAGCTTGTTCTGTCCTTTTCTTGAGTTTATTGACTGATGATTTCTTTCTGCTTGCCGTTCCGATCGTTGTAGCTGTCAATTGCGTCCTTTTGTGAGCTGATGAAATGGTCTTCATGGCTGGCGGTTGGACAGCGCAAAGGGAATTGTCAAGTTCAAACCGGTCTGGGCTGCACGAAAAAAAGCGGTGCCCCACTATTTTGTGCCAAGCCTGAGGTTGTTCGTCTGGCTTGACGGGCTTGGCCACTGCACGTGACCGTCACAAGGGACGGTAGGGTTTGCGGTCCACACCAACCCAAGGCCCAAAAAAAATATCGCGGCTGTCGTTCAATTTTGGCCTTGCTGAATTTCCCCTCCGAAATTTCGACTCCCCCATCACCAGTCGCCATTTCAGCAACCAGACCGTCGCAATGGCCAAGCAATCGTGAGTAACCACGTCCGCGATCAAATCCGACCTGTTTTCTGGCTGTTTTGCTGCCCGTCCAGCCGAGGTTCTGCTCGACAAACGGAGGTGGCCGCAAGAGGAGGAAATTGCAGCGACGAGATCATGTGGAAGAGGAGGAGGATGTCCGACTGAACCAGGAGTCATTTGGACGATTTTTGGAGGTTCTGGACACCACAAAGAGAGGATGCGGACCGACAGCAAGCAGCCAGAAGACAGCGACGAATTTCGGAACCAGCAGCGAAATCAGCGAGCTAACAGCATGTCTACAGTCGTGGTGCCCCCGGTGGCAAGCTCAAGATGACCCTGGGTCTCCCAGTGTACGTTACGAATCCCATTCCCGTCCCGTCCAGCACGAAACGCGAATCATCATTCTCCAACCGAGCACGAACGCGATAGACATGACGAATCGGCACTCCATACACCCATAAATCACACGAAACGCACAAACGACAACACCGAAACAGGAATGAATAGCTAACATGGCGACTCTTACAGCGGTGCCATCATGAACTGCGCGGACAACTCCGGTGCCCGTAACCTTTACATCATCTCCGTCAAGGGTATCGGTGCTCGTCTCAACCGTCTCCCCGCTGGTGGTGTCGGCGACATGGTCATGGCCACCGTCAAGAAGGGCAAGCCTGAGCTCCGCAAGAAGGTCCACCCCGCCGTCATCGTCCGCCAGTCCAAGCCCTGGAAGCGCTTCGACGGTGTCTTCCTCTACTTCGAGGACAACGCCGGTGTCGTAAGTGCCCACCGATACCACTCTACCACGGCCTGGGCATATTTGGGTTCTGCAATTGGGAGGATCAGAGGAGGATAGTCGCTGGGGAAAATGGCACGGATGCAGAACCACAATGCCAGGCCGTTGGGAGCCATGTTTACAAGCGGACAATGCTGACCACTGCTTTTTCTAGATCGTCAACCCCAAGGGTGAGATGAAGGGTTCCGCCATTACCGGCCCCGTCGGTAAGGAGGCTGCTGAGCTTTGGCCCCGTATTGCCTCCAACTCTGGTGTCGTCATGTAAATGGGGTTGTCCAGGAACAAATGGAATGGATCTTTTATGGGCTGCGCGGGTCTTTTTTTCGAGGAACGAACAATGTCATCCGGAATCTCGTCTTCCCCACAGATGAAAGGAAGATGCAGAGGATGAAGGCCTTCACCGGCCCGGCTGGATTGGCAGGCATTTGCATTTCGGTTGCGGCGTGCTCGGGAGTCATACCACATGCATGATATACAGGTCAATTCACACCCAGTTCTTCGAATCCCCTTGACCGCGCGCGGCTCGGGATCATGATCACAAGGGTGCCTCTGCAAGCCGATGTCTACGTTTTTCCTTTCATGCATAACAAGCAAGGGCGGGAATCCATGGTGCCGCTTGCAGGCAATGGCTCGCGATGGACTGTGTCGGATGGCCATGTACGTTCTTCACTCCAGATATCCTGAGAAGTTGATGGAGGCTTCTCCCCAGGCAAAAGACATGAAGGCTGCCATTTCCAAACCATTATCATTCATTACAGTACTACTACATTGTGTCTATGTTGATGACTCGAATATATACAATCTAAATGCTACTGACCCTACTTCTCCAGGACTCCATGCTCTACCTAACAATGGTGGCATTCAGCTTGAGCGATTCCAGGGTGCGGCCGCCGGTTTGCACCCAGCTCGCCAGCAGGCGGTTGAACATCTCGGGTTCCTGAATCTGAGGAGCATGCCCAAGATACGGGAACGACACAAGGGTAGCATCAGGAATCGCCGCCTTCGCCTGGCGTCCCAAGACAGCATAGTGACCCAGCTTCGCCTGCACCTCGGGCGGCGACCACACCTTGCCAATAGCAGTGTTATCCTTCTCGCCAACCACCAACAACGTCTTGGGCTTGATCTTGTTGTAGTCGTGAATGGTCGGCTGTCCCAGCACCATCTCCACCACATGAGCCTGGTCCGCCCAGAACTTTTCCTTCTGGTCGCCCTCATACACCTTGGTCAGCATCACCACCCACTTGTCAAAGTCCTCGGTCCACTCGGCGCCCGGGTAGTACGTCGCCTGCTCGTACCCCCTCAGCGACGCATACGTCGTCGACTTCTCATCCCCCGTCAACAGGTCAAACGAGCGGTCAGGCACGCCCAGCTGCTTCCAGTCCTCCAAGCCGATAGGGCTCACCAGCATCAACGACTTGGTAAACTCCGGGTACGTCAGCGCATAGCGCGATGCGAGCATGCCGCCGAGGGAGTGGCCGATGACGATAGGTGGTTTGGTGATCCCGAGCGCCTTGACCAGGTTGCGTGTGTTGGTCGCCAAGGACGTCAAGTTGAAGCTGTACTGCGTCGGCTTGGTCGACTTACAGAAGCCCAGCTGCTCGGGCAGGATGACGCGGTAGCCGGCTTTTTGCAAGGGCGTCGCGGCCGCGTACCAGGTGGGACCGCAAAAGTTCTTGCCGTGCAGGAGAAGGATGGTTTGCGGCTCCTTGTTGTTGGCGGCGCTGTTGCGAGGGTTGTAGTTGGGAGGGAGAAGGTCCATGAAGGCCATCTCCAGCACCTCACTCGACCCCGGGACGGTCGACGTCAGGTTGTAGAACCATAGTGTCGAGGGGTAGGTGTAGTTGAAGCCGTTGACGTTTTCCGGACACTTGGCTGGGTAGATGTCTTTGCTGCTCCGGGCGAGGGTGGCGGCCACCGAGGCATCCGTATCGGCAGAGGAGGCGTCCTTGACGATGGCCGTCGACGTGGGAGCGGCAGAGGTGAGCGGCAGAGCAGCGCCGGCGATAAGGAGGGTGAGGAGTTTCATCATGGTTGCTCCGGCGTCTGGGTCTGTGTGATGGTGTGGGTGCAGCGGGTGTGATGTGATACCAAGCCAGGTGAAGATCTGGTTTGGCTTGGGGGCTCATCACCTTTACATTGCTGTTACTTGGTGGTGGGATCCGGGTGGTATATAAGGTCGCAATCGGATATTCGGCTGCGGCCTTTCTTCACCTTCCATCCAAGGAGCGGTATGCCCGAGCAAAGGAGATACTTGGACAGTGAAGATTGCGAGATTTTTGGTACCAAATGTTACATTGTAGTTACTATAAGTCTTGGGGATGGCGCATTCCACCAACCGACCGACCGCTCGGACGGGAAAGTCAGAATCTTTACGAAGCACGCCGTCGGTTGCGGAAGATTACATACATGTTAGGAGGCTGGGCGAGCTCGCCATGTTACCCATTTACGTACGCCCGTGCACAAAGTAGTGGTGATGGGTATTAGCAAGGGGAAAATGCCAATCCTCGGTTGTGGCAGTTGGGTGGGATTGAGATACCACAACACGCGGTACATATGTAACCTAGATGGTCAGGGACAAGATAGGACGGCTTCGATATACATAACGACGACTGAGGACTATAGGTAGGTGGCATTCTATTCACGCCTGGGGCATTGAACCGCAATTAACCCGACCATTCAAACAGCCCATTCTGGCAATTTTCTGCTTTTCACCTTCCCAACATGTCGATAACCCGTTCCGGGCCTGCAGCTGGGTTGCGTGGCTCCGGGTGCGGCAGGTGGGCATCCCGAATGGCCTTTGTGTTTCCAGAGTCAATACATACGATAACCTTGATATCGGCGGCGCAGGTAGATCATCACAAATCACTTGCGTACCTGCATTTCAAAGGTATCGACGCAAAACCACACAACGACACAGTCTTTTGGACCGCGCCGACAAGCCATCCGAAAAAGTTCCGTCCCACAACCCCGGCGGCTCTTTCGGTTTAACCTACCGGATCGGCCATCGCACCTAATCTAGACAGTGCTTGGACGCAAGGAGACAGGGCATTTGCTGCACCAGAGTAGCATCAAATCTCGTCTGGGAAGCACTGTGGCAATGGCCTGGCTTGCCGGTCTTCTAAGCGACTGCGACAAGACCTTTGTTTCCCTTGCGTTTGTCAAGAAAGCAAAGAAAAACAGCTTCGACGGCCAGTCACAGTCCGTCAGCCAGTCAATGTCTCGCAGCTTTCAAAGACATGCGCATCAGCTTGAGTTTGCACTACCCACACTGCATCAACCTACCACATAATACCACTCTACCAGCCATTGGACTTCTAAACAAGGTAGGAGATATAGGAACAAGTGAAATAGTCTACTTTTGTACACTTTGCTTTCTTTTTTCCGCCATTGATCAAGGAATCGGGATAGGTATTTACCGGCCATGGACCACACCCATCCACACCTGGCTAGTCTTGACCTCTTGAAGGTCTTGATCGCTTCGCACCAGGAATATAGTATAATGGATACTCTCCAGCTTGCACGCCCATCTTCTTCTTAAAACCCCACTCCGCTCTTCTCCACGACTTAAGCACGGCAGGGTCGCCTTGTCACAAGATGATCAGGGTCCCCGGGAACAAGCCCGGCGACAACAGGGCGCACTCCATCGAGACTCCGGCTATCGTCCTCTTTTTTGTTACTCTATTCTTGATCGGTATTAGGCTATGGGCTCGGTTCAAGCCAGCGTCCTGGAAGGGCTTAGGATGGGATGACTATACGATTTTGCTATCATGGGTTCGTTGTTCTTGGCTTTGGGACCGCGGAGATGGTCGATGGATTATGGGTTTGGTAGTTTGGTCTGACACTATCAACAGGTCTTTACTACTGTGGTTTCGGCACTCATGATAGCCTCATGTGCCTATGGATTCGGTCAACATATCGGAAACCTCTCGAAGGAGAATAAACTCATGACTTTGAAGGTATGAAAAAAAAATAATCCAATTTTTGAACCCAAAAAAACCATCTCACTAACACATCCTGCACCCATCCAGCTCTTCTACGTAGCCCAAGCCTTTTACAAAATCACCATCAACCTCACCAAGACCTCCATCCTGCTCCTCTATCTGCGCATCTTTGTCCAACGATGGTTCCGCATTGCCTGCTACATCCTCATAGGCATCATCATCGCCTACATGATCGCCACGTTTGGCGCCTCCGTCTGGCAATGCACGCCCGTCCCTCGCGCCTGGGACAAATCCATTCCTGGAACCTGCGTCGACATCACGGTTAATTGGTACGCCAACGCCGGCTTCAGCATCAGCACGGATATCCTCATTCTGGCGCTGCCCATGTACCCCATCTTCACGTCGCACCTCCGCAAGACGCAAAAGGTGGCGGTGGTGCTCATGTTTGCTCTTGGTTTCTTCACGACGATTACGAGTATTTTGCGGATGCAGACATTGACGTTTTCGACGAAGACGCCTGATACGACTTGTATGGTTTTTTTAGTCCCTTCCTTTTTGTTCAACCCCTGTCTTTTTTTGTTCTCCAAAATAACTGACTTTCGAAAGACGACCTCGACTCCTCAATCTGGACCATCATCGAGCAAAACATGGCCATCATCTGCGCCTGCCTGCCCGTCTGCCGCCTCCCACTCGCCTACCTCTTCCCCAAGTACTTTGCCATCTCCCGGCGGGAACAACGCACCGGTCCCGAAGGCGACATTGGCCATCGGGAAATCTCTTCCCAGTCCGAGCTAAGAAGCTGGCAAGGTCCGCATCAGCACGACGTCGCCATCGAAGCCGGTGTCGGTGTTGGTATCGGTCTCAGATCGCCGCGCCATCAGCAGGGGGGCGGCATGTTTGTTGAGATGGACAGGAAATACAGCACCACGGGGTCTTCTGGACGCCGCCACCGCCGCCCGTCAGCTTCGGGGTCTGTTTCGTCTTCTGATAATGATGATGATGTGGAGAGAAAGATATCGTCGACGACGGATGTGGGCGGAGTGACTGTTTATCAAAGGGACAGGGTGTCGACAGAAGATGATGATAAAATCATGATGACGACGGGGGATGCGAATAGCGAGGATACCATTCTTCATGTGTCTTCTGTGTCGGCGACGACGACGATGTCGAGGTCAAACTCGAGGCTGGGCATAGGGCTGAGAGACAGAGATCGATCAGCAGATCGGATGCACCAGGTGGGAGTGGAAGGCAGACCGGGCGGCGGAATCCAGATGACTACGCAGTTTAGTGTTACTTATGATCAGCGATAGATCAACGAAAGTGCCTCTACGGAAGGGTAGAGGTAGAGGTAAGGTGGAGTTGGCGGGTAATGATGGGCCGGCGACCGGGAATGGCTGGGCCGGATGGGTTGATGGGTTACATCTTCATGGGACTTGGTTGTGTCTGCCTGTTGTTATTGTCCGAGCAATGTCTTGCGAGTTGATGGGCAAGTAGTGAATTGTAATGTGACTCTAGTAAGATTCGTCATGTACCTAGCTGAGAAACCGTGAGTGATGGAATCTCCTCGGCTCCACTCCGGCGCCGTTCGGTGGCCGGGACCGGGACGTTTCGCTCGTTCGTCCCGCAAGTGCCCTCAATCCCACTCGGTGGATAACAGGGTGCAGTGCAAGTGGCATTTTGGCGACCTGGCGAAAGGTGAATATGACCAAACACGTTACGATCTTCTACACATCCGGTACACTCTTGAACGCATCCGTGCGTCTCTTCTTATACCATCCGAGTAAGAGAGAATCGCTTATAAACTGTAGCCGACGTACTTCCAATCAACACCGAGGATTATCACCGTTCCATAACGGCCCTTCGAGAGCAAACTGTGTGGCATTGGACTATCTATGGTCGGTTAATTCTTACGACCCTGTGCTCTGGCAAAATATGATGCAGATTCGATCATGTTAAAGTCGCTATGCCAAGTACAAAATCAAGCCTAAACTCCAGCACCATATATCCATCCAACTCCTTATAGTTCGTATTCTTCCGAGTATTCCTTGTTGCCATTTCCTTTCCTGTCTTTGTCTCATCTAACCAAACTCTCGGTTTACAAACTTGCGTCTTGCCAACATATGTTCCTCAACAGGCACTCTTGCAACAAAGCAGACAATATAGTAGGTGGTCCCCTCGCCGAGCAATCTTCTCTCTCTTGACCTCCTCCTCCTCCTCCAGCCTTTAGGCCAAGGCAGCAGCAGCGATTTTTCAGCCGCTCTTGACCACCGTCCAGACGTGCTCCGAACACATCTCATCCTCGTAGTTAAATAGCTGTAAATCATGCTGTCTGCAAAGCTGCAACCATTCGGCCACCGACATATCGAAAGGTATCTCGGGGATCGGAATGTGCGTTCGAGGCACGCCGCATACAGGTTCCAGACCAGTGTAGGTGAACAGGATGCCGAGCCTCTCCACTCTCCTTTTGACTCTTTTCAGCCATTCCCACGGATCGAAATAGTCATACTGAGGAATCCACTCCCAGTCGAACCCTTCTGGAAGATCGGAGACGGGCATGGGAAGAGCAAAAGGCCTGACGCAGTAGTTGACGTGGATTTGACAAAGCCGAGCTCTCCGAGCCCTGGCACGCCGGGCGAGAGTGACGAGAAAGGCAAAAAGGTCCTGATCGAGAGGACAGAGGAGGTCGCAGACTGGCTGGTCCTCTATGTCCAGGGGGAAGCAAGGGCAGTGCCGCAGAGAGAACTCGCAGCCGACATCGAGAGTGATGCGGTATAGAGTCGGAGCGAGAAGTCGGTCTACATCCTGGTGTAGCTCGTCCAAGTCGCGGGGTTCACTTCTAAATCTCCACCGGTCGCAGAAATCCTGGTGGCCAGCAAAGATGGACGCAATGTGGAGGTGCTGCAGGTTTCGATAGTCCCGAAAGTCTGGTATGATGCCGTGGTCCAATCCAAAATTGGCCCCAGCGGAAGAGTCAAGCCCAGGCATGTACGCCATTGCATACGCAACCGGTGTCAAGGCGAGCCCTATTCGTAAGCTCTTCAGCGTAGTCCGATGAGGCTCGAGCATGTCATGTAACTTCTGAACGATCTGGCTGGCCATAGGACCGTCGCGCATGTGGATATCATTCAAGTACAAGGACTCAAAGCCAAATCGCAGCGTGAAATAAAAATGCTCAAGTCTGCGTGGCCATTGGATGAGAGACTCGAGTGTTCTGTAACATCGCCCGTAGTTGTTCAAAATGAGTGTTGTGAATTGTGCGGTGTGTTTTGGACTCTGTGGCTTGTTAGTAGGGGGTAGTGACAATGGAAGACACAACGGCATGGGCCCGAAGCCGGGGGTGTGTGTACTTGCCTGTAGCACCTCATTTGCAAATGGGTTCCCAGGTGCGGCATGAGGTCCGCGTTGTTCAGTTAGAGAACGCATGTGGGAGAGACACATAACTTGCAGATCTTTGACCTGGGCAAGCAATTCAACCAGACCATTCCAGATGGATGGACAGAGCCTTTCGCGGACAAAAGCAAGTCTGAGTCTTTTCACCCGTGAAAGATGGGTAACGGCATTTTCAAAGAACTTGAGTTGCCATTGAACCGAATCATCCGTTCTCCAATCGACATGGGACAGATCGAACACGCCGGACGGCGAAGCCAAGGTATAATCAAGTGAACGAACCGTGGTGAGGCTGGCTAGCGTATCCTCAGAGTACACTTTTGACAACACCAGCGTCTGAGAAGGACTTTTAACGTCAATAGTTAGTCACCTGAGCAAGCGACCTTTGAGTACACAACTTTGACTTACGTTACTGGCAATCTCGGGTCGATGCTCAGTGCTCTGCAACTCCCTGCTATCTTGGGCCGAGATTGACATGTGAGCGTCGTTAGCGACCATTCAATGCCCTGGGGTGAAATGTTGATGATGGTGATTTGGAGCTGGTCTGAAAGCGACGAGTAGATACGTCCACTATTCCTTCTGGGTAACATGGTGTAATGTTCTGGAAATGGTGGGCGCCTTTCCTGTCCATGGAGAACAGGGCTAACCAAGCTTACACATTCGTAAGCTAATGGTAATGCGATACAAAGAAAGGTTCGGCAAGTCAATAACACTGGCAGGTACTTGACATAATCCAATCGCAAGTGGAAATCCGAGTAAGTGCTAAAGTCGATGGGTGCGGCGTCATTGTTCTTCACAGAAGGGTGATACCAAGTGCGGCACTCCTTGAGAATAGCTTGTAGGACTTCTTGGGGAATCTTCAAGATTGTGGGTTGCGCCATGATGATGAATGGTGGAAGTGTCTCGAGAGGATGACCAGAGCTCGTAGGCCACAAAGTACAAAGAAGTTGTGCTTCCGGCATGGGGACCCATCCAGTTATGTAGGACCGGTGGCTGGAAAGGTTCACCTTCTCTTCAAGCGGGCCGTCACTCGCAACCATGCTCGGAATTAAGGGTACCAGAAGCAAGGAAGCTCTGGCTACACAATAGTGTACATCAGGATGAGCAAGTGAAATGTAGAAATATCACGGAACTTGGTGCATACGGTGAGGATGGCATGCAGATGTTGGATGGATCAAGATAAAACAAACATCCGTTGCCCATTCCAAGGCCAAGTCAACTTTGATGCCATGGCTTCAGTTACTTTGGATAATGAGTTCCTTCACTCCTGATTAATATGGTCCTTCCAGTGTAGCACTGGAAAGTCACCAAGTAGCTCTTGTTGAGATGGATTCAAAGAATACGTCGGTTGCTTGCTGTCATCCCAGACCACTGCCAAGACAGCGTGAGCTGTCTCTGAAATATTATTCAGTCGGGGTTCAGGGGATTTGCTGAGTGGCTTGATGGTCGCGAATCCCTTCTTCTCCGGGTTATCTGATTACTCCACGGGCCTCCCGTGCGTGCGCTTGGTGTCAATGTAGGCAGCATCGAAGGGCGTGTCGGGCCTTACGACCGAGTGCCGACTCGTCCCGGGGTCTCCAAGAATCAAAGCCTTAGTTCCGAGGCATGCAAGCCTAGGTGGCTTACCGCTCTCATTGCTTCCCGTATGTCCGAAAGAAAAGTCGATGTTGATAACAAAACACAACGAGTTTATCAAATGCTTCTCGCTAAAAGAAGATATCTGATTGTCTCCATTGCAATTTCTTGATAAATCTCTTACGGATGGCATCCAGCAATTCTCGTTAGGTAGCTTTTGCAATAAGAAGGGGTGTTGGTGCTCTTGCCAATTTCCGAAGTAGCAAGTGTGAAGTGCAGGAGCAACTTGCATCAAGACTGGATTTGGTAGCAAACTTGAAAGAACTGCCACAGACCAGGTGCAGAGTACTGATTCCTGGGCACCGGCACTGGCACCCATCGCCACTGGCAAGTATTCAGACTGGGTGACCGAATTCCAGAGGAGTAGGAACAGAAGCCTGGGACAGGCCCAGACCACATACTGGCGAGGTCCCAGCTCATGCCCGGGCATGCCAACAACTCTCGTGCCCGTTTACCATGTGCGTAGCCAAGCAGCATGATGTGCAGTAGCCGGAAAACATTGCCCAGATACGCGGTACTGGTGGTACAGTCTTTTGTAGGCCGTAGCTTGGCTCGGGGATCCACCCTGACAATGGGTGGCTGAGCTTTTTGACTTCTTGTTTCTGGAACTTCGAGGGCACACACAGAGAGAAAGGGGGGAAGGAGTGACCAAAACATCTGCAGCACTTCCAGGGGCAGGAACGTTGCCGTGTCTGGATGAAGGCATTTGTGAACATGGCAGGAACTAGTCTTGCCCTTAGCCCTCTTTTCGCGGAAAACGATGGGCAGCAATTTTCGACACTTGTCTTGGCATTTTCACCGTCCATCTTGACCTTCCACACCAGCAAAACTCGATTTGCATCAAAGATGCCAGGCTCCTTGGGCATCCATCACTTCCAAGTCCAGCCAAATGTCATCTTGCCGTACGTCGCCCCTAGTCCCCAACGCCCATGCAGATCTCTCATCGTAATATTCGATTCGGGCATCCAGCTTTTCCACATCTACTCCTGGACCCATAGTATCCAAGAGGAAGCCCTCCAAGTCCGTCGTCTCAAGGTCCAGCCAGCTTAGCGGGCATTCCCCGATCCACCTCATGCTTCCTCGAACATAATCTGCCGGGCGACAGCGTTTGGCGACAAGTGAGAATCTGGCTTCGGGCTTGGACGATCGGACGAAGCAGTAGCTGAACTGGAGTCTCAGCGAAGGAAGCATGATGGTCGACCCGTCTGGCATGAGTCTCTCTTGGACCGCATTGTGTCTCTCCTGGACAAGAATCAGGGTCCAATGGTCGTGGTCAATATCGCGAAGCTGAGAATAGTAACGCGGATGGGGCTCACTCTGACTTTGACAGTATCTCTCGGGGTGTACTCGAAAGGCGGAAGTCGCGCGGGCAATGGAGTAGGCCTCCGCGGGGAGAGGGCTGATTTGAATTTGAGGGCGTTCATGGTCTTGGTCAAGGGTTGAGGAGGCTCGGGATAGACACATACAAAGTCGAAGACCGTCTCCCCACGGTGGCCCGAGTTTACCATCGTCAGGGGTCCAATGGGTGTGGTAGATGAAATCAAGTAGGCCGTTGACGATTTTGATGGGGGTCAGACAAGCATCTCCGAGATAGTAGGACTGGAAGGTATTCGAGATAATGCCAGTGGCACCATCAGGAGAGTATTCGCGGTTGTGGAGGAGAAACTGTAAGACGGGGGATCGTCGAGTCACTGAGAGACTGCTGGGTTGGGGAAGCCAGAATCTTTCGTGCAGACTCGAGCTATACGCCCCAGTGAGCGACATTTTCCCTATTGGACGGCGTTCATTTTCCGCCAGATACTGAAAGAGCTGACTGGTTTTTCGACAGGTTTCCATTGACGCAGCTTGCTCGGGTAGTGTCATGATATAAACATCACAAAACCGAACGCCTGTAGGGGAGCATATAACTTCCGCAATCGCCTTGGGTTCCTCCTTTTCCCAATCAGGACAAAGCGTCAGGACCCGAGCACTGCCCAGTGGGCTCCCGCCGGCTAAGGGGTCTTTTTCGAGCACCAACCGCAGTACACGTGCTGTAAGACCAGTGAAGCAGGCCCAGTCCAGAAAGGTTTCATCACGGTATGCCCATCTCAGAAGCTGAACGGCGTCGTTCCATGCCACCACTTTACCCTTTTGCTTCTTCATTTCAGATCGGAAATGCGAACGAGTTGCTGCACGTCGGCCTATAGGCAGAGGTGCTTCGTACTTGATCAGTTCGCCCCAAGTCACCTGGGCCATGGTTGCTACCATAGGATCCATTGTCCACTCATCACGTCGTTGGGCATAAGCGAGCCTGTCCGGGGGCAATCTGACCGGTTGCTGCGAGGGATCAGAATCCCAGGTTATCCCTGGCCAAGTCTCTATTCACAAGTGTGGTGTGAGCACGGTTATGATATGGTGACTAATATTAGAATGAAATCCCACTCACCTCTTAATGCCCCCAGCTCTATCCTGGAAGCAAATGCCAGCTCGCGTTTTTCCTCTTCAGTAAAGAGCCCGTTATTCATCCCGTCACTAGACCATCGAGGCAACGACCACCCAGTCATCAGGTGCTCAAGCGTTGTTGATTCCAATGCTGGATCCAAGTCTGGTTCCCAGGTCGCAAACCGATGTCTGATGTCCCTTGGATCAGTCACATCGACAAAAATGACCGACACGCCAGTGACGGCGGCGTCCTCGGGCAGTAACTCTGAGCGACACCAACAACCCACAGGACAATTACCCAGGATCTCATCGGCAGACAAGGGAAAAACACTCTCTCCAAAATGATTCCATCCCTGATAGCGCGCGTCTTCCATGAGCGATGCCGAGCCAACACATAGGCACGTGAGTATAAAAGGGAAGCACGGCTTTTCTTCTTCTTCTGCTGACGGCGGGCTGTGCGCGGGAGGGCCGGCACGGCGGCAGGCATAAAAGTCTGAACCGAGCTCTAGTTCGAGAACCAGAGGGATACGGTTTGACGCGTCCGAGAAAGTTCTTCGCAGAAACAAGACGATGGACTCTTTCGACGTGGCCTCGTATGGGCTTGGGCAACAGACACCTCCCAGACAGCGGTAGCGGCCAGCAAGGCGGGCGATAGCGTAGACATGGAAGGGAGGCAGAGGAGGATCTTTGATGCGTTGGACTTGAGGCTCGGGAGGATCGGGAGGTGGATCGGCCATTGTTTACCTCTATGTTAGCTGGATTTCAAAGAGGGAAAACTAGTAGAACACGACTGAGGTTAGTTAATAGACGGAAGTAAGGAATCTGGGTGAAGTGATCTGGATATCAAAGAACGTCCCTACCTACCTACCTGCCTCATTTGCTCCTAGAACGAACGCTGTCGTGGCTATATAATGCTATCAATACATTGCATGCCATAGTGACCTTATTTTTTTTTCTCCCAAGTGATTGCTTCCGTTCACTGCTTGTTGTCACACAAGCATGACAACCCAGATTGCCCCCCCTCACGTATCCGATTCCCAAAAAGAATGCATTCGATCATCTCAGTGATGAACTTCCTAAAAGTTGTTTCCAATCCAAAAAAAAAGAGAATCCCAAAAACACCCTCTTGATGGGGTTCACACTGTCGCACATAAACCCAAGAAAGCCCTATGAAAAGCAAGTTAGGCAACCATTACAGCTGCCTAAGGATGCTCTTCCCAAGCAACACCTTCTTCGCCGACTCTTCGGCTCTGTTGATCATCTTGTCAACATCAGTCTTGACCATCCACTCGGCTTGCTCCTTTTTGTCCAAACTGTTTTTATTTCCACTGTTAGCCGTGCACATCACATCACATTACACAAGCAAAGATTACTCCTACTCCTCACTCAAAGGCAGCCAGCCAGCCAGCCAGCCAGGGTTCACTCACATGACAATCTGCGACCCAAAGATGAACAATCTTGAGTAGGCAATCAACAAGTCCGCATACTCCTCCACCACCTGCCCATCAACCTCCTCCTTCTGCGTCTTCCCTTTCCCTTTCCCCGTCCCCGGCTGCAACACATCCGTACCTACGTCGTCCCTCCCCAACCACTCCACCTGCCCGCTAACCACCTCGACACCCTGATCACACCTCGTCAGTGCCTGGTCCAGCGTCCTGGCCAGCACGTCAGCCACGCCGCCGCCGCCACCCGAGGCATGAGCCGCGCTGGTCAGACAGTCACCGAGCGTGTTGGCGTGCTGGTTGAATTGGAGGAGCTTGGCGGACAGGTTGGTCAGCCTGGTCAGGGAGGGGTTGGAAGGGTAGGGGTTTGAGGGATCAGTGGGTTTATGGGATGGAGGCGGAAGAAGGGTCTTTTCGATTAGTTGGGAGGTGGAGCGGGCTTTTTCGGCGAGGAAGGAGGCGGCGGCTGCTAGGGTGAGCGGCTGCGAGGTTGATGGTGGTGGTGGTGGTGCTAATGTTGATGATGACATTTTGTTGTTTTTTTTGCCCTTTTTTTTTGCTTGTCCACGTGGCCTCCTCGTTCGTGGCGGGTGGTGTGATCTGGGTTGCTCTGTGGGGTTGGTAGATGGATGGAAGCCCTGTTGAAACTGGGAGGTCGGTCGGTAGAAGATGAGTTGGTGCTGTTGATGAAAGGTTATGCAGGTATGTTTGAGGTGAACCAAGATGAGATGATGGTATTTCGTTGTTGTCGTCAAAGTTGAGGTAAAGTTGTTGTTGTTGTCCGGACCCGAGGCGCTGGATGCAGATGATGATGAGTGGAGGATGGATGAGTGTTTCAGGGAAAATGCGCAAGTGGAAAAAACGGGGCTGCAATGAAACCTTTCACAAGCCTGTTTGTCAGCCCACTCGCCTTACGGGCAGCGTGGGGCACAAGCGCTGAGAAAGTGCGGGGCTCCCTGTCGACGCCGGCAGTTACCGACGGACCGTGGGGGTTGATTGGGTTCGGGTTTTGGGGGTGACGAATTGCACTTTGTACCTACGATGGAGATGAGTCCGGAGAAATCAAGAGTGAGAAGGCAGAAGCAGGTGGCTGGAAAAGATAACAAAACGGAAGTAGGGAAGAAAATGTGGTGGCTTGTTCTCAATGACATGTGTGTCATTCGAACAAAGGGCGAACCCTAACCCTCTTCTGTAGCATCTGTTTGTGGCCGTGTACCCAGTTGGAAGACTGAAGACACTCTACGATATCTCAGTGCACAATTTACTTAAAAGTGTAACAAGACCGTCTACAGAAGCTCAAGAGTCTATAGAACCAAGAATTAATTAAGATTCTGTACAAGGCCTGCGTGGTACACAAACATTCGGTCAACGGGAGACGGCCCGCCATGCCAGTGGCTGCTGACGTTATGTTGAAGGTTTGCGCCTTCCGTTCTTGTCATCATACGTACAGGTATATACACAGCTTCCTTAGTTCGAGTTCAAATCTCCTTTGCAGTGGCGGGTGTCACTCATGATATCAAGGAAAGAGCGATTCTTTTGCGGGCAGATCGTGAGACTCCAATCTCTTTCTACCGACTAAACACCGAGAGTTTGTGTCCAAAGAATGAACAGCTGGCCAAGCTGGTAAAGCCACAAACTGAACCATCAAGAAACTGCAAGCCTTCGTTCTTCATCACATCTCATTGCCCCAAAATGTCTCCTCGAGTGACACAGCACAAGACACCATGAACTCTCTAGACGCAAACAGTCGCCGGGATACCAACCCCAACGTTGTTGCATCCATTGCACTGCTGGACAAAGCGCCAGACGGCGCCGGTGGAGTTCGTCTCGTAGATGGCGTTGAAGATCTGGCCCTCGGTGGTTCCGGGGGGAGAAATGGCGATGAGATGAGCCTTGTCAGAGCCTATGGTAGTGTGCCCAGTCAGGTAATTTCTCGGTTAGCTCTTCTTTCTTCTCTTTTGCCTGCACCCACTGATGTGTGTTATTTCTGGAGTCGGAAAGAAAAAGAGAAAAAAAAAAAAAAAAAAAAAAAATATGACCTTACACTTGAGATCGTTAAGGATACGCCAGCCGCAGAGCTGGACGCTGGCGGGGCAGGCGAACTGGCGAGACTCGATGGTGGTCTCGGTAGGGGCACCCTGAGCGGTGGCGGCGAGGGCCGCGATGGCGACGACGATGGTGTTCAGAGCAAACATTTTTGGTTGATGGGTTTGGATAGGTGATAGGACAGGTGAAATGTGAGTTGTTGAATGATGATTGTGCTGGTGAAGAGTGTGATGATGATGAGGAAAGAGATTGTACACAGTCGGCGATGGTTCCTCGGTCTTCTTATAGACTTTGGAACGTCTAGCAATTGCGAATTGCATGGCTGTTGCTCTGCGCAGTCAAGCCGCTGGATGATACCGGATTTGTCCATATCATGATCCCTCATGTTGACAGAGCCACATATATCACACCGCCGTGATGCTGTCGAGACCACGTCCACAAACAGATCAACATCGTCAGAGTGAGCAGTTTATTCCTGTGCCCCTTTGAGCTTTTTCACCAAAATCGTTCTTACCGGCATCAATGTTCCCTGATTGGGCGAATGCACTGATACACAGCCAAGTGTCATGGTGAGAAACATATCATTGCGTGAGTTGCTGATAGTCTTCTGGGAGTCCTCGTGATCTTGAGAGCTGAGTGGCGGTGATTAGGTCCTTCCATAGACTCGATGTTTGATGCTCGCTGGTTTACCCTCAAATCAACTACGGCTTTACTCTTCTTCGTAGTTTTCCACAGTCGCTGATTCCAATCCTTCACGAAAAACACATATTTGGCTCTTTGAGTCTCATATGCACTAGACTTGTGGAAGACATCATCCCTCAAAACCTCCTCCAAAGACCACCTCAGACACCTCAACACATACACCAGGCAACCTGTGTTCAACTCGTCTTACGGTCTTGGCCGTATCACCGGGCCAAGACAGAGACAGAATTGTGCTTCCGACATCCCTCTGGCCCTCGGACCACAGAGATTTCCGAGACCTTGGCTCAGCCCTCTCCATATTACCTCCCTGCAATTTCTTGCCCGCCACGTGCAGTGAATTGCTTGACCGAGCATGTAAATATCATGCTCGTCTCCCTGGCTGGTGGCACATAGTCAGCAGCTCATTGGAAGCTTTCGGCTCCAGGTGTTTGGGACACCACCGGCTGTGACCTTGCGGCTCGGTAAGGTAGGTAGGTATGTGATTGACTTTAGTCACTGCCCGTTGACGCAGCTACCTAACATGGACCCAAATAGAATCGTGGAACGCGAGCGTATGTCTACTTTCTTATCACCACTTTTTTTACTGAGTCTCAATGTGGGGATTCATGTTGAGATTACTCACCAGAATGACAAAAGGGGTCAACTTTCTGGCAGTTCAATGATGGTCATGTGGGGAAAAAGAACCTTACATGTTGTGTACGTTTGTAGGGAGCGAGCCCTTATTTGCCGCTGTCGGTGTCAATACCGAACGAGAAGAGTCGTTCGGGTAGGTACCTTACTGTTCCAGAGCCTAATCAGCTTTAGCACTTACAAGGCTTCCGCACATCTTCATGCTGAGTTTCTCCAAAAAGCCGTTGTGCTTACTGCCAATGAGTCGTGACTGAAGTTCCCCAGATTACCATCACCATGTATAAGACTCTTCAGAAGAAAAGACCTTCATGTATGTATAACGAAGGGCGTGAAATGCTTCTAGGTATTCTTTCGCATCGTTTACAACCAAACTCGGAACCCAAGTCACACTTATTTTCACTGAGGTGAGATCTCCCCAAAGCCAACCAGGCTGCCAGGCAAACCATCCATCACCGACGAGTACCAGCAATGTTCATAGTTTGGTTCTGTGTAACGTACCAACTTGAATTCCCGAATGTGACAAAGTCGTCGTTGAGGACTTGACCGACAAAGATCACATTACACCAGTTCACGAATAGCCAACTGAACCTGTGACGTCTGTCACGCCTGTCAGGACCAGCTACGCCGCAGAGAGTCGCAATGGGAAACCCAAGTGACCGGTATTCGACGTTGGTCATGTCATGGTCCTTATAGTGAAGAATGTGTCGAGTGGGTTTGTATTACTGGCGTTCAGATGTAAGCAGTATATAGATGAATTACCCATGTAAGTGATGTTACACTTCGATCCTTGCATGCAGGGGATCCGAGGGCTGGTCTGCGGATCGAATTCGCTCATGGAAGTTGAAGATATGGAGTTGATGTTGATATTGTGCTGACTTACATGGGCAATGTAAGAATACCGTATTGGGAAAGGCGCTGGCAGACCAGAAGGAAATTTGAAAAGAACAAAGCCCCGATTGTGCTCGATTAGGATAGATCTGTTTTTGTCCGCCGCAGTCAAGATACTAAGGCTTTGATTGAAGAATACCAGCCCTTTGTATGTTTCTTGCGCATTTTTTTGACCCGTGCAAACAATTTGACAATCTCCAGGGCAGTTGTCCTCAGCAACGACGGCGGTGAAATTTACACTACAAACTCGGGCCACGGACCAACGGTTGACACAACTCCACTGTTGCGGCTCGCCCGGGGCTTCTGTAAGTGGAACAACTTGACGCATGCCAAGACTTGGGGGTTCCTGACAGGGGGTGGCGGCGCCGTGAGAAAGAAGCAGTCGGAGCTGGCAATATAGGTAGCCTACTCGGACACTGACCTCCTTGAGCACAAGATGACAGGACTAGTTGTTGCTGTCAGTTGGCAATTTGGGGATTCCTCGTTGTGGCCCGGTAGAAAAGTCCTTTCCAGTTGTGTCCATTAGCGTGTAATATTATGACCAACTTGGTACTGCGTAAGACAAAAAAAGGAACAAGACCCAAAGAAGAACGCCTCATTGTAAGCCAAATCATCAACATGTCTGTTTCTTTCAGATGAGGCCTGCCCGAGCAGCCTCACTTCCGCCCTCCTCCAGAATGGTCTCCACCTTTTGCTTTCCCTTACCAATGCTGCCCTCGCCAACACCCATTCTGCGCGCAACGTAGCGCTGGGCGATGATGCCCACAGAAAGGTTCAGTGCCTCCTCCACCCACTCAGCAACCCACTCGCGCGGATCAACGCCACCGCTTTCGACAATTTCACGAATCTCCTCCGGTACACGTTCAAAGTCGAACTCTTGACCCTCATCGGCACTGCCGGGGGTAAGGGGCGCGGCGGCAGCGTCCAGCCAGCGGATCCATTTGGCGGGGATGGACTGGCTGACAGCCGAGTACTGGATATCATGGATGGGATCAAAGAGGTAGACAGCGAAGCAAACCAAGTCGTCAGTCTTGTCCTCGTCCAAAACATCCGATGACTCCTTCTCCTTCTCCGAGGCTGACGAGCCCGCAAAGAGCGCCTTGTCCTCCTTCACACCGATGGCCTGCACCGACAGGAAGATGTCTGAAGTTCGGACGGGGTTGCTTTCGCGAGCCGGTTCCATTGCTCGCTGGCGCGCCGCCTCGATGCCATCGTGCGCGGCGAAGTAATCGTTGGCATAACCCTCGGCGTTAGCCCGGCAGAGCTTGGTTCCCTCGACAAGTCCGTTGATGACACCTAGATCGCGAGGGATCTCGACTTGCCGCCACCAGGGCCCGTCGCGCCAGCCGACTGTTGATGAGCCACCGAAGAAGGAAGGCTTCTCGGACGAGTTGCGTGCTGTTGACTCTTGGCCCCGCTGGATGACCAGGAGATCGCCGCCCTCGACCTGGGACATGACACGACTAAAGACACCGTGGATAAGGGGATCGAGGGAGGGATATCCGACGAGGTCGTGAGTGATGTGGATAAGGAGCCTCTCGTGCGATGAAATGGGCGGGGCGAGGGTATGGAGGATATTGGTGAATGTCGGGATGGCGCGGTGTACGAGATCTTCTCCAACTGTGATGAAGGAAACCAATCAGCATTTGATTGCAATGACAGAGAGAGAATGGCAGGGACGGCAGTGAGTTCCATCTGAAGAACAAGACTTACCGAGGCCGCGCAAAGCGCCCACGTTGCCGCGAACCTGGTCGGCCCATTTCTTAGCTTCCTCGTTTTGCTGAATCTCCTTGACGGCGGCCTCGGCTTGCTTCACAGCGGCAGCAGCAGTTGAGGCAGCAGTAGACAGGAAGCCTCCCCACCAACTTCCCCCAGAGTTCGCAGTTGGTTGTGGCTTCTCGGCTGGCTTCTTCTCGGATTCGTGCGGATCGGAGCTTGTCGCGCTGGGGGTGAAGGTGCCGGTCGGGTGGGATGCGGTGCTTTCGCCTGACTTTCGTGTGGAAGCGCCGGTGTCAGCAGCGGGAGGAGGTGGAGTGTTGGTCGAGGCGCGCTTCGCCGGCGAAGCTCTGGCAGCGATGTCGCGGACGCGAGGGGTATGCGGTCTTTCGGGGGCTTTCGAGACAAGCTCGTCCTCTAGCTCGGCCAGGATATCTCGGTCGGCAGCATCGTTCTTGGGCTTGGCAGGCGCTCGCTTGGTCTTTGGCGTCGATGACTTTTTGATGGCAATGTCGTCGCCGATGCCCTCGAAGAGCTCGCCGAGTTCGTCGTCGGTAGGATCAGTCTTGGATCGTTTGGTGGCCATGGTGTGTGTTGGCGGGCGATGTGCGTCCCGATGTTTCTGTGTTGGGTTGTTTGAGGGGTGGAATGATGTCTCTGGGTGGATTCAATCGAGATAAGGGAGCGGCGGCGGGCGGGAGCACAGTCCAGGCCATCCAGGGACGGGGCACGCAACCCAAACAATGCACTGCGGGGACCAGGCAGAGTTGGTGGGTGCGGATTTGCGGGGTTGCACGAATGTGTCGGTACAGTACACAGGTACCTTTGCACTCCTATTGTGTACCTACACAAACACCAAGAGGGAAAATCAAATCATCCATCATCACTTGTGCGTGTTCGAAAAGTATAGTCTGATTTGACTTAAGAGCTTCCAACGTACATGACATGAAATACTCAGGGTAATAGCAAGCACCTCGAGGTATCGATGGTCTCTACTGGGGTTAAGAATGAGAGAACGTCACTCTGGGGCTCGGTAGGCTTGATAGGATTGGAGCAATGCCGGAGAGGCGCAAGGCATCCACTTTATGCTAGCAGCCCTTCCCTATCCTTGTTGGTGAGACGGGAGCCTCATCATCAGTCGTCAGCCTTATTGTCCCCAACGTACTGCCTACTGTCATCGGAGCTGAGCCACGAGTGTTAAATGTAAAGGTCATTACTCCAGACAACCCTCAATTGCCTGCCAGCTTGCAGTGGCCCATTCAGGTTCTGTTCAGAGTGAATCCAGCCAGGTGGCTCGCACAATGACTGGCATGAAGCAAAAGAGCGGCCAAGGTTGTTGTTGATCCACACTTGCAGGTTGCAAATGGTGAAGTGTAATTGGCCAGCTGTCTCATTCGACACACGAGCTGGAGCATGTTAGTGGCCTTGTCGACTGGCAGCCAGCTGTGTAGTGGATCTGCCAGGACAGGACTGCAACCTGTACTCGTGTACGATTGGCTGTAGCTTCAGTTATTCGGGAATCTGAACCTCCAAAATTGATGCGAGGAAGAAATCTACTCGGCCGTCAAAGTCACGGCCTCTTTTCCAGCCAACAAGTCAAGCAGCGAGCGACTTGAGGAAGACGCCGCAACATCATCTTTACCTCCCTTTCGCGCACTTTTCTCGCTGGGAGTTACAGCATTCAACCTACTCGCCAATCCGGATTATTCTGTCTTCAACCCGTCCCGCTTCCCTCGCCTTTCTTCAGACGGTCGGGTGCACACATTATTCACACAGAACTGCTTGGCCCCGGCGGCTTGCACTAATACCGCCCATCTTGTCTGTACCGTACCATACACTACACTACATACTTTTGCCCGTGCGTCCGGCCTCACTTTTCACTCAAAACACCTCCAACCCTCGACATAACTTCAAACACACACTCTGGCCAATTCTCTGCCACTTCACCTTCAGAAGGAATTTGACGGCGGACAAGCAGCATTGTCAGACAGACAGAAAGCATTGCTATTCGGCATCTTTTTTCCATCATACCCATTCCACCCAACCGGACAACGCTGTTCTCAGCGAACCGACGCCAAGCCTGAGCGTCTTTGGGATCCAACCATTGACAAGCTCTGAGGTAGCAAGCCGGACTCCCTGACACGTTGAAAGGTTAGTGCTTTTTTTTTCTTTGGCTTTTCGCCTCACTGGCAGAGTCGCTATGTTCCACCACCGCCGCCCAAATAATATCAAGTTCCCACTCTGACCAGCTGATAGCTGAGGCTCAAAGAAAAGTGTGTCTGTGCAGTCCAGTCCGGTCCTTCACTTCTGCTGCAGAGTGAAATACAACTGAAGTCTGCTCTAACATGGAGCGCGGACGTGGTGGCCGCGGGCGCGCGACCAAGAAGATGCGTGGAACCCTGTCAACTACATCTCACCACCACCAACAGTTTAGCCAACAACAACCTCAACAGCGTCAGCAGCACGAATTCGAGCATCAATTCCAGATTACACCCTTTCCCCAAGTCAATGGCTTTCACCACTCCAATCCCACAACTACGGGCACTGTTAACCCTTCCATTCCCGGCAGCACCTCACATGCGCCTCACCCCTCCTCCACCTACACCCCCTTTTCGGATCTGACCACTCAGAATCCTCCAATCCCCTTTACATCGCATGTGCAGAACAATCAACCACACCATCCAACGCACCCATATCCTCAGATGCATGGCCATCAGTTCCAGCAACCACAACATCAACCACAGCAGCAACAGCAGCAACAGGCGCATCAGCCGCCGACGACACATCAACGCGCTCCTTCAGTCGGTTCCCTCCGAAGTGGTAGGACCAAGCAAGTCGCTTATCCAAACCTCCAACAGCGCCGCACTGCTTCTCCATCGGCCCCTGATTCGACTTCTTCCTTCCGCGTCACTCCACACAGTGATCGCACCGCCGGAGGACCTGCACTGGATACAACAACCCTTTTCACCTTTGAGGCGCCCTCGAGCACTGCCATGCCTGCTGGCAACACATCAGCTCGCAAAAGGTCCAAGACCTTTGACTTGTCTTATGAAGCCCCCAACTTTGACCATGAGGGAAACTCAAATAGTAAAGGCGGCCACTCGCTCAGGAAGCGTGCACGGATTGACTATAGCCAGGAACAGATTGATGATGTCTTTGGCGGTGCCGGCACCAAAGTCGATTCCGCTGCCAGGCCTGCCGGCACACCTACCACCCGCGGACGCCGGCGAAGGGGTACTCAAGGGGATTCCGAGGGTGAAGAACCCAAGGACCACGATCATAGTGCCTTGCGTAACAAGCGGGGCAACAAGTCTCCGGCTCCTGCACGTAACTCATCCTCTCACCGGAAGCCAGCGGGTAAGAAGCCAGCTACAGCGCAGAGCACGTATGTTGAGCATCACCAGTCGGACAATGACGTGCGAGATACCATCTTAGTCGGCGTCTCGATGGATGAGATACCCGAGGTAGAGGAAGAGTCGGAACAGTCGGCCGTTGCAGGTGCATCCGCGGCCAATCAATCGTCAAAGCCCAACGGATCTGGTGCTGTCCCGCAAGGTGAACAGTCACATCCTCGCGCTGCTGATTCTAGAGGAGCTGTTAGTTCGTCCCAGTCACAAAATCCTTCCGCATCCCATGGCAACATCGAAGGCACCAGCAATGAGGACGAACCGGCTCCAAATCCATCAACACTGGAGAACGGTACCACCGCTTCTTCCAAGGACACTTCAACCGAAGAGCAAGGCTCTCACCAGGTAACCGCCATGTCGACCGAGACTGAGAAATTACGTCCATCAGAACACCCCCAAAATCACCCAAATCTACTCCACGATGGGCCCTTTAAGGTAGAGCCCACAGAGCAAGATGAAGGAACCCATTTGCACTCCGTACCCGAATTGATTCCCTCGTCACCAATTCTTTCTTCCAAGGTCAACTCTCAACCCGGCAATCGCCCTCCATCCCCTCCCAATACCACACAAGGTAGTAATTCGGTTGCGACAACTTCCCCATCGTCGTCTTCTCAGACAGTACGACCTCCCAAGCCGGGTTTCCCTCCCCGTTTGAAGAACCTCGAAAAGATCTATAGCCTCGAGACACCCATCGCTGCTTCTCTGAAGCTCACGCCCTACGTGGACGATGATGTCACACACCCTGGCCCTTTTGCTGAAAGGCTTGTCCTTGATCCTATGACGAAGGCCAATCCTACGCCTATACCGACGCCGGCCACCTCACCGGCTCCCACCCCTGCACAGCCGGTGCCGGTCGCACCGGCCGCCGTGCCAGAACCCACGCCTACTGCATTCCATTGGGATGGGCGCCGCAAGCTGAAGACGGAAGAGTTTTACAAACTCTGGCGACAGGAAACTGGAAAGATGGTGGCGAATGGCCAGCCTCGTATGTCAATGAAGGAGTTTAGAGACAACTACTACATTCCACGACTGAAGGAAGCACAGGCTGAGTCTGGAGGCAAAGTAGCGGAAACACTTCCCCCACCAGAGCCAGCTCCCGCACCAAAGGTGAAGCAAGCCTCTCGTCCAACAGGGCAAGCATCCGATGATGTGCCCCAAACTGAACCTCCGACTGCCGCGCCTTCTCCCTCCGAGATGGTGGACGAGGAAGACCTGGCAACCGCATCTGTGGCCGACGATGAAGATGGGCAGTATGTCAATGGGCCGGTGTTTGACTCTGAAAAAGCCGCAGGCTCTATAGAGCCCCTAGAGGTGGTCCGGCAGCCACGAAAGCAGTGGTCATTCCCCAAGATTCGCGACGTTCAAGATTTTGCGGATCTCTTGGAAGACTACCAGGATATGGACACTGCCACGCTCTACAAGCTGGCTGAAGCCATGTCTGAAACCCTCAATGTCTGGCAGAATGAATTCCGCGAGCTCAAAAAGGTTGTTGACGATGAGGACAATGCAGAGCGCCGCAAGAAGAATGATGTCTCGATTGTCAACTGGGAAAACCGGCTGAAAGCGGAGGACGCACCACATTTCCGCCGCCACTATGATGAACCCACCAAGGGACCGCCCGCCTTCGAACTCAAGGGTGTTCGCGCACCGAAGCCTTCGTCAGATGATCCCATCTACGAGCATCAAAAGGACCAGGATAAGATCATGGCCGCAGCATATGGCTTCAAGCACAATCCCCATGCCAACGCGGTTGGTAGACAAAACATCGAAGAGCAACGGTGGGACATCACCGAGACCCGACCCCACAGGAAAGGTGCTGGAAAGGCTGAGCTTGCCGAAGAGAACGTTGTTGAAGGAAAGCGAGTGCGCAAACCCCGCAACCTCTCGGATCAAAGCAAGGATCCTAGTCGTGCCGGCACCCCTACCGGCGGCCCATCTACTGTTGTTGGCCGGCGTGGTAAGCGCAAGCAAATGGCTTCCAATGACGATTCGGTTGAGCCATCTGACCAAACTCCGGCCATAGAGATTGTCCCTGAACCTGTAGTCCGCAAACGACGCGGACCCAAACCCAAAGCACTTATTTTGGCGGAGCAAGCTCAGCAAGCCAAGGAGGCACAACAAGCTAAGGAGGCCCAGGAGGCATTGGAAGCCGAGCAAGCCAAGGAGTCTCAGCAGGACGTGGAAGACCAGATTGCCGAGCAAGTCCAGGAAACTGAGGAAGTCCCACTGGGTGATGACGCAGCTAGCGTAGCACCTGAGGAACCCAAGGCTGAAGAGACCACATTGCCAGTAGACAAGCCGAAACCAGGACGCAAACGTGGTCGTGCACCGGCTGCGCCTCCTGCCGTTGAGGAAACGCCTGCCCCTGCGCCTGCTCCCACTGAAAGTGAGGAGGGAAAGACTAAGCGTCAGCGTCAGCCCAAGGTGGCCCTTCCTCCGGTTCAAGAGATCGCTCCGCAATCTTTCTATAATAGCCCTGTTACCTTGGATAATGGTGCTTCGGAAATTCTACCACAAGAGCAGCACGTACCGAGGCCATCAACTGCTTCGTCAGAGGGAACGAACAATACGGCCGGCACCCCGGAGTCGAGCTATTCACTGCGTGATAAGCGGAGACGCAACTTTGCGCTCGAGAACGATCCTGAGCTTGAGCCAAGACAGCACAAGCGAGCTCGCAACGCGGTTCCGGCTAAACCAGAGAGCCACGAGCCTAAGAAGCGTGGCCCTAAGAAGAAGAACGCGAATGTGACGAGCCAGCCTACTTCAGTACCTCCTCCACCACCTCCGGCACTTGCTCCGCAGCAGCCCGTAGGAGGATTGAAAGCACCCGCATTGTTCTTCAACAGTGGACCGCCACCCATCGCTCCGGCCCCTGGTCCGTCTCCTTTCATGCATACATTTAACGCCGCCCCGGCCTTCCCACCAGGAGGTCCTCCGCCGCAAGTTCCCGCGCCACCGGCTATCACCAAGCCGTTGACTCGCATCAAGATCAAGAATCCAGGACCCCCTCAGATGGGTCCTAGCTTTGCGCAAGTGCCTCCCCAGGCGGTCCCTCCCGTCAACAATGGCCCACATCCTACTTTGAAGGGCCCAGGTAAAGCACCTCGGGCTCCGAAGGCGGCTACGCCAACCCCGCCCGAACCTGTCGAACCTCCCAAGATGATGCCCAGTGGCTTTGCCCTGGCCAATACCACGGAGCCGGATAAGCCATATGCGGAGATGAGCAAGTCGGAGAAGATGAGCTATTCCATGAGAAGTAAGTACTTCTATTCTGCCTTTCTTTGGTCGACATGTCCGCAAGCTAACAGGGACGTAGGACGCTGGGCTTCGGGTGAAATGCAAGGAGCGGTTGAAAAGCGCCGTACAACTTTGGCCAACAAGAAGGCCGAAAAGGCGGCAACGGGCGTGACAAACGGTAACGAGCCGGGCATGATGTCGATGAGCCAGACTCCAGATCCAGTTTCCGCTGGCCCCTCAACCGGTGCCTCGGCCCCGACAACACCAGGCCTTGGTCCCACCCACACCGGGCTGTTGGCTTTGCCGCCCCAACCTCAAGGAGTTCAGAACGTCCAGGTGGCACAGGGCCATCACCAGGTGATGCACAGCTTCCCCCCGCTTCCACCACATATCATGCCTCCGCAGCATATGCCTCCGCAATCGATGCCCCCTCAGCAAATGCCACCTCACTCGATGGCTCCCCAACCCATGCCTCCAATGGCCCAGATGGCACCCATGTCGCAGCCTGGTCCGGGCCAGGGACAGATGCCGCCGCAAATGGCTCCGATGCCCCCTATGCAACAACAGATGCAACCGATGCACCCTCTCCAGCATCAGCATATGCCGCCTCAACCCATGCAGCCGTTGTCTTACCCTTACCCTCACCCTCCTTCTGGGCATGGACCCGTTGCTTAGGAGGCTATAGACCCCCAGTTGATGCAGTGAGCTACATGGGATAGGAAACCAGAAAGAGCAAGGAGTGGATGTAGGAGGAGAAGTAAAAATAATGATAAGGCTGGTCTCTTTAGAACGTTGACGCAGTTGGGTACTGGTTGGTAAAGATGGATATACCCTTTCTTGAAGAGATGGATGCTGGTGATGTGGATATTACTTGTTCTGAGAGAAATTCACCAAGGCAGATTTCATCTTAGTTTCAGTTTCGTATTTTGCTCCAGACGATTTGGGTACACCTGCTTGCACATCTAACTACCTAGTCTAGAGGTGCAAAGCTCTTTCTTGCATCAAGTCTTAGCTCCCCTTGTTTGGGAGCCTTAGACTTTGTATGGGGGACACAAAAAAGAGAAGGAAAGGACGCAAGACCATTCCCTGATTATATGGAGAATCACAGGCAAATGGATAGAGTGCATCAAGAGGTTGGTTTGAATCCAGGCAAGCTGGAACAAAAGTATCTATCTACTGGCATTTTCAAAAACAGGCAAAAGGAGAGGAAACGTTTCTTGCTAGGCGTTTTGATACAGTGGGCCACCATAAGTCTGTGTGCACGAAAAAAAAGGAGGCCTCTAATAACACATAGCAACAAGATAATAACCACTTCATTAAATGACTTGATTGACTTTTAGCTGCATATATGAGCGCTTTGCCTTACTTAATACTCTTTTATCCAATTTCCAATCGTATTTGCGGGGATGTAACGCTAGAGTGTCTGAGCAGCTTACCTTAGTTTCCTATCAATTCGGACCGCTCTCAACTGCTCAAGCTTAGGACGGAATGTTGTCGCATTGGCACTGCAGTGGATAGTCGTTTAAAACCACCCTTATAGTTAGGTAGGCTTTAAGTGACTACCTAGGCACATATGTGCCTAGCATTCATTAAAATTGAAATGGCGTCGGAGAAAAAATTGAAGTGTCTGGTTTGACAATACATCAAGAGGTTCGTTCGTATGCTGTGCTGCAGTGCCATGTTTCCTCCGTCTCTTCATCATCAATGCTATCATCATCACCTTCTTCTTCGTTACGGGATGTTTACTTCTTTCCTGACTGGATCGCATAGGAAACAAGACCATGGATGAGTACAGGTGAGGAAGGAAGCTGAGGAGTGAAGGGTCACGGAGAAGGTAGTTGTAGATATGTATCTCTGTCAGTGGCTCGAATTTTAACTATGGTAAAATCAATTGCTCTACTACCCGGCCCTTCTAACAGTCATCTAAAGGAGATACTTCGTTCGATCCTGGCCTCTTTCGTACCCGTCCGTCCTTTTCCGTGACTGCCGGAGTTAGAAACTCGAGTCTAGGTCGACCGCAGATGCAGTTGCCGGGTAGAACTTGATGAATTGGGGTGGATTGCAGTGACTGACTGACTGACTGAGGTACAGACGGGGTAAGTCCGGCAGTACTTATCTCTAGAGGTAAGCACCTGACTGGGTAAAGATAAGTAGACTCATTATCTCTAGGCAGGTTTAACCTTTATCATTCAGTAACTGAAGTAGCATGTGCAATTCCGTCCGCCTTCTTGGCAAGCTGAGGCCTCGTGGTCGTATATATGCCCGCCTATGGCTGCAATCTAGCGTCATCCGCAGCTTCTTCAGACGATAATGTACTGCAGGGGTTCACGGTCTCTGTGTCTCAATCTCCCTCATTTCCAGCTTAATGCCGGATAGTACTGTGTGTGCCAAGTACTATACAACCTGGTTCATGCCTCTGTTCTTCTCGTTATTCTCAGGTTCCGGGCATCGATTTTGGAGAGGCTCAAGGGTCCAGTCCACCAACTTTAGAAAAATTCCTATTATGCAGCTGGGCTTTCTCGACAAAGGCAACATGGAAGGTAACAAAGCAAATGAACTGATTAGGACGGGTGTCTGAAGTTGCTTCGGGCAGCCAAATGGCCGAAAGCTTGTGACAATACATTGCTATAACTACTTCGTGTGCTGTGCTAGCCAATTGTTCTCTCCAATCACTGTCGAAGTTTGTGCGCAGAGATAAGAGATTTCTTTATAACTCGTAAAATATCCGGGGACGTTTCACTTTCATCGCTTGAAAGCCGAGGACTTTCAGATGAAGCTGATATTGTATCCTTCAGGTCGTAGACGGCGGGAGCTTATCTTTGTAGTAATCCTCAAGCGACATATTCGCTTTGTACCGTGACTTCCATGTCATATACGTGCCGCGCCAAGAGATTTTACTTTCCAGCAAAGCAATTATCTTGAGGATCCTGTAGGTTTTGGAGTCTTCGGGATCTGTTAAAGAAACGCTACTTGTAGCTCCATGCTCAACTAGAATCTGCGTTATGTCTGGTGGGCAGCACGCTATCGAGCAGTGCAGTGGGGAAAGAAGAGAATCTCCGCAAAGCGCTTCGGCTTCACCAGTGGTAGCTGCTTTGAGGAAAGCGAGAACCCTCGGCCCTAGAGATGGTATTGAAGAGTGACCTTTTTGTTTTGGTCGTGCGCATATTGACACAGCAAGAGGCGTGAGTCCATGCGTGGTCCTTCGGTGTATTGCGCCTGGCCAGAGTTTCAGGACCGCACCAATGGCGTATGGCTGCCACAAAGCTGCCGCATGAAGAGCTGTCCATTGCGAGTCGACGGATGGACCACTATCCGAGCCTGTGAGGTATATATCGTTGAATTCGAGCTTCTGGACTTCGTCGACCAACTTGAAAAAGATTTTACGCTCTCTCTCAAGGTCCTCTTCTCTTCCTACTCTTTCAGGCTGTGCATAGGTAGTCATGACATCGAGTAAAATTGTCGGCCAAGCTTTTACTGCCTCCGACAAACAAGGCATTGCTTCGAGGACTTTATCGCATCGGTAACTAATCGTCCATTCAATGATCTTCTGGAGAAGGCTCAGGTCCGGTACAGATGAATGATTCGACCTCTCGCGATCGAGCCACCCCCCTATGCTTTGCATGGCCTGCTTGTAATCGTCGTTCATCAGATGTATTCGAATGGTTTCCAGAACGTGGTCATCCACAACAAACCACACCTTGTTCGAATGACTTGTAAGGTTCAACAGCGAGGTTATTTTCGAGCGAAAGATCGACTCGGCATTCTCTTTGGCCCTTTGCAGTACGTCCCTGATTAAAGACAAGTCAACGTAGATGTTCGTTGTGATCATCCGAAGAAGGTCAAAGTTGTTGTGCGCGATTGCATTTTGTAATGCCTGTGATGCCAGGGATTGTGGATCTGATGCCCATCCAGCTACCTTGGGGAGGTTATCCCAAACTATCTTGAAGCAATGGTCGTCTGCGGCTTCTGAAAGAATGTCTGAGAACCTGAGGACATCGTCTTCGGTGGGATCTGGACTGTTTCTCGTTCTTCGGAGCAGCGCCAAGACAGTGAGAGCTGCAGCCAAAGCCACTTGGGCGCTTTTAGAGTTGGTACCTCTATATAGGGATGCCGCTGAGCGTGTCTCTTCAATCAAGGCCCACAAGTGGCTTACCACGCCCTGAACTCCAATTCCTATCAAGTGCTTTCTGGCCATGTGAAGCGCGAATTGAGCAGAGGTATTCTCGAGGGGAGTTGAAGTTAGTAGGACAAGGAAGTAGACTGCTGCAACAAAAGAAGGGCCAGCAACAATGCACCGCTCTTTCAACTCGTCCAGGCATTGGACTTTTTCTTTATCGTTCTGGATCTGTTCCGAGACCCACTGACATGTCCCAATGAAGACGTGATTATTCTGTGAATGACTCCTGATTATATGGCGAAAGAGGTACGCATGCGACTTGTTGAGCGCATACTCAATCATTCCTCCTTCACCATCGAGAGATGTATTCCACGGAACCCAAACATGTGGCGGTCTATCGTTGATTATCGCCCTCCATAATATGTCGACTTTGGCTGCATCCTCCTCGGTGAGGTGCGCTGTATGTCGAGTCCAATACTTAGAGGCGTACGATAGGAAGCACGTCATCGCCTCATTTTTCGGTATTTGAACCTCTAGCAAAGTCATGAAGACGTTCAGTTGTTCAGGCGCCGGTCTTCGATGTTTGTCCCTTTTGAGGTGTCGAACCATGCTGGCCAGTAATGGGTTGGAGCTTGATGCTTCCTTTTTTAGTCTCTCTGAAATCGAACTGGGATCGACTTTTCTGTTCAAAGTCATACGTTTGTCGAAGTCAGCAAAGTTGAGATACGTTACACAGACGGATCCCATGAAGGATTCTGCATCGGCCATCCAGCTCCGCGTAAGGCTCCTGCCGTCCGTTCCAACTTTTCGGTTTCCCATATGCGGTACCACACTGTGATGGATGAATCGAACCTGGTCATCTTCCTCGTCGAGCTCCAGCAATCCACCACCACAGCGAGAGACAACCTGCTTGGGACTGTGAGGCAACCGGGCCCCATTCCAGGTAGGGTCACCGGGTTGGACAGTGAGTGCAACACTCAGCTGTTCCCCGGTAAGGCAAGTCTCCGCCACAGCAACCACTTGAAATATTCGATCACCGTACCGGCGGTCGGGGATGCGGTCGAGCGCCTGATCGAAGGCTTGTGGAAGATCTTTCGGCAAATGATGTAGTATGTCTTGCACCAACTCATTGGTCAATACGCCTTCGTTATAGGATGGGAATATGGCCTCGATATGAAGTGATACCCAAAGATACCTGTAAAGCAAATAACCATGGTCAGAAATTTCGAACAATGTATGTCAACAGAAGCTGTTCACCATCATGCGTATAACTCACATTCCTTGAGCTCCCACAGCCAGCGCCTTCGTAACCTGCTCCACCAACTCATCGCTCATTTGTGGCTCACGGCGAGCATTACGTCTCTGTACCTCCAATCTGATATACTCCTCGATTTCTGTATCACGCAGGACATTGTTCAAGGACAGATCGGCAGCAGTGCCCAAATATTCCTGTGTCAGCTCGGTTGGAAGGCCAGAGGCGTCCAGTCTTGTCGAGAAGCACACAGATATTCGATGTTGTTGGCGAAGGTCCTGTAAGGCTTGTAAAACGATTTCCACATCCTCCTCTGAGCATTCATCCAGTCCATCCAGAATCACACAAAAGGTTTCGTTCCGCGGCAAAAGGCTTTGCAGAAGCTTCACAATGGAGTTAACGGTCAGTGACCCAAGAAAGGTATCAGGACTCCCTTGGATCAATGTTTCCCATTGTTGACGGACTGTTCCAGATTGCAGCAACTGATGGGCAATACTTCCCAGAATAGTGAATCCTTCCAGCGTGTGTGGATCATCTCTTTTGCAAATGAAGCCTGCGTGCTTCTTCTTTTCCATCGGTGCGTCAGCGATGATGGTAGCAAGCGCAACAGTTTTGCCGCAGCCAAGGTGCCCGGTAACTCGTAACACAGGCTGGTGCCCTGCTTTCCAAGATTTGTATTCGGACGTAGTAAGAATCCAATTCGCGGTTCCGCGCTTTCTTTCTCGTCTCCATATTGCATCCTGTTGACCTTGTCGGGGAGATAGATTTTGCAAAAGGTGTTGCTTTTGTTCGAGTATGTGTTGTCGTCTCCACGCCTTAGAAAAGCGGCGTATCATCCCTCCCGTCTCTTTTCTTGCTGCTTGTTGTCTGTCAGCCGCCTGCGAGCTGGTAAGCAGAGTGAACTGCTTCTCGATCAGAGCCCCGTACATGTTCAGTTCCTCCTGGATTGGTCCAAATTCATTGTCGAAGGTAGAAAACAAAGATGATGCCAATAGTAGATATGATGATCTTTCAGCAACCGCAAGAATCTGCTGGCATAGACGGACGACTCTGGTAAGGTACTCGGAGAATAAGGCTTGCAGTTCAGCTGAATTGGGGAAATGCTTTGCAAATTCGGAGGTAACGGACCAGGACCGGGTCAGCCTCATCAACATCGAGGAGACCTGGTCAAAGTAGGCATAGTGCCCCACGGCGGCCTTAAGGAATTGTGTGTCAAGTCAATCCTTCTGTTCAACGAATTCAGATCGCAGATTTAATGTCAGGCCAGTCATACATACCTCCAGCGACACCCTTACAGCCATCCATACACCGGAAGCAATCAGACTCTGTGTACCCCCGATCAAGACATCTCCGGCCTCTGCAAACTTTTGTATTCGGCTGAGAAAGCCGCCAAGACGTGTTCCTGATGCCGGTGTCCAAGATGCGTGTCGTCGAGCTCCCTCTCGGTTTAGCTGCTCGGTCATCATGATGACCTCTGAGGCAGTAGGGGGTGAGCTGGCACATTGAGCTTGCAGCCTCATGAACTCCTGTTTCTTCGTTCCATCAAGGGCTTGCGCAAACTCAGACACTGCCTGAGCAAGCCGAAGCTCGGGTGCCAGTTGGCTAGGCCCTGGTAAAGAAATCAGTGCACCGCTGCTTCTCGAAGCCATGCTGATAACATGGCAAGTCACCGAGGGCTGAATGTTGCTTTTGAGTTGTGTCGAAACTCGAGATTATCCAGGGGCGCTGAGCGTAGAAAAAACCAAGTCGATACTGGTTTTTCAGAAAAAGAAAGAAAGCGTTGACGGATCGAATCTTCAGCTTGTTGTTGTGGGAAGAAGCCCTGGCCGGCTGCAATCTGAGAAACAGATCAGAACACATGCAATCGATTGAGTCCCCGTCCGGTTGTAATTGCCAATCTGATTGCTGACGCCACCACCACCAGACACCATGTTGAGCATATATGCCCATCCAATGGCTCATCGCCATCTTTCAGCTGCCAATTACAAGCTCGTAGCAAGGCACAGCCTGGTCTCTAAACCCTACTGTCTGGATGGTGCCTAATGAATACCTAGTCAAGGTTGCATTGGGATCAATTTGTATGGTGTTGGCATTTTTGAGCCACCCGCCTGGTTGAGAATGTACCGAATATGAAAACAGTGAACCGTCGGATCAAAGCATTAGCTTGACGGCGGTGGTTGGCTAGGAGTTGGACTGGACATAGCCCTACTCTGAAAGGCCGTAAGAGATTCGCAAGTGTCGAATGAACTCGTCCTTGTTGCATAATCCAATGCCCTCCGAAAACCGATGAAATTTGTTCATGGATCGGTAGGTCGGATGAAAAGCTGAGTACATGGATCAGAAAAGCGTTGATAGGCGAAGTAGCGCACGAGACCACGAGTTCCCGTTCAATGTGGCAGTGGCTGATCGTGTCCTGTAGCGTCCTGCAGCGTAACGCATCAGTAAGTTGCAAAGCCACGGGGCGGCAAGTCAAAAATGTTGTTATGCTGCGCAGATAACAGGGCGCGGGGCCTTAGGAAGTTGACGAGAGATTCGAGTGGAAGTGCTTGGATCAGAACACAAGCCCTACTCAACGGAGTGCTACAGTCGATAAAGAGAGGGAAAAGTTATCTCAGCGCTCAGACCTCTCTTTCGGGGCGCCAGCGCACGGGCCAGATTACCAGATTACAGTAGAAAAAAATAATTTATCGATCAAATGCCCAGGTTTCCGTTTTCGGTAGTATTTTTGACATGCGCAGTTTTCACTGCTACTCGAGGTTCGTGGGTGGAAGGAAAGGAGATGGTAGGTTGGTCGATTAGGTTAATTATTAAACGGTTTCTCACTGTAACCACTGGTTAAATACTACAGCAAACCACACCAGAATCCATGCGCTCCATTGCACCTTCCAGGTTGCGTGCAGCACTCTACAACTGCCAACTTAGTAGGCGTGGTCATACACTGTAGGTAAAAGAGTTGCTTATAGACTATAGCGTTTTGGCTAATGTGTATCTTAAGGCAAGATGGCCGAGCGGTCTAAGGCGCCACGTTAAGGTTAACCCTTAATCCGAGATATCCGTGGTCCGAAAGGGCGTGGGTTCGAATCCCACTCTTGTCAAACTTTTTTTTTCCTATTTACGCACGGCTGTATATCTTCACTATCTTTACATTCCACGACTTCAAATGGTGAGACTCTACTATATTTTACCCCCTGATGAAAGTTTTCGCACAGCATTATTAGTCAAGCGCTATCCGGTTAGTATTCATACTTCATTCCGCGCTATGGACTAGTGTAAAGTCTGTCCACATTACTTGGTAATTCATCAATCCTCAAGACTCTTAAGCTTTTCTCCGTCCCTTGGAACCGTTGCTAAAGCCATGTTAAAGTCGAAGAGTTCTTGCCGAGTTCATGGAGGCAACTGTCGTCGAGCCTTGGTTCCGAGAGCTCGAGGACAGCCCATCTGGTAGGCAATATCTGTGAAGCGAAATTGTAAGGCTGCTTCCTTTTTTAAGATCTTGCAAGATTTGATCCTCCCTCGCGTTCCACAAGTATGACCAAATGACTACTAAACAAGGCCTCATGTTGCGACCATTGCTTTCAAACGACCTTAATGGTGCGAGTGTTGTCGACAAGATATTTGATCATTGTTGACTTTCCCAATCCAGGCTTACAAGTAATCCAGTACACGTTTTCTAATTAAGTTCGAATCACACTCAGAAAAGTCTAGGCAAAGATTCTGCTGTTCGTTCGTGCATCGAATTGGCTTTCCATGAATCCACTCAACGATGATCTGGTATGAAGGAGTCAAGGAGTGATAGTCTTACGCGAGTACAGAGAAAACCGAAACGCAAACTGTTCAAAAGTACATACATTTATGCACGCTTTATCCGATATTCCAGACACCTCCGATGGTAAGGTGTCAAAGGGGTGTCTTAAAGTCTTAGTCGTATGGCTCGCATTTAGCAGGTCTTGGGACAAGCAAATCTGAAGCCAATTGATGTGCAAGAAAACGGAGAACAGTAGAGGTTTGGTTCGACGCGGATACCGAGCCAATGGCATCAACGCCTGATGATGGCTGTCTTATAGACATGAGATCAGACATGGTGGCACGATGTTCATCGAGAAACTCGGGGAAGGCTAGCGATTGTATGGGCAGTTAGATACATATATGCATGCAATACGGGCAGACGGAGGGATGTTGGGCAAGGTCAACGGGTATCTATAACATAACTCCTTACGCAGACAAAAGCAGCCTCGTCCTAGCTTTCCAAAAGTACGGCATGCAAAAAGACTGACATGGTCCAGCCAATAAACGAGGGATTAACCAAAACAAGATCGTCCAATACGCTATTCCATCTATTATATACTCCTTTTTGTTTCTAGATTGCTGGGCCCCAAGTGCTGGTGGCCGTTGACCCGCCATTCGTTTCCATTTCGAACCTTCCAAGGCTCTCCTGCCAGTTTTGCCAGTCGAAACCCTCGTCCATATTAACGTCCATATCTTCAACCTGGAAATTAGGTACCCGGAGCATTTCGGGCAACCCCGGACCGGGCCATAACCATGGGGCATTCTCGTCTTTCACGGGCGACTGTACCTGCATCCCCTGAGCTGTGTTCATGTTTGGCCCTGGACCAGGCGTGTGGTGCAGCTGATTACTGCCTGTGGGTGCCGGTGTGGTGCTGCGATTGAAGTCGGGTATTGTTGCGGGGTTGAAGTTCGCCGCGCTGTCCATTCGTGGAATGTCGCCATTGGAAAATCCGTAGACAGGTGGACGACTCGGGTCGAAAGGAGGCCCCCGCCATAAAGGGATGAATTCTTGTGGGTTAAACCCTTGGTTGGTCATGGTGGGATCTAGAAAGTCCATCATCTCCGGTTTTGAAACATTCATGTTCTCTGTAGGGTGACTGTTGTCATTGGTGTGGACTTCGTTGGTCTGCTGTTGTACAGTCTGTGGGATCTCGGGCGTCGGCTGCCTCGGGGGTGGCACCGGCTCAACTGGTAAGGGCGGCGCATTGACAAGCTTCCTCCAGCGTTCACGGGCCACAGTGATGCTGATCTCCTCTGTAACTGACAATGCTCCGAAAGTGGTCGGGGCGGGTCTGGACTGGTCTTCCAGCTCGAGCTGCATGGCAGCTTGAGGATTGGCACGAAGACGAGCGGTCTCCGCTTCACGATGCCTCTTGGCCTTGAAGTACATCTTCTTAATGGGGAGCCAAACAGCTGTATGGGATGCGAGCTTCTCAAGCTCATACTCTTTTGGTGCTGTATACACCGAGTTTAGAGCACCCCAAGCGCGCTCTGATGCAGGGCCCCAAGCCTTGTGCGAAACTTCGATTAGAAGATACGCCACAGCTGGCCATTGTGTGTATGTCTGGAATAGCCACCTCCATGGCTTGGTTCTTGGGTCGGTATTAAGGATGTGGTTCGTCTCGAATACTTCGATAGCGGAGTTGAAGAGACGTTCCCGTAGCTCATCCGACAACTCTTCGTTGTCTGGTCCTGGGAATAGCACGGGCTGGTAGATTATTAGGGTCATCTTGGCAACCAGCACTCGCGCGATGTTCGCAGCCACCCAGTACATGGGGTTATCCAAGCAAGAGCGATCCCGGAGGTATTTTTCCTCAACACGCTTGTGTAGGTCGGCAAGCATTTCCTCTCGCTCTTCTAGCGAGGTTGCAGCATCCCCGGGGCAGACAGGCGCCATGGCGGACGATGCCGTGTGCAAACGTCTCGCCACAGTGCAGATCTCGTACCGGATTAAGGAAAATGTCATGTCCGTCGGTCCGTCTCGTGATTCTGGGAAATCCTTCATATCTGGCGAAATGTCGGAGTCGTTGACGTTAAGAGGAAGCTGTGTATCAAAAGTACGGTCGACGAGAGTGAGATCGGTACCCTGATCCTCGGCAGAGCGGAGATCCAAGATACATACAGCCCAGAAGATACGGCGCCTCATTTCGACCTCGAAGGGGCTGATGTTGGGGAAGTTCGTTCCGTCACGATGGAGGCCCAGTGCCTGGCTAATGCGAATAAGTAGGCCAGTCAAGGTCCAAGCGAACCTCGTGTCATCCTGGCGGCGAACGAGAATGAGGAAGAGGAGGAATGCCTGGGCGAGGGTGATGTCGGGTGTCGTCGTAAAATTGGCTCTCGCCAGGGCCTGTTCAAGAGCGAATCGATATTGTTGTACGAGATAGTCCTTTTCGGCGCCGAAGTTCATTTTGGCCTATACAGTGTAAGACAAGAACCACAAACAAAGGGTAACAGGGGTGGGCATACTTCATCTTTGTCCATGGAGGCAACGGCAGAATAGTAGATGGCGAACATCAAGGCTTCGGTCGAAGGCGTGAGGCTGTCCATGTTGTTCCGAGCGTGGCGTATTGTTTTGGTCATCGAAGGGACATGAAGAACCTTGAGTATTGGATCGACGTTTTCCTGGAATACCTGCCACATAAATGGAATTTGCGATGGGAGCGGGTGCAGTGGTCTCAAGTCGACATCGGCGGAGCGGTACCCGAAGATGAAAGACTGATGATCTGAATGGCTGACGGGTTGGTCGACGGATTCAGGAGAAGCCTCGTCGTCGGAGACGTCGGAATCATGTTGACCGCATTCTATTGTTTCTCGGCGGATTTCGTCGAGCTGTGTCTGGGTGAGTTTCATGCATGGGGAAGTAACAAGAGGGAACGCCCTACCTCGTCATTGATTGCAGACCAAAATCCACTGCTGACATATCTGGTGACACCCTTCTCGTTGAGGACCAAGCGACCAAACTGTTTGTGGATGTCTGATGATATCCTCCTTAATGGGCCAAAAGGAGGTCTGTTGAGTTGTGTCTGCAGACCTTGTGCGCCACTCTTATCTGCGCCCATACCGGTTCCAGTTGAGGGCGAGTTCTTGCCAAGATTGCTTCCATTCGGGGTTCCAGGTTTATCGCCGGCTCGGGTTGCACCAGGCGCGTGGCCGTCCGCATCGTGTCCTCCGGTGCCTTCAGGGGAGTTGCTGGAGCTAAAAGGGTGTCGCACCGCCTCAAGTTCGATCTGACCGCTAAGTTCTTCGACAATTCCTTCGAGTTTTCGCAGGCGCTTCATCAGCTCCAGCTCCCGCTCGCTCGAAGGCTGTTTCGACGGCGCATTCGGGTCTTTTGGTCTTGGTCGTCGCGGCGCCCGACCAGGGGCCGGGAAAATGCATGGAATCTGTGCTCTCCGGCAGTTGGAGCATGGCATATGTTTGTCGCACCGAACCTAAAAAGGTGTCAGCGGGTCCATGACATGCAGACGGGTCCACGGAAAGCATGAGGCGGCACGGGGCGTGAGGAGCGGAAGAGCGACAAACCTTGCGTCTCCGACATGTTACACAACTCCGGGGATTCAGAGCACCGGAAAAGGGAGCCGATGGGGGATAAACAGAAGCGCCCGGTGGAGGGTGGTGGGCGACAAGATGATGTTGGTGAATGTCGAAGCTATCATGGGAGGGTCCAATGGATGGGTGGTCGACACATGGACTCCCCTCCGAGGCGACGCTAATCGCGCTCTGGTTGTCGTCGATAGGCATGATGGCGCAGCTGTGAGTGCCCGGCGAGCGTTGTGGGACGGATTCGGTGTAGACGTCCCTACTCGGACGATAAAGCTCCGCGAAGCTCCGCGAAGCACTGGCTGGCTGGCTGGCTGACTGCCTGACTTGCCTGGCAGCCCGACTAATGACTCGACTGCCTGCCGCGGGTTCGAGGCGGAGGAGAAAAGAGCTGCTCAGTCCTGGATGGCGTCAATGTGGAATCCAAGCTGAAGACGGATTCCTGCTGACTTGTGGGTTATGGTTGGAGTCGGTCTCTGCGAGAGGCGGGAATTGGCGAAGTGGTGGTGGTGCCAGGAGCTGGGCGAGGGGGTCGAGGATGGGGTTTTTCGATGACAAGATCACCGTGGCGAAGGAGTCTGGTGGAGGAGCATTCAGGGCGGGCAGGGCAACGGTGGGATGGAGGGGGGACAACTAGGTAATGATGGCACTGGGCGTTCGTTTTGTGTGGTGTGCAAGCCGAAGAGTGGTGAGTGTGGACCGTGGATGATGAAACTCGAGCCGTGGGTGTTTTCTAGATCGACGAGAATGAGTGAGTGACCCTAACAAGGGAAGAGTGGCAGCAGTAGGCAGGCCTTGCAAAGCACGGGAGGAGATACACTTTACAGCCTGCCACTCACCACTCACAACCCGCATTCCCGCACTTCACACGCCAGACGGGAGCGCAGCCAGTCCCTCTTCAAGCTCTGTCGGGATAGGCTGGGTGGGGCGGAAAGTGACTGATCTTTTTGTGGGGATGATAGCGTATGCGAGGTACGTACTATCTTAACTGATTCTGCTTTGTCTGTCGCGGCTCCCTGTTAAAAGGACTCGGAGCTTCCTCCTGAAAGAGGCTAACTCGATCCGGCCAAGCCAGTCAGCATCGTGTGCTGGTGATCGATTTAAATCGTCCATAATTTGTCGGGCACAGCATGGATGATGGTTGTTGAGAAGATGGAAAACCCGGAGAACAACAAGAAAGAGCACGTCCCAGTTTTCGCTAGTTTCAGGGCCAGCCAGGGTGAGTGCGTAGAAGCTATCTGCAACACGCTGCTGCCCGAGGCTCGCAGACTGACCAGGTCAAAAATTCAGAGTCCAGAAGCGAAACCATTTTTCAGACGGCGAGGGGTCCGATAGTTCTCCGACCTGCCCGAGTTAGCGCCCTTTTATGTTCTCCAAGGAAGCGGGAAGAAGGCGGTCAATGATAGGCTCTGTCGGGAAAGTATCATTCTAAGTAGTGCATGTAAATAGACCGTAATTTCTTGATGTGCCAGGGCCTCGGTATGAAAAAACAGAAGACGGTTGTCGAAATCGATCAAGGCCCGTGCTGTCGACACCAAGAAAAGAAGAAAACTAAAAGAGAAGAGTAATAAAAAAAAAACACAGTTAGGCCATAATGGTTGAAACACCTCACTTGGGGTGATGCAATCTGCACGGTGTACGTACCCAAACCGACCGCACTGCGGGGCGTTCGCCATTGACCTTCTTTTCGTTTTTCTATCGGATAACACTTGATCTCTGCGGTGTCATGTGATGAATTGTTTCTTGCGTGATTCATTCACCGTCTTTTTCTCTTGTCAAAATTCTCCGTTGCTGCGCGGTGGAGGTTATCTTCGTTTACTTTCATGGCCAGGCCTCGTGAAACGAGTGGTGAGAAGATGGGAAGCTCAGCTGGCTACAAAGTCAACATAACCCCCTGAGTCTCCTCCTTTACCCAAAGCTTGCAGCTCAACGGATCCCTGAACCGTAACAACATTGAATGAAGTATTTTTCAGTCAGTAAACTAACTCGTCCTTATCCAGGTGCATATAGAACATATCGGACAGCATGGGTCAGAAGTCTCCATGGCCTCGCCTTTTTTTTCTGGAGGGGCACACTTTAGCAATTTCCACGCACACTCCACAGAATTGAGAGACCCCATAAGCTCTACGTTGCCCAACAGGTCTTGCACATCACGGCGGACACGAGTTTCCACAGCCATCCAGAACATTGAGGTTCTTAGGAAAAGGGCAATGCTTGTTTTGAGATGCGGTCACGTCTGATCCGTCTAAGACTGTCCTGGTAGGCTGCAATTGGAACAAGTGGAGAGATGGCTTGAGTGAAAAGTGAACAGAAAGTGAGCCCCTAGAAACAAAAGCATATCAGCCGTATTCACCTGAACCGCCACATCCTCACCTTACATTCGGAGGAAACTGATTGCCAGATTCAGCTGTAACGAAGTAAGGAACCCCAGAATTCCAGATCTAGTGTATTTCGCTCAAACACTGGATCTGCGCCAACGCTTGATGTCATGAACACTATGCGCACGGTCCCTCCCCCTTTTTTTCTGGCCATGACTACCACTCGGATGTAAACACAACACGAGCTAGCTGTTTCTCATCATGGCGAACTGCATATTGCTGTATCGAAGGAACAATGCGCTGCAGTCGGATATGTGACTTTTCAGCCATGGACCCTCTCAAAGCGAAGCCGTCAGACTGCCATACTCCTTGAACAAGCGATCGTTGAACAAGTTGACAATGGGCAAAAAGAGCCGCTGCTTCCCCTCCTCAGTGACCATGAACTCTCTCAGCTCAGCCTCACTTCTCCACGTCCAGCTCTCGCACTTCTCCGGCTCCATTACCTTGAGAAGACAAGCAAGTCAGCGAGCACATTCCTCCAAAATATGGACAACTGGCTGGCATGGACTAACCACAGGCTGCTTCTGTTCATCATCCCTCCGGCAGGAAACAAAGATAGTGATGTAGTGCTTCTTCTCCGCATCAAAGATATCGTTGGTGAAGGCCAAAGCTTTCTCGGCTTTAACCTTCAGGCCCGTCTCTTCAAGCGTCTCTCTCTCGGCGCATTCCAAGTAGTCCTCGCCGACTTCGAGATGGCCACCGGGAAATTGCAACGTTCCTGTTGCCCGGTTAAAGGCGGTTCATGTCAGCAAAGCGATGCTATTAGGAAGATGCGATGAGGTCCGTGACATCCGTGAAGTCTGTGAAACAGACAGGGAAAGGAAAAAGAGTTGAGGGCTGTCTAGACGTAGGAGGTACGTACCCGATCCATGGGACCCTTTTCTCACTCCCACCAACATCTTCCCCTCCGCATCACTAATGATCGCCGCGACGCCGACCCGGACGACAGGTTGTTGTGATGCCATATTATTCGACTTGCTGTGTTTTTTCGGTTGGTGGCTTACTATGTTAATCTGGCTTGGTAAGTGATATCGCTACCCGCCGCTGTCCTGCTTTTCTACCCCTACGTTTGATTATGCGCACTGTCAGCCAGTCTTATATTTCAGGATGAAGGAGCTTGGATGCCGCCGTATCAATGTGACTCAATGCCCCTCCGGGCTGACAAGCTCCGGCTGTGCCCGGTAAGGTGTCCCCGCGTACCGGAGCCGTGAGGTTGACACGGTGTTGCAGTACCGCAAGGCGGCCCCGCGCCGCTGCTGCGCCCAGGAGAACGCCCTCCAGGGCCCAGCCCGGGTCGTTACAACGACTGTGTGGGGCCACAAGGTACACCGGGCTCTGCTGGGATATGACTTGTTAGCGTGGTTCTCCAGGGTAGCAAAGAACCTTAAATTTGACACAAAAATTACTTGACTTTTGGCCCACTCACCCCCCGTTTCTTGTAGCGCTACCCTACCAAGCTAACAAGTCATGTACATCCCAGCAAAGGAAGGTGTACCAATTCCCATCGCCGTCCACCGAAAATGCCCTTGAATTCCAAGTTCGGTATCAAGTTCAAAGCTGGCGTAGCCGAACGTACCTAGTGTACGCTCAATTGGAGGTATCTCCCATCCGAAACTTGGTCGCGCTGACCGGCTGTACAATCGCTCTAACAACCTCGCTTGGAGTGAACATGAGGCGGTCAATACCACAGTGCCCCAGTGCCCCAGTGCCTTGGCTTGTGGTCTCAGCTACCATAACTCCTTGCCGACGGACTGAAAGCGAAGTGCCCAAAGCGCACAACGTCAGTAGACGGTTGCATCATGGTGCACCCATGTTTTCGGGACCCCATGTTTCTGGTGGAGCAAAAAACAAATGCTCCTGGGCGCGAGGAACTTTGGCCGTCAACAGCCGACTGACAGAGCGGTTATGGGAAGAGGATCGAGATTGTTTTTGCCGCCTCCACACCTTATGAGACTGAAACAAAACCAAATTGAAACAACAACAGCCCGGCTGGCGCAATCGGTAGCGCGCAAGACTTCTAATCTTGAGGCTGTGGGTTCGATTCCCACGTCGGGCTTTCAAGTACTTTTTGTGCTGTTTCACACTCCTTCCGTTCTTTTTTTTTCCATCTTGTCTTTTTGCGCGATCTTCGCTCCATCTTCGGGCATCATCAGTGCTATGTTCGAGCTTTGCAACATGATAGTGTACAGCTTTCTGTATCTCAAGTGAGTTACCGCTCATCGTGGAAGATTGCTTAGTCATGCGTACGCGATTTGCCATGTTCTGAAAGCCGGACTGTGATGTCATGTCTGGGACAATAGATCGCCAACGCGATGCTGAGTTTTAACACACCACTGCAGTCTCTCGATTTTCGTCACACTCCCGGACTTCGGAACCTCCCTGCCTCCAAGTTGGGAGCCGCGTCACAGCGGGCGAAACCTTATTCCCTTGGCCTCCACGTTCTAGGTACCCTAAGACTCTACATACATATTTCGCTGCACTCCGATACAGTTTTGTTGCTGGCCAGATTTATCCCCGAGAACTTTCGCGGCAATCCAGAATCATGCCGTTTACGCTTTAATTCATGTTAACCGCTGCCTATAACAGATATATGCAGCATCACTGAAGACCACCATGATGAGGGGAAATTGGGAGAACTCTAGGCTTGGTTGTATTTGTGATACTGTTTTCCCTCCATAACCCCATACAATATCTCAGATGATTCACGATCTCTGCAGGGCAGATCATGACACACGCCTCTCACATGGTCAGGTCACACTGCTTTCGAATGCTGATCACCAACAGTAGTATACCTTGGTACCTCTAGCCATGTTAACCCCAATCCCCCGCACCTACCCCGACTCCGATCCCGCGTACGAAGCCAGTCACCAAGCCACCTACGAGCGCAACCCCTCACTATCCCATCAACCCCGTCCTCTCACCCGGCACCACTCACAGAGCCCGTTGGACCACAGCCATCCAAACCCTCATCTCCGTTCTCGGCCAAGATGCCGTCCTCATCGACTCTGCCCTCTCCGGTTACATCGACCCGTACAACCTTCGCGAGGCAGAGTCAGTAACGGACTAGCTGAGCGCCATATTGAAGATTGTCAACAAGTTCGCCATCCCACTATGAACTTTCTCACGGGGCAAAAGCTTGATATATGGCGGACCGGTGCCGAGAGTGAACCGTTTCGGTACGCTGGATTTGCATAGGATGGACTGAATTATCGAAGTGAATGACCAATTTACCACGCGATCATGGAGCCCGATGTGACTGTTCATTGATCTGTACCGGCATCGTATCGGATACTAAACGAAGGTTTGGCCAAGCACGGCGAGCTTGGGCTGGGTGTAGTGTGATGGGGAATCAGAGTTCCTTCTCCCATCTTACCATTGTATTAGACAACGGAAATACTCTAATGCAATCGACCTCAAGACCCTAGACTGCGGCATCGGGCTTGGCGCCCTCTTCACCCATCCCCATACACAGTATATCGCCGGCCTAGAAGACATGGTTGCCTCCGGCAACCTCGTCCATATGGGACAATGGGGATCACGGCCAACGAGCCACCCAACGCCTTTTCGATCCAAATTCACCTACAGTCCCTTCATCGAAGGCTTCTTCCTGTAGCGAAAGAAAGGGTGTATGACATATATAAAGCGCATGTCAACCACATGGGTGAGTGTTGGCACGTCGAGAGCAGGATCGAAGAGATGCTGATGTTCACTTGACAGCGTTGATTGCGGACTTGAACGAACCTCAACGGACACAGCTACAACCTCTTTGTTGAGAATATCAAGCTAAGTCTTCACCAGTCAAAAATTCGAATGAGGGAAGAAATACCATATTGGACGGTACACACTGGACCCCAAGGGCATTCTATCCCCAGGCAAGCAAGGTATATGGCCTAGCGGGTTCCGTCACTTGAAAGAGAACCAAGAGTACGACGGCTAAAAGGGAGACAAAAGCATGCTCAATCGTAGAAAAGGTGACTGGGACATTCCAGGATCCGTAAAGGGAGAAATGAAGGTTGGCTGGATTACATTACTATCTCTGCGGTTTCACGGATAAGGACCTGAACGTGTGAGGACTGAGCATGGCTCAAGAGGACTCGCACAACTGGAGATACCAGGCGTTTCTACACCAATATCCAAACCTGGAGGACTGGCGATAACTTAATCACTCTTGACTCGGTTCCATGAAGTGAACCGCATACCAGTTGTGACCCACCCGAACCACAGCCGGATGGTATCTTCCAACCAGTTCTTTCCGTTCCTCCACGGACCCACGTTGGCGACAAGAGGAAGTCGGTCACGAACTTCTGTGATGTAGGTCGAGCTGTTAGGAATACAGGGTTTCTTGGGAAGTTGTGCACGCTCGGCCTCGTCGATATAAGGGGTGGCAATGGTGGCTCCCGTCTTTTCCGCATGTTTAATAACCTTGATGAACTGGCGTGTCCTTGTGGAGGCACCAGGAGTCCAAGTGGCTGCCACATACCCCGTGATAACACCTGTGTTGGGGATACCCTCGAGCATGACTCCATTCCACATGTACCGCTGGCCGATGGTATCATTGATGCGGACATCATCAACAAAGACGTCGATTTTGTTGAGCAAAATCATGTATAGACCAGTGGCGGTGATGATCATGTCGGCTTCGAGGCTCTGACCGGACTTGAGCAATATGCCGTTTTCGGTGACGGTCTCGATATGATCGGTAACAACGGAAGCGTTCGGGCCACACAAAGCCTTGAAGAAGTCTCCCTGAGGACAAAGGCACACACGCTGATCGAAAGGTTTGTACCGAGGGTTGAAGTGCTTGTCGACATCGAAACCTTTGGGAAGCTGCCGGCGCATCTCGCCAACGACAAGCTTCCTTCCCCAGTTGGGGAAGTTCAGAAGCAGCTGGACAAAGAGAGTTTCGGCGACCATCCTGATGCACCAGTTAATCTTCCCGGCCCATTGGCTTGGCATGAATCGTTTCAGAACCGGTTGAAGCTCGTCTCTAGCTGGCAAGCTGTAGACATATGATGGACTACGCTGGAGCATAGTGACATGCTTGGCAGTTTTGGCGAGGGCAGGAAGGAGAGTGATAGCGGTGGCACCTGAGCCAATGATGATGATGCGCTTGTTATCGTACTGCACCTCGTCATTCCAAAATTGGGGATGTACCACTCGTCCCTGAAATCTTTCGATGCCGGGAATGACAGTGGACCGAGGCTTCTCGTAGCTGTAGTACCCGGTGGCGTTGACTAGCCATGGCGTCTTGAAGATCTTCTTCTCGAGAACGGTGCCGTCACCGGAAGTGACATCGACGTGTAACGTCCATCTCTGCTCCTCGCTGCTCCAGCTCTCTGACGTGACGCGGTGGCTGAAGCGTATCTTCTTGTCAATGCCCTGGGACGCAGCAGCGTCCTCCATATATCTCTTGATGAGATGGGCATCAGCCATGTTAATGTCCTTGGTCCATGGATACCAGGGGAAGCCGAACAGAGCCATGGCGCTGTCGGAGCGGATACCGGGATATTTCCAGAAGGCCCATGTTCCGCCGATATGATCGCGAGACTCTAGGACGGTAAAGGAATGGTTAGGCAACTCGGATTGCAACAAGTAGGCGGCGTTGATACCACTCAGACCGGCGCCAGTGATGATGATGTCGAAAGTGGAGTCTTCGGAGGCCATTGTGCGTGGGTCGTTTCGGCGTAGCTAGCACTGCGGCCCGGGGTCGGATATACAATCGCGTAGGAGACGGGGCCCGGGCGGAGGAGGGCTGGATGGGCGTTTAAATATTGATAGCGCGTTCACAGCAACATCGCCAAATCTCTTGCCCCAGCCGAGGTTCGCCAGCTGAGCCAGCTCTATGGAGTGACATGGTCTGTGCAATCCCAGTCTCGCCGTCCATCACGGCGCTGATCCGCTGATGCGAGTGATTCAGCTGCTTCCCAATTAGCGCCATTGTTGGGATCATTCCGGCCGTTGTGAGTTTGTTGTTGCGATTCGCTGGCAGTAATGTGTCTTGGCGAACTCCCGACGATGACAAAGGTTTGATGTTTCCTCTCAAGATGTTGTTGGTCAGGACAAGGAGAGGAAATTGGGGACCGGTGGAGTTTGTGGGAAAGAAGCTGGAGTCATTAACCTTCTCACGTCAGACGGCATGATCCGCCCGGGGGTACCTGCCCCTTGCTGCCCTACAAATGCCAAGCCGTACCTGGAAATCGCGCGGGGTTGCGATACACCTCCTTCCATTTTTAGAGGTAAGTATTTCCCGTCCATCTTTCCATCTTTCGATTGTTTGCTCTGACCCAAAACGGGCAATAACACAAGATAGGGCAAAATGCAAAGCGATGGTTTTTAAATCTAAGAACGACGAGATGTCCTGTGGTCTGCCGGGAGGCCTACCGTTCATGTTCTCTTTCGTTGAGAAGGTTCATCTTCCAGCATAACTTAGTTCTATCACTAGACCCGATCAATAATCAACCGTCTGGTCCTCCCTCACTCTGTCAACAGCATCCTTTCGCCATCATTGGTGAACCCCCAGCTATTGCCGCTCTTCGGGTTGAATCCTTTATCAACCCCGCTATCACTGGAAAGTAAACGCTTTTCCACCGTTGCGGGCTCGACGGCGACCTTCGAGGTACCTTCACATCCGAGCCAACGTCCGAGCCAGGCCTTACGTTTGCACCACGGCATTGCGCTCCTCAAAGAGCAAGTACTACAACTGAGCTGTCTCGCCCCGAAATCATCGTTGCTAACTACTATCATCCTGCTGTAGAACTACCGTCCTCCTGCCTATCGCTCTTCGTACTCGACCGCAAGTCTCTTCTGTCTCCTCCTGAGGGCCCGTTGTGGGAACTGGAAAGGTCCTTGAAGCACAACGACGATGGCGGAAAATCACACCATGCCGCAGTTGACAACGCAAGCTGTACATCCGCCTCTTCCAAGCCCCAGCTTCACGCTTATACCAGCATCTCCTTCCAGGCTGGAGACATCTATACGCTCCGAAGAGGCACCTTCAGAGACAACATTGGTTCAGGAAACCCTCCCACAAACTCCACAGAAAGCGTTGCAAACACCCCTTCATAGCCTTGACCTAGAGCAGCAAAGCTATGATTCTCAAGATGGCACGGGTAGCTTCCAGGGACTCTACTAGTGGCAGAAAGAAACGGACAGTGACATAGGAGCGCCAAAGCCAAACTTGCGGACCATTGCAGACATCTGCTGCAGCATATTTCTGATCCTAGTGGCGCTATTGGGTATGGTTATCTTCTTCTACTTTCTTTCTGGACGTTATTTCCACTCGTGATGCAGAGGCTACCAGTTGGAACAACGCTGCGTTGGTTCTGTTGGACAATAGGTATCGGGGTCACAGAACACAAACCTGATGCGAGGTAATACTCAACTCGCAGTTATATCTCTACCTAATAGACCTAAGTAATAGTAATCGACATTATTCACTGCACCCTGTGCATGCTGGCTCAGTCCAGAGTTGTCTATCAACAGATCAAAAAGTCATGCAGTGAATCATAGGGTATCGTATCCTTTATCTTGTCTGCGCCGCACCGCCAAACGCCTCTCCCTCCATCAAAACGCATATACGCCATTTCCTGATCAGTGTGTAGGTTCCATGATCCCTGTCCCTCAGAACAAATAGATCACCAGCGCTCAGAAATAATAGACCTGATCTCCAACTGAAGAACTTTGAGGAACAGTCCCAAAGATTCCCATATCCGTCTAGCCAACTGCTTATTGGTTGTGAAGAAACTGATGTAGCCACACATCTCATTATCTCCCAAATATTCTGGGTTCTTAAGCGGAAGTCCATACCCGTATGCAGCTCAGTCAAGTGGATGAAGTTGGTTTCCTCTTGTTTTGGGTTTCCGTTGTCGAGGCATTGGAAGACGAGCTGCTCCTGTAAGTCGCATGTGTTCATCTGCTGCGTTTCAGCTTTCAAACTCAAACTATCATGATATAATCGGCACCTCTTCACAAAATCCCCACACTCGTTGTCGTCAGCATGAATATGTTGATATGATCAGTCACAAACTTCTTTTCTCTCATTAGCTACGCCACGCACTTTAAGCACTGCCCTCCCACAGTTATGGATGCCTGCGTTAAGCATTGTCTTCGCTACCGTTTGAGAGAGTGCTGACCCATATTGATAGGATACTTGCGGATCATCGCGTGCCCGGAAAGGCGTGTATGCCTCCCCGGACCCAATCATCCATTGCTTCAAACCAGCCGTTCCAAATACCTCTCACTCCAGTCGGGCACCTATGAAGAGAGTCTCTCGAGCACACTGAGACAATCTTCCGGTATCGTTCCGCAACAGCTAAGAATCACCAGACCTACCCTCCGCAAGAACCACACTGCGATGTTTCACGCATACCCATTTTATGAATTTAGCATAGTCAGGCTTCAACGGAAAGTTGTTAGCAAGAAACTCCTGTAGAGACAACAGAGCGAACAATTTATCCCGAGGATCAGTCGCCTGGTTGATTCGTGCAAAACACAATCTATCGAGAGTATATCGGTCATCAGCCACGTATGTCGGCCAACTCCAGTTCTTGTCGTCAATGGATATGAAGCCTCCCCAGCCACGGAGCACAATGCGACGAACGAGGAGCAGAGCAGCGACTGTGGGCAGCAGTTCAATGTACCAGTTCTCGGTCTCTCCTGCTGAGCGAGAATCAATGTTTATGTGCAGCGATCGGAACTTCGGCCACTCGATCGATGAGTCGTCTACATACCGCAGTTGAGCAAGGCGGGGAAGCGTTCATCCCGCATGCTTCGCGCCCCATAGTAAACTTTTTGAAGTACCCAAATGCGTGAGGACCAAGGACGAGCGTAGGTAGTACTCGCCGATCATGTCCCCAAAATGTAGACTGGTTGTCATATCAGAGATATGACGGTTATGGAGCTTGCCGGCCGGCCTCGCGATGACGACAACACTGGACGATGAAGTCAATGGCAGCGTCAATGGCCGGAACGTTCATCGCCTGCGTTAATGACAAGTTTAAGATAGCTCAAGCATGTGCGGAACGTTAGTGTAACTTGGTTTGGCTGTTACCGCTCCCAGATATCATTCTGGTTCGGATGCAGCTGGAATCGATCCGTACCGCACGATCAACGTGAACGACCGGGGAGATATGCCATGCAATAAAGTCACGAAGGGCCGAATACCAGGTTGTAGGTTACGGACAAAGTGGCGGCAGAAAGGAACCTCTTGCTGAGATGAAGAATCCAACCCAACGACGTTATCGAATCGAGATCTTGAAAACCGAGACGGGATTGGGGGAGATGAAGTGGATAGATAGCATTGGGAGACACTTTCCATCGTGCGATGCTGACGTCGTCGTGATAGGGCTTGATGAGGCGGAGTTTCTTTTTGAGAATGTGCTCCGAGAGGGACAGAACTACAACAGTATCTTTGCATCCAATGCCGGCACGAAATGGATCAATCGGATGAGTTCCTTGGATTGTAGAGGTTTGTTGACGTACCTAAATGGGGGGAGTTCATCGTTTGGGGCGCGGGGGGACCCGAAGTCTCGACCTCAACATCCATCCTTGATCTCACCCTACTTCGCGGCCCACCGCCAGACACCCGGTCGGCTCAACGTCTCGGTCCTCTGGAGGTTGTGCTGTGGAGTCGTAAACCCTTCTTTGCTCAAATGATATCGTGATCTTGACGACAGTTGATTCTTTTCGGTGGAATGTAAGCAATTGCTCGCAGACCACAAAGGACCAAAGTTGAACGCTAGCTCGCAGGAACTACGATCGAGATCTCGGGACGTGGAAAAGATCATGCGTTACATTTGCCTCAACGTCGTCAACGGCATCGGAAGGAATTATCCGTACCATCGTTACATTTTGGACGATTTAAGCTTAGCACTGCAGTCGGGTGCCTCGCTACGCCACTCACTACGTGCAGTAGAAACCTCTGTTTCATGCAAATACTACCTTGTACACTTTTACAAACCCCCTTTTTTGCAAAAGGATTTTGACTGGCGGCATGCTCTCTGGTGGATAAGACTGTAATGTGCAATTGCAATGGTTGACGACGCAAAATTGCATTAATAGAGGTCTCAGCTAGTTTTGGTGGCAGGGCGTACTTATTTATACCTATATACCGGGGCAGGCAGTTTGCAAAATAGTCCGGACACGCTGACACCTAATCACACCCAAAAATGTCCGGACTATTTTTTATATGGACACCTGCGAGGGTCGGGTATAGTCGCTCTATCAAACCCACTTTTGAGGCTCGGGGCGGTCGTCCAGTGGCCAAAGGCCGTTACTCGTCCCTCTGGTCTGTGATTTTGCTTTTGCAAACTAGCCCAGACGAGTACCCTTCGCAAAAGTTTGGGCTGCCGGCATTAGTTGCATCAACATGGGAGGGGCTTCTACTATATTGGGCTGTTTTGCTTCAATTTCGTCCATTCAGAGCTTCGGTATCACAGACGCCCTACATTCAGTGTACAAGCTGACTCTTTATGCTTGTCTGTCCTAGGAGTCTTGCTTCTGTCATTGAGACCTTTTATCTCCGTCGTAATTGCGCCGGTTGTTGTACTGGAACAGAAGGAAAGTCATCGCACAGTTACACAACCTGTGCCTTGAATTAATTGCGAGAAAGATTACTTACTACTTGTTGACGTACAAAATATGGATGCGCTGTAGTGTACTTTCGCTGTTTGCGTTGCCTTCCTTCCACTTGCACGTCGCTGTCTTGCCCATTTCTTCTACCATCCATGAAGTCGCCAAGAAACCTACGGTACAACCAAGTGGAAACCGTTGGGTGATGCTGCTCCTATAGCCCTGTAGGGCCAAAAGAGAAGAAAAAAAAATCACAACGAACACCAACCATCCCCTCCACAACCAAAGCTTTGAAAATAGCACGCAACTCGCCTGCAGATCGCAACAATAAGCACTAACGGATCTTGAAACACCCGCTTAGGGCCTCCCACTCTCGTGGCCAAAATCGATCTCAGATGTCTTGGTGTCTCCATTCCCGCATCAACCGCGCTTTTAGGTTCTTTGCGGAGCTGCGGAGACAACCGCCCGTCCCCTCCCGACGCCGAGCCTCGCTTCGCGGCGCGCCGTCGTCGTCGTCGTCGCCGCTCCGCTCCGCTTTGCTTTGCTTTATTTCGATGGCGCTACCATAACGCACGATTCAGTGTAGCGTTGGTGGCATGGCGGCAAGGCGCTATCTTGTAAAGTAAGTAGCAAAGAGACAACAAAAGGAAAAGGTTTAACTTTGTTTGGTGAGGCCCAATGGCGATCGTGGTGATGAAAAAGATCCCTTTTGATGCAGGTCACGGAAGGGTCCTGCATGTGAGGGTCCCGGTGTAAGAAACGGGTGGGGATCTGAGTGGACTATCAATCACATAATCAAGCTAGAGGGTATCAAGCACCTGTGAGGTGGCTTCATTGTTACCCTCTAGCGCCTTCCATTGCCGAATTGTGTAATGGACAGGCAGGAGAAATGGTCCGGATGGGACTCTTGATCGGACTGTCAATCAATCATTCAAAGGAAAAGAAAGATTTCCTGCTCGCCGAGGTAAGCGTAGCGGAGCCCGAGAGAAAGACACATCATCGCTGCTGTCAAACCTCAAGTGCGAAACTCGGTCGCCGGATAGACTCAAAACTGGAACAGTCCCTGAATAGACTGAACCCTTTTTTTTTTTTTCTTCTTTTCGGGGTGGCGCGCAGCCAATCTCTGCCTCTAGCCGCTCATCGCGCCCGCTGACTTTACTACACTACACAGCAAGCAGCGATGACAAGCAATACTCACAGGGAAGAGTTCACGTACAGCAACCAGATCAACATAGCAGACAACAACTTTGAATGATGAGAATTGGGTGATGCGCCCTCCGAGTTTTTGCGCGGTTGATACACTGACTATGTAGATGTCAGGCGCTCCCAGAAAAGTGGGTTAGGTTAGTCGATCCAGGGACTATCTCGAGTCGATCCAGCTACCGCTTGCGGTCAAAGTGAGGATTGCGCAACTGCGTCTAGTTGCATGTGTCGTTGGTGATCAGTCTAGTGTAGTTCAGTTAGCTCAGCGAGCGGGACGGGACGTGTAGGTCCCGTTATCTGAGGTGGAAAGAATAAAGTCCGAAAGTCGTAAAAGCGAAAAGATCGACGTAAAGCAAATGGTAGTCCTCAGCCAAGGGATGGGACCATGAGTGGTACGGCCAGATGAATCGAGTGAGGTTTCACGGATGACGAGACAATAGTTGAGGTGAGGTGGTTATTAGGTACAGACGCACCACAGATATTGCATAGGGTCGTAGGTCTTGGCTCAATATCTGCCTTGTCGAACTTACGACTACATATCGTCTCAACCACCATCGCGGCACCGCCAGGCCCCCGTCTCCTATTTGTTCGTCCCACCGTTCCAGGAAGCCTTGCCCATCTACCTAAGCGACCTGCCCTGCCCCTGGGTCTTGGGGCTGTTGTTGTGTGCGCTTGTGCAACTCTCCTTTTTGGGAGTTTCAATGGCATTTGGACCTGGGGCCTGTTAGTTGACCACATGCTCAGTGGAAGGCTTGCCGCCGCCCTTGGCAAGTCGCCCTCGGTATGTAGTCGGAATAGGATGACACATGGCTTCAAGAATTGGCAATGCTTGGGGTAAGACAGAAAGACAGAGACAGGTCCGTCTGTCCCCATTTGTTGATGGCCACAAGACATTTTGGTGTTGGACGGCAGTGAGTGATGGGGAAAAGACGACGCGCTGGAGTCTGGATCAATGCGAAGCGAAATGTCGGCAAGGAAAAGATCGACATTCCTGCCAAGCCCCTAACCCCGCTGTAAGCTTGATAGGCTGCTGGCTGTGCAAAGAAGCGACGGAGCAAGGTGCAGGCTGGTACAAGTTTTGTTTTGATCGGTCGTGGATTCGAACGATGATGAGTGGCATGGATCATGGAGGGAAAGTGAGAGTTGCAAGCGGAGTGGAGACCTGGGAAGGGTTGGTTCAGTTGCTGGCGGGGTCTCAGAACTGAGGGGCCTGGTTGAAGCTTGTTAGGAACTGGAACC